CTTTTGGGCGTCTGTAAATTGCTTTTTTTTGTCACCAACTGGTTTGACAAATGCTGCAAATTTACTGTAACAAATTCTCCACCTGTTCCATTAAAACCTTCTTCATGTTAAAACCAGTGTACACCCCTAATTAGCAAATCAAAAACTAAGCTAGTGCCCAGTGAGAGTTAGCTTTTTTATATTACAGCCCATAATTCTAACCACAGATTTTCCCTTGAGCAAGACACCATGGGATCTACAGCTGCTGCATGTTGTTGACCTGGACCTATAACCTCCCTCCCACTTATGGTACAAACACACACACACACACACACACACACACACACACACACACACACACACACACACACACACACACACACACACACACACACACACTCATATACACCAACACTGCAAACAGCAAGTGTTTGTGGTTAACCACTAAATCTGGAAGCAGAATAGGCATGACATGATCTGACTGCTCAGACAAGTGAACAAAAGGTGAGCTTTGGCTTTTTTTAGTCACAGATTTGTGAAATTTCACCTTCTGAACAAATATGCAACCAGCAAAACACTTGTTAACAGTTTTTCATGATGTACTGTGCAGTTACAGAATGAGATTTAGATGTCTTTGAGTTGTCTGTTCACCTGATAGATAAAAATCAATCATCAGTGTTCGGTGCGAGGCTGTAGGCGGCTGTTTTGAGTAGGAAAGATGCTGAAAGGCTTTGTTGTGTGATCATGTATAAAAAGTAATTGCTGCCACTTGAGCTTCAAGTATAAAGGCAGATGCATGAGAAGTACTCTTTGTTACTGTTGTGGTCCTTTATGATATGGTTGCATTGCTAATGTAAGCCCTCTTTTAATGTTTTAACAAATACAAGCACATAATTCAAGGATTTCAGAGGTATTTCCATCAGCATGAAGTTGCTATCCTTTGTGTTAGACACTCTTATGCACACATGGTCATGGCTAACATAGTGCAAGTACCTATAAGCTTATCAAGCTGAAGCACTTAAAGTCCCACTCTGATTTTTTTTACTACCTAAAGTGTTATCAGTTGTCTTAAAGTTGTGATTATGAAGTGTTTAGCCAAAAGTACCTGTGTCATTTTCAAGAGCTTTTCTTCTGCAGAGCTCCGATAGATCATCAGCAATTCACCTCTGAGTTGTGGGCAGAGACAGCGCTGCTTTGCACACTTCTCTTCATGCTACCTTGCAGCCTAACATTGCCGGTGTAGTTAGAAGAAGCAGGTAACATAGGAGCTATTCAGCTCTCGGACACTAATGTCTTTAGGGACATAAAGAAAGCTAATATCATAATTAGCTTTCTTACGAGCATTGCAATCTGCTAACGAACACGTTATTTCTGCGATCGTCCTCTCCACTTTTCCTAGTCTGGCCTGCATAGCAGGGCTCCGGGGGCGGAGCTTGGATTTGCTACGTAAGAAATCTTACTGTATCTGAACCTGCCAATTGGTTCTGCAAAAGATTCGCAGAGATTTGAATGCAGAAATACTCTGAAATTTCGCTCTTACTTTTCTCATGATATGTCCTGTAGCATCAGAAAAATGCCATAAGAACATGTAGACAACAAGAAATACATGATTGTCATGGGGGTGGGTCTTTAAGCTGAGAACAAAACGTGATCAGTGTAATGATACCCGGGTACTGACAGCTACAAAAGCGCATCATCACTGGAGTATTTGTCCCCACCTCTACCACATCCAGCAGCAGAGGTGGACATGCTTCTGACAATAATTAGATTTTTTCCCAGTGCGTGTAAACTGGAACGAGGACAGAGGCCCAGTTAAATCGGCCTAATCGAGACTGAAAACGATGATATAGAAATCAGCAGTTTGTTTGCTGGTGGTCTTGTTTGCTTTACTAGATCATAAAGAGGAATCAGTATTAAATTTAATCTGTCTGGTTGAATGAATTTCAAGATGCAGCAGATGCAAGAAGTTAGGAGGAATATGTGGACTAAGGAATGAGGAATGAAGGTACTATGGGTTGTGCAGTACGCACGGTTACTTTATTTATCCATTTATGTTGCAGTCATTGTTATACAACTACTGACATGCAGACTGAGAGGACATCGGCCTCTATAGATTAGGTTTTACATTGTCCTTGCTGTCTGAAGAGGTTTAACACAACACTGATAACAGCTGCAGTTTGTGTTTTTGTGCATTTTAGGACATTAAAGTCTCACATTCAAAAGCCCTTTGTAGGAGCTCTGAATGTCTTTTAATTATAGAAAAATAATCTATAAATTCAAAATGTTAGATAAAAGTAGGAGTTTAAACTAACCTCAAATTTTCATTACGCCAGTCCTGTAGCATTATGTGCTATAAATATCCACCTCTGGGGCAAACACACACACTCAGTGACACACAAACTGACATCTCTGTCCTCATCAAAGCTGACAGCCAAATAGCACACTTGCTTTACTGAAATAACAAGTGCAATAGTCACATAGGCAGTTATCATGTGTGTGCAGAAGTGAACAGCATGAAATGAGTCGTGTTGTATAAACTCTTTCAACTAGCATGCAGTAATGTGTCGCTGGCAATACAATCCATACATCCCCAATGCAATTACAAATAAGTCTTTGTGTTACTGGTAAACATTGAGATAAATATGATGGCTGAAAATAAACTGGCAGAATTTTTACAATCCTGCCAGTCACTGTGATTTATGATGATTAATTACACTGCAACCCCAACTGGGACGTCAGTCTGACAGACTGAAATTGTGGTTCTCAACTCTGATAACTGGCTGAGCAGAGCTGTAGACGAGACGAGAAAACAAACCATGTCTCAGCCACCGAGCTCTCCCTGTAGTTATTTCACCACTGGCCTTGTAAAGTAAACTGCTGCAGCTGCTTTCAGAGATGCAGGCTTTAAAGATATGACCCTCTGATGTGGCAGCAAGGTGGAATACCTGCAAAATATCCCTTTAAAGCTCAACAAATGCTCCGTCTTTGCAGTGTGAGGCCCAGCCATTTTTCATATATTACAGCGGTGATGTGACAAGCCAATACGTCATCATAAAAGCCATTCAGTGGAAGGCTGATAGCACAGCAGCACACTCAGGGACTTTCTCCATCTGCTAATAAAGCGCACGTTCGCCGGTCATGGAATTTGGCATGTGTTTGTGTGTGTGTGAGTGTGTGCATGAGAGAGAGGTTTGAGTTATAGTAATGGTGCTTAAGTGGCAAGGGAGTCTTAAATGGTCCTCTTTCAGAAGATAGACTGGCATCTGCAGGGCTTTAGCTCACACACACACACACACACACACACACACACACACACACACACACACACACACACACACACACACACACACACACTTGTGCGCCCACACACACATGCACGCACACACCTACATATATATAAGGGCAAGCAGGGGACCCTAAGCCTGTGCCCTGATGTGATATTAAGCAGTAAATAATAATGCAACTTCTTCTTTGATGGAGCTCTAAGGCGGTGCACATGCTATACCTGTCAGTCCCAGGAAGGAGCAGAGCTGTCTCATTTTCCCAGAATGCAACTGGAATGTGGCGCTGCTAAATGTTAACTGTATCCCATGTAGACCTGAAGGGCGTTTTCCACCTTTGAAAGGGGACATAAAGACACGGAGAAAAGTCAGAATGAGGAAGGGAGGCAGGTGCTGCTGTGTGTCTGGCTTTGGGTAGAAATGGGACATGTAAATGTGTAAACAGGAATCATCATCATCATCATCTACAGTTTGGATTCAGAGCCTGGGAGCTCAAACTTCTGCGAAAGGAATTAGGGCACAGTGTATGTTTGTGTGTGTGTGTCCGTGTGTGCGTTTAAGGATGAGAGAGAGAGGGAGAGAGAGCAGATGGAAACATTGTAACTCAAGGCAAGTCAGGGTGCAGCCGCAGCAGTAGAGGCAGCAGCAGCAGCAGCGTTTCTCTCCATGGATTGAAGAGGAGGGAAATCCTCTTCCTCAGCGTCGCCTGCATGCAAATGAAGCCGAGCAGGACAGAATAACGCTGGTCTAACACACTCATCTGTACCCAACTCTTGACTTTGCGAGGAGGAGAGCTTTAAAGCTTAAGCCTGGGGTGCCAGACATCATCACTGTCAATTTTCCAGAGCCTCCTCAAAGGCTCATACAGGTGACAAGTGTGTCTAACTTCACTGCACCGCCCGGATTGACGCGCTCATTGTGCGCTTTGTCCAACGGCACTTGCGCTGCGTGAGACCCGCCGTTTTTTTCTCTTTCTTTTTTTTTTTTTTCTCGTGACATTTCGCTCGCGCTGCTGTGCATATGTGGCCACATATGACGCATCTGAGCCTTTAGCTGTTTTCCAAACGCTTGTTTTGGAAGCAGGACTGTTGGTTTTTTAGGACAAGTTTCCGTGCTGATTGGTATGTTCGTCATGTCTGCGCGGGTTAACTTGCGCGTTTCTCTGTAGAGTCACACACACATCCACATTCACACACACACACATTCACACAGCCGGGCTCTGCTCGGCGCAGAAGTTGGTTGGGAATAATAATAACAACCGTGCCGAGCCTCAAGGAGGAGGAAAGAGGTGACAGCGGCGATCAGGAGATGTTAAGCGGCTAAATTTACAACCAGCATCATCAGCATCTCCGTGTGAGGAACTGCGGGGGTCTGCTGCTGCTCACTCCTCTTCCTCGACACACTTCCAGTTTTTGCAGAAGCCAGCCTGTGTATTCGAGCCCCCTGAAGCAGCAGCTGCGTAAACTTGGCCAGATCTGGTGACACTGTACCCTCTGTGTGTGCGTGCCGATCAGCCCTGGATGGATATGCGTCTCACCAAGGGGATTTGAAAGCAAAGGGGGGATTTTTATTTTTTATTTTTTATTATCAGTCCCTCTTTTAATATAACCCCAAAATGGATGCCGACGACAGGCTGTGGAGACGCCACTGGATTAGCCACTCTTCCACTGATCTGCTTGAGATCTGAGCGACACCAGGGGTTCAAAGTTTGGATAATCGAAAGAAGGTTGAAGGTGTAGGATGCAGTCTGGAGTGAAGACGCTCTCCGCAGGTGGAGGTGCGTCACTCTGCTGCCTGCTGCTCCTCTGGCTCATCTACTCCCATCTGCTCAGAGAGGGTAAGGACACTTCGAGCTATTTATTACTTTGTCAGCAGCATCATTGTCTCCAAGGGGTTTTTAATGTGATGCAGCTGCACATGGTGTGGTCAAATCCTTCTACACTGAGGGAAATAGCCCTTTAATTCCCAATAAAAACTCACTGCAGGGACTTAATGTGTCTGCGCTCATTACTTGTCAAATTACGCTGACCTTGTTGTACCTGATGGTATATTTTAATCAGATTCTGTGCTCCTATAATCACATTCCTGTTCTGAGAATATGGCATCAAACAGCCTGGCACTGTATTTACGTTTTCATTGTTGCATTATAATATTCCTATGAGCCCCTGCTGTGTTGCAGTGACCATATGTTCACAAAAATGTTAATCTCTTGAAGTTTGAAGGTGAATTTTAAACAATATTTCAACCTGTTTTGCTTAAATAACCTCCTGATGTACCAAATCAGCTTCTCTCTTCAGTCAGATGATAATTTGTGAGGCTGTAACTAAGCTTCAGGTGGAAAAGCAACACAGTTTACATGTTTTAGTTCCAAGTGTAGACCCAAAAATAGGCCTGACTTCTGCCTTCAGAGCTTTGTAAATTCACCGGGGTTAAGGCTATATTCATCCACGGCATGCTTTCCTATTGAATAAAACATCCGCTGGTGCAATTACACCTTCACCCTGACACAGAATAGAAAGCAAAAGGATGTTTCCCTGCACTTCATTGGCTGCTGTCCATGCTGAAAAAAATTTGGATTCCAGTGTTGCAGCGGCACAGAGAAACAGGCTTAAAGCAGTGGATCTTGTTGGGAGATGTTGAACACAAAGTTTGCAGATTAGATCTTTTAATCAAGCACTGGCCAGCAGCGTAATTACTACTGTGGAGGAGGGATAGTGCCTACATCAATGTGTTTGGCAGCTTGCCGGGAACAAAAGTAGACACTGATGTGAAAAATGAACTGCCTGTGCGCTGAAATGTGCTCCCTTTGCCTCTCATTTGCAGTGCTTTCTCCCCAAATGCTGCTGTCACTGTGCTCTTATTGCTGCACCGTGAACCGCATCTTATCTGAGGAGAAACAGCAACCCTCCCCATCCCCTCAGCCATTTTTATTGACTCATTTTGGTATGAAAATGATCTCATTAGTGCGTTATTGTACAAAATTGTTCAGTCAATCTCTTGTGAACCTCTCTACCCTTGATATTCCTGGAGTAAACAGAGGCTTCTCGTAGTTGAAACCTCGAGATAAGATTTGAGCTTTGACATTCTCCTTACGTCGCTCACTCCTCTTCGCAGCTCTGAGCTGAATTTTAAGAATGAAGAATGGAGGCTTTTTTTTAATCCGCCCTTGTAATCTTCAAATCCTATGAAAATCCTCCTTTGAAAGTGGCGGCTCTGACCGGGCTGGAATGATGGAAAAGTAGAACTGACCACCACAGATACAGAGGTCTCAGTTTACAGGACTATTTTTTTAATATTTATGACAGCTCACCAGTGTTGAAAGTCAAAACACCCATCACTCACTCCATGACCACCCTTTTCCACTTCAACTCTTGTGGCCCCTGAGGGCCTTGAAAGCAGCAACCAGTGTTTTTGAACTGGTGGGCAAAGAGGTGAAGCCCTGTGGTGGTGAGAGGCTGCATCACCTCCACCCACTCTGTAACCCATCTGTCATGGCGGTCAGGACAGGAAATCAAAGTGCAGCGGCCCTGTCCATGCACGCCATTGGGCTAGCGGCCGCCACGATGAATGGCCTGTCAGCGGCCCTCAACGTTGCCAGTTTATTCAACGATAAATTTGGAAATGTCTGGATTTCCTCACTGGACCACATTCCGGTTCAGTGGTGCAGTCAGAGAGTCGTGGCAACTCATCCCCGCTTTGTCAACCTCAAACCTTTGAGATGGTGTGTGTGTGTGTGTGTGTGTGTGTGTGTGTGTGTGTGTGTGTGTGTGTGTGTGTTAGAGGGAGGGGTGGAGCATTTTAAACCACATTTGTAAGTTGGAGGTGGACAGACAGTTGGCCTTTGCTCCAACTAAACCCAAAGATTTCAAATACCAAGAACACATTTCAAAATAAATCATAAAAATCAACATTCCTGAAATCTGAACCATACATGTCATCTTTGAAGATACAACACTTAAGCCCCTTAAGTGAATGAGCAAATAGATAAACCAATTATAACCTGAAATCTGGAGTCACCTGATTACTCCAGTACTCATGTAAAACACATTATCTAACATTAATAGCTTATGAAAAATGAGTTTTTGGCCTCAGTGCATGTACTATATGATTTGGTCCCTTTTGTTTTATTTGATCTACACTTGAGTTAAGTATGCAAGCAGATAGAGAAATGAAAGAAGGAGAAGAAACATGTCAAGCCTCAGCGGCAGGAAGAATGTGAGGAAGCAGCAGTTTTGCAGTAAAGCTGCAATGAAAGTCATTCTCAATGATATGGAGGAGATGAGCATCTCTGTAGCTGGTGCACGTCCATTAAAAAACCATGAGAGCCACACTTACTTTGAAGACACTCTCTGAATTGGCTTTTCTGGTTTTCTGATTTAACTCCTAAATGTTGGACAAAGTCAGTAACAAACTGCAGCCTTCAGTAATACAGCTGTGGACTTTGCTTGGTGATCCTCGAAGACTGCAGCTTTGTATGGAGTGCTAGAATGTATTAGACTACAAAGCTACTGTTTTTGTCAAGTCCACTCATGATAGCTAACAGTTTCTTGGTTCACGGCATTTGCAGTCGAGACACCTGCACCATCAGGTAATTTTGGACCACACTGAGTCGCCTTTTGTCTTCTGTAAACCCTAGTCCTTAAAGCTGACCATGTGAGTCCACATGCCAGTTAATCCCTCCTGCTTGCAGAGGAGCACCTCTGTGTTGGATCCACAAATAGTGCATTAAGAAAAAAAGGTCTTTGCAGAACACACACTCCAGCCTAGATGAGTGTTTGGGTCAAGGTCTCTTAAAATTAGCTAAATGGAGCAAGGCAGTCTGGCTGCAGACCCCGACTGTCAGGACCCTTTGCTGTGGACCTCCACCTTGTGGACTCATGTCCATTGAGCGGACCAGAAGTTTGATGGAAGCCCTTCAAAATAAAAAACAAATGCGGGAGTATGTTTATTTATTTATTTATTTATTTATTCATTTATTTTTATGCAGGAAGTTGATTCAAAGCTTTTCAAATTAAAAGCAACTAGACCGGGAAGTACGTATTTTTTGTATGAACATTTTATTTCTTGAGGCTTTATTTTATATTAATAATGTTAATATGATTTTTTTGTATCTTCATGTGTTCAAGAAAGACGAAATACAAAATGGGATGACCACTTTAAACAAACTGGAGCGCTTGAGTAAAAACGTCACCTCGGGTTTCTCAGTGGAGGTGGGTCCTGACAGCGGAGGTCTGCAGCCAGACCCTTCTCAAATGAACTGACATAGTTAACACTATCTGCTGAGAACGTAGCACACCCAGCATCCCATTTTCACTTGCATTTTCTCAGCAAAGGAGCCGAGCTGTGGGATACTACTGTGGCTAGTACACTGACAAGTGGCACTCATGTAGCATCACTTTAAAATTTATTTAAAGGAGAAGCTATCAAAACCTCTATTTTTCCTTTAAGTTCAGTTTTCTTTAACTTCGGCAGCAGACAGTACCTTGTGGTGGAGAGTATGTGTCGATCCTGAAGGACCTGGCTCGAAGGAGCGGAAATGGTTTGGTAGCTTTGAGAGGTGGTTCTTTCTGAGTCAGATTCTTTGGTCTAGGGGGAGACAGCTTCTGGTTTTGCAGGGCCAGTGCTGATACTAGTTGTTTGTAGTTCATGAGATCAATGGCTAATATTTGAAACCAATTTGGGATGACTGTAAACACAAAAACTTTCTGTCAAAATCAAAATTTGAAATATAACAAATTTAAACACAAGTCCTGTTCAGCCAAATGCTGAATATCAGCCCTGATAATCAGATTGGGTCAACAACTGGTCTACCCTCAATTTGGGTCTCAATAAGGGTCTGAATTCCCATCACCAGGAGCATTTGTACGAAGAAATAAATCAGATCCAAACTCTGCTCTTACATGGTGAAATAGATCGTGGACAAGCCTGCGTAGATCTGAAGTAATCTTTGGGTCTTTATGGACATAGCCAACATGTTTGGATTAAACTATTACTGGGCCTGGGTCACAAGGATCCGTTCCTTTAAAGTAGGTGGCTGACAGTCAAACTCCAGGTTTAATGTACATCAGCAGAAACAAGATAAATGGATCATGATTAAAGTTTTACTGAACAGATCAAAACATGAAGAGGGTTCAAGTTTTGTATTAAATGTACCAGCTTTTTCTCCTCAGTGGGAGGAAATCTAGGATGGTGAAGAACTTAATAACTATCATTGAAAGAAATCCAACAATTAACAAATTAATGAAACGCGTTTTTTTTCCCAATAATGCACAACTGAAGTGCATGTTAACATGTGAAATCAGATCATTCCCTAATTATTCCCAGTTGTCAAATTAGTGTGACCATGCTTACACACTTATTAATTGCTGAGGTGGTTCTCCATTAGATCTTGTGCCCGACACTGTGTGTTGTAATCTAACTCCTAATTCTGCTTTTCTTACGATGAAAATTGAAGGTCTGAAAAAAGGATCTTTTAATTAAAAATGAATCAAATAACTGTGAGGAAGGTTGGCAGTGGGAAACCATTTATCAGCAATCTCTGCAGCTCACGTCAGGTCAACTGAGTTGTAAAATCTTTTTTTTAAGCTTTTCTTCATTTCAACACCTCAAAGCTTTCACATCAGAACTGAATTTCAGTATCTGACTTAGTCAGTTTCATTCAGAAAGCTTCAGAGTTAAACAAGGCAGGAAAGTAAACACCCGGTCTGTAAATATGTGGGGGTTAATTTGTGTCACATGAGTAGCCAATCGAGAATTGCCATTATCCTGTGTTGTTTCTAATGGACAACAAGGGATGAGAATATGAGCTGCAGACATAAACAGTATTTTTTGGTCCATTACATCCCCTGAAGGAGTTCCCATTCAAGTGTTTCCAGGCCGGCTCATTTTCACAGTGGACAGTAGGCTTCACTCTGGCTTACTGCAGAAGTATTATAAAACCAATATCCTTGTTTTATGTACAATAAACAGATCAAAAGTTTGTTTAAAAAAAAGTTTAGCTTTCTTAAAAGTAAATCAATCTCTTCATTTATTTTTTTAACACAGGGTCAGATCTAGCGTTTGTGTTGTACCCTGGGTTGTTTGAAGACCTTATCTCTGACTGGCTTTTGCAAAAGCAGCAGGGGTGTGTGATTGCATCGTCCAATAGCTCAGTTTTTAGTCTTTAACGATGCCAAAATAGAAATATTAAGTGTGTGTCTCATTTTGCAAAAACTTTCAAAAGCGCGCCTTGAGAGTACACACACTCACTACAACTACAGGGCATTGAGAACATATATGACATTCACAGATGTTGTTGGACTGAATTGCCGGATAAAGGTCATCTTCACTCGCATGAATGTGGTTTGGCTCTGACAAGACAGATGTTGCTCAAAAGACGCCAATCGACAAATTATGTTTGAAAGGTGTATCTGTGACGGAAAGCTAAATAGCTGACTTGTTTCATCATCTATGACACGCTGTAGAGTCAATCTAATACTCCATTAACAAGTGTTAAGGCTCATTTATGCTCGCCATAGGTTTAAAAATGTATGTGTCCGTTTCAAACGATGGTTACGTCACTGCCCACATACTTCCATGCGTCTTTTAAGTCAACATGGATGTTAACCATTACATCCACCAGGGGGCAGGCCAGAGTCAAAAGTCTCTGACAACAGCAAACAAAAAGAAACATGGCGACTGTGGAGGAGCTAGTGATAATGGAGGCAGCGTTAAAGGGGATGGTGGTCAGTCAGGCCACTAGATGCCACATGGTTGGAGGATGGAGAATTCTTTCCTGTAGTAGTACCGATGAGAGAAATTGATGACGATCCTCAAAAAGCCCGCCGTGGTCTTCTTCGTTTCTCTAGAGATGCGTATCGGGTAGTGACAGCAGCAACACTACCCCCACGGTTTCCGGTGGTACTGCCCCGTCAGGCCCGTATCCTTAAACTTCAAGGATACATTTAGAAATACAGACGAAAAGAACATGAAGCATGGACGGAGAGCTCCATCCATATCCAAATCCATATGTCACGTTGAGCATAAATGACCCTTAAGACTCTCTCAAACTTGTATGCAGATATCTGCTCATGAAGAGATGAAGTTGTTGCCACAGTTTCAGCATTTTAATAGAATATCTGTAGCTACAGATTGGAGAGTAATAAATCAAAACCCTGGATATGTTTTAGGGCGTGGCTACCTATGATATGACCAAAGTCATTGCCGTAGCATCCATCCATCCATCCATCCATCCATCATCCATCCATCCATCCATTCATCCATCCATCATCCATCCATCATCCATCCATCCATCCATCCATCCACCATGCCACTCCTCATTCTTTCACTAAGTCTCCAAACCTGTCCTCTATTAATACAGGAATAATAGCCTGGAAATATAACTAAAGACCTAAGAATAATTATCATTATAGCATGACAAAGACTTTAATTCTGAGCATGAGGCTTCAAAAAAGGTGGGCCGCAAACTAATGGATAATCTTTGATTGGCTTCTTATACGCAGCTTATGCTTGTTAAGAAATTCAACATTCAGCAGCTGCAGAGCCAGGGGTACCGAGCTGGTGGAGATTGTAAAAATTAAAGTAGATAATGGACATGTACTCATCAGATGTCAGGGAGAGCTACCATGAAAAAAAAAGAGTGCTAACGCCACTATATATCTTCTAAATGTGTAAATGGGCAGCTGTCTGCAGCTCTATGACCTTTTTCTAAATATACAGCTGCCCAAAAAGACCAAAACTGATGAAATCTGCTTAAAGGTTGTGATGTTTAGCTCTGTTCTTGTCTACTAGGCCATCCCATTGTATGCAGGGTTCATTTGGCATTATGTCTGATAAAATGTATGAAACTTTTAGAAAGTGAGCTATTCTCATTAATAATGAGAAAAGTTATATGAATCAGTCCGCAGTGTTATATCATAAACTTGGTGTCATTTTAGTGCAACAGACAGCAAGTTGTTTTATACAGCTTTTGACACATGTCATAATGAACGTGTCACTTTGATTTGTTTGAATAATTCAATCAGTGCTTTTGCACACAAACAACAGTGTCCCCAAGCTGAGAAGCAGAAACTACAATCTGCTCTGCAGTGCAAACTGTAGATGGGAATGACAGCACATATTTTGTGAGCAACGTCTACGGGCTGTGCCACTAAATTCTGAAATGATTCACTCTTGCTCTACAATCACAACAGAGCCTCATTGATGGCGGTCTCTCCCTCACACAGTCAGTCTGCTCTTTGCGTTGTGCCTTCTCCCCATTTCATTCTTAAACACACTGAAAATATTCCACATGCTATCACGACTTCTTTATCCATCTTTAACAAATCAGCCCTTGCGTGGGAGATAGCAGATCTTCACGGGGCGCCCGAATGATGAATTTAAATGTCTTTAGTTGGTATTCTCTTTTAACTCGGGGTGCAGGGCCTACCCATCCAAGCATTAAACTAATCAGAGTAGCAGAGAATTACAGACTTTTTGAAGTGAAAAGGATGATTTCCATTCTGGTCTTCTTCAAGGCAGCATTTGGCATGCAAAGGGAGCCCCGCTTTGATTATGACCTTGGTTGTAAATTCTAAGCAAATCATCGCAGCCTGTTTCTTCTATAGGCGGCAGGGCTGTAAAAGTACGGGCATCTTTATGGAACAAAATGAAAAGAATTTTTACAGCTAAATCAATTTGGCAGCACACAAAGCTCATATTTCATAGCTCCCTGAATATGAATTCTTACTCCGCGTCGGCTTTGACCTCCCTTGTGGTTGAGCGTAGAGCGACACTCAGTGTATTTCTGCATTGTTGTTTTCTCCGAGCTTGAAACTGCTCCATCGTTGGCAGAGCGCTGTAAACGATTGGAGTTATGCGCCTTCAGTCTTGTGTCCCGTTCTATTTTCTGCCTGATGCCATGATGCTGATTTTCTGAGAAGGCTCCACTTGAATATTAAATCTGCTGCTCAGACTAACACGCAGCACTGTACAGTACACACAGGGTCATAATAGTTTTTTGATGCAACCATTTTCTTTGTGTTTGCATTAAAAGAGGGCATCCTGGAGGGCTATCGGAGTGAGATTTGAAGTGAGTCACTGTGGCTGTACAGACCCTCTCTGCATTACATTCAACAGAGCCACTGTTTGCTTTTGCAAGGCATATTGCACAATCACTCTTTATGCCTCAAGCCTGTATTCATCCACAACCAATTGTCTGAGAGTACTCCACATTATAATATCTCTGCAGCCCAGACCGTGCTGCATCACTGCTACAGAAATCCATCATGAGCCACCTCCATCATGTTGCATGTTGCAAAGAAAGACCTGAATTACACTGTCAGCCCAAGCAGGGGATGCATGTAAGGGGAATATTTTCTATTTTAAAGCAGCCCCTGGCAATGTCAAACAATGGCAGAGCTGATTGTTGGAGAGTGGAGAGTTTGAGAAAAATTAAGCTGCAAAGACCTAGAAGTCCTATGATGTGTTCCAAGCACACTCTATGTAGCCCTCCCTGCTTTGCACGGAGAAAGGAAACAATCTAACAGTGTTATGTTGGGCTTCCTCTCGAGGGAGCGCCATCCTACTGCTACTACCAGAAGTTTCAATTTGTCATTCCCTGTGGGTGGAGTAGTGTACACACCTGACACGAGAATTAAATTTGGGCAAATAGAGTACATCTCCAGCTCCTCAGTTGGTGGGGATGCTATGCTTTCCTCTCTCTTTCTCTGCAGCCCCACTGGGTGCTCAGGATTGCATAAAAATCAAGCACAGTGCAGCTTAAAAACCCCTACTGCATTTGGAAACAACACAGGTACGCTTTTGAGAACATGAAGAGCTTTTTAGAGCAGAAAGTCCGACCTGTATTGTCATCAGGATACGAGAGCTGCTTCTCTAAACGTTAAATGTGGACTGACTCTGGGCCATCGCGCTGCTTTTTGTTCTGCTTGTAGATAAACGAGCCTCATCTTGTAACTGCATAACACAGCGCTCATCTCCAGAAGTCGCTCCGGCTGCTTCGACTCTTCCCTTTTCCATTGCTCCTGATTCATTTCTGGGAGCTTCAGATTAAATTGCATACTTAAGCACCATTACAGGTTCTTGGACTTCAGCAGAGAGTGGTTCACCAGCATAAATATTGATCAGACTGGTGTAGAGTATTCAAATAGCATGTGAAATCAAGCGGCGATATTCCCTTTAAACCAGGCACATTAATATAAAGCGCATGTGTTGCTCCACTGCTTTGCTGCTCGACTTGTTTAGCAGCAGAAGATCACGGCGGTGTCAGGAAGTGTATTGCATGGGGTCAGTCAAACATCTGCCTCTCTCACCTGGTGTCCTATTACATGCTACCTACTGCGCTGCACTCGTCAAACGCTGTTAAGGTAATGAGATGCACTTGGCTGTGGCTGCCTTGACTAGCATATGCTCAGTCCAATAAGATTTCTGTTTGATGTCCAGAGCCGTTGATAACAAGGAGAGGGAGGGAGAGGGCTGTGAGATCAGACCGGGCGTGGAGAGAAGATTAGGCCTGAGCTCTGCAGAGGGTACATCCAGATAAACTCATTTAGATTAGCTTTTATTTGCAGGATTGAGTTGCTTAACCTCCTGTTTAAGCTGATGCAACTGTGTGATATCGGTCAGCATATTAACGGATAAGGCCGCATGATGAAAAAACCATTGCTTTTTTTTTTACCTTTATGCAACCTATAATGTAGTGTGAAATTTGTATTCTAAGTGATTAGGATTCATTAGAAATTTCATTAACATATTTATACTATTAAAAATGAGGATTACTGAGTTTATTTTCTGCTTTTGAAATTAAATCCCTATACATGCTGCAGCTCGCTGACAAACACCTACAAGGAAAAGTAGATTCACAGGAGAAGCAGAGAGTATAGGTGGAGCAAAACATTACTTCAGAAACTTAACTAATCACTTCACATAATCAATAATGTTAAAAATATGTTTTATCTGCATCACAAGCCCCATCACAGTCACTCATTATGAAACAAAAACTCACCATCCTCTTCCGCATAGGATTTTCACATCACTACCATGGGCATGTGATGGGACACGATACAGTACAGCACACTTTATTGTCCCCTCAGGGAAATTTGTCTTGGACTCAACTCCTGCACATGCCCAGCTGCATCCACAATAATACCAATAAATAAAAAAGTGGATAAAACAATGTTTATAACCCACATGCAAACACAGAGAACACAAACCGAGGAGGCAACAACAAACAAGCAACATGCAGTACAGTCATAGACACTAAAATTAAACGCACAGGCAGCAAGACAATGGTTTGCATGGTTTGTCAAAGTTTCTGACTGTAGCAGCATCATGACTAGTGTGCATGTTTACATTCTATGGTCATGTGGCATACATTATGTTTACATGTTGCTAAAATAAATCGATTCCTTGCACTAGTTTAACTAAAACCAGACTGTAAAGGTAAATGTAAGCACGGTAGTCCAGCTAAAACTGCAACAAATAAAAACTTCTCACAGTCAGACAAACATTTCCCAGAGAACGTGGTTGGGGATAATTATCTTTCTTGTGTCTATCAGATTGAAATTGGCCAAAGTATTGTGCGAATGCCTATGGGTTTGTACGCCTGGAAAATTGAACAGCACAAACACAATTCTAGGAATTTGTGTAGCGAATTTAAAAAGACAAAGAAAAAGAAGAACCTGTTGTATCATATGACCAAACTGCACAGAGCTGTAAAAGTGACTGTGCTTTCATTATTCACCACTTACTAATGCATGTAAAGGATTGTTTTGGTCCAGTAGTGACGAGCTAAAGGGGGATGTGTCGCCACTTACTTTGAGATGGCGGACATGCTTCTGCCATAATTCAAATCTGGTCAAGTGACCGAACTGGGACAAGAACAGTAGTCCAGTTACATTGCTTCAACCAGCCATAAAGAAAGACTGTATATACTAAGGACAACTTGGCTCAGCCTTCCGCCATTATATGAATTTAAGGCCGAACTGCTCTTGGTATTTCTGGGATTTTCTCCACTTCCTGGAACCACAACTTGCACAGAAGCGTTTTACGCATTCGATGGAAGAGTCGCCGAGAGTCGCTGTGATGACACTCGGCTCAAACTGCGTATCCCTCCAGGTGAACTACGCAATCTTTGTACGTCCATAGGCTGTATCAAGTGTCAATCACAGAAAACATGAAACCCCTAATAACTTTTAAAAATGGAGCTGTACAGAAAAAAGAGGACTTGAGCACAAACCAGTTTTACAGTAACTACAAGTCAACATCACAAGCAGGGGGGGAAAAATTATATTCTATGTAATTCATTTCTAAAGTTCATCCACAGCTCCATAGGGATCACTGAAGGAGATGGGATTTATGACCTATACTGCAGTCCATCACCAGAGGGTGCTGTTCCCGCTGTGGCTTCACCCAGCAAGGCTGCAGAGGGCATCCATTCTATGTACAGTCTACGACCATAACAGTAGCTTGACTTAACTAAACACACTGCTCAATATAGACACTGCCTGGACTGTGGTCACTTTCCCTACACCTGTTTAAGTGAGAAGCTGCTTTGAAGTGATTTCATACTGAGGTTTACATAGACTGACCCTCGACAATGAGGAAGTGGTGACATCGTGACATGTTTAAGGTCATATGACTGACACCACGTCGTATTGGCAGAATAACTTTATTTACATCGACTTAGTGTGTCAAAGTTATCCTTAAGAAATGTTATATTCAATAAAATGTTGATCTTCAGAGAGAAATGAGGGTGAATGATGTGATCTTCAATGATGTTAAAACTATTTTCACTACACAGTGTGATTACAGCTAATATACATTTATTACGCATTATGATTAACACAATCTTGTTGATCTTGTTAATTTGCCCTAACAATACTCTGTTATTGAAAAAAATCTTTGTTATAAATGATTTTTTTTAAAAGGTAAAAACAACTTTGTTTCACCAATATGACAAAATAATTGGATGTTGAGGAAAATAAGGCTTGTGTAAATACACATATCCCCTCACTTGACTCTCTGTTAGAATAACCCTTTGAAATGCTGTAGTTTAATCTTCCAGCTGGTTGCAGGCATTTTATTGGCGTGGCAACCCTTGTGGTCTTGCCGACCTTTGGTTGCGGTTTCTAGGTGCTTCACCCCTTGCTCCATTGTCAGAGTTAATGAGCGAGAGGATTGAGCTTATAAAACCAAATGTGCATGTAACAGACATATAAACTCTTGTAAAGTCTCACCTCGGACCTCAGATTCTGTGATTTTTCCTCCTCACAAGGTCAGAGTATTTATAATTAAGTATGCACCAGAGTAGTTTATGACATTATACATGGTATCACTCTTACAAATATAAAGAAATATCGTCTAGTGAAGGAGATACTTGCAAAATGCAGTGATTTGATAATGGCAGGAATAAAAGATGCCACTTTGGGAAAATTGCTCAAAGCCTCAAACTTTACAATTGAACCAAATTTGATGCTTTCATTGAAAATAGTGATTATATTAATTCAAATGGATATTTCAGTGTGTTTTATTCATGATTTAGGTCGTGTTTCATTTTGTTGCAGAAGATTTTGTTGAATAGTGATTTAGATCACCACATGAGTGAGAAATTAGAATAATTAACGTGTATAAAAATCAAGCAGACAGTTTATCGTTGAACTAACAAGTCAGTGTGTGGAGCAATAATGGAGATTTGATGAATCATTAAAATCAATTTACACCAAAATAATCTTCCATCAGCTTCTAAAATGTACAAATAAGCTTATCTTTGTCACATGTGCTGGTAAAGTGTGTGTGTTTTGGAGGGTTTGCAACTTTGACTTTGTCATCTTTAAAATTGTCTACCATCATGGAGACCAAGCGAGGAGTAAATGTCATGATAACCATGGTGACAGATCGATCCAGCTTCTTCATTAGGGGCACATTTTAACGTGATGAGGACCACCTGCTCCTGACATTTGTTTGTTTAACCTCTCTTGATTTAGTCACTTGGCGTCTTCTCTAACAAATCTCATTCACAAAGTGGTTCAGCTGGGATTTTCACACCAGAGAGCCTGAACTCCAGCTGTGAAACATCAGCAGATGAACACAGAAAAAATAGTGTCAGTGCTCATATTAAAAGTAAAAATAAATAACAAAATCAACATGGGCTGTCAATATAATGTCCTCACAAAGGGTTAAATTTGACAAAATGAAGAGGGGATACTTTGGCATGAACTAAGATGCTAAAATTTATATCAATTTCCCTGAGTCAGCATCCCCAGATATAAAAAGAAGACAGCTAATCGAAGAGGACGGAGAAAATGTGTAGATACATAGGAGGAAAAAACATTTCATTATAAAGCATGCTTTGCTGTAGGGTTTTCATACATGCATAATGCAAAATGTTTCTGATCCTCCTGCAAAATTGATAAGCATGCATATCACATCATTTGCAAATTATACTGTAAGGTTTCATTAATTTATGAAATTAAAATTCTCTACTTCAAATTCGATTCATCACAGCAGGCGTGTTTAAGTCAAACAAGTGTTGTTCAGAATGAAACAAAGGGACATGTAACTCAGATGATGAGTATGTAGCACTCTTTCCGTTGGGCCAAAAAAGAGACAAACATTGAATGTACAAGTCCTCTTAAAGAATGTATGCCCCGTAAGAAAAGCTGGTAGGTTTACACGTGAAGTAGCTTTAAATCGACTGAAATAAATATAGGAACAACTAATTGTGGAAGAAAAAAAAAAAAAAACAGCAACTAAGGTACTAAAAGCATGTCAGCTTTGTTTAAAATATAAACCTTAAATTAAAGATGTGAAACTATGTCCCTGGACATGCTTTCTCAGGATGAATAAGGAACATGTCTAGGTCATTACATCAGTGCCTGGTAAAAATAGGGAATATTTAATTGAGTCATTACTGGTTTAAAAAACCTGAAACATGGGCTTCAGATGTGACCACAGGTGCTCAGGTGGAGATAACCCTTCTCTGCTGTGGCCATGATCACTACATGAACTGACTAATCTGAGTAATGTTTGCCATTCCTCACCACTCAAGCCACAGTTTGTCTGTTTTGATCAGATTTAGGACAGGACAACTGATCAGCTAGTTGAAACTTCATTCAGGGTTTGAATATAATTCAAACAGTGAAGGCCTCATAAGCTGAAATTAGTATTTGAGCAGCAGCACCTTTCATTTGAAGTGGTGACCCGCTACCCCAATGTGACCTCTCACCTCTCCAAGAGGGAGCAACACAATATTTTATTGATGGAATTCATGTTCACTCCTTTTGTTTTAGCAGCATGTTTCTCATCTATGAACAATGTCTTCACTCTGCTTGCACACTCCCACCAAGGCCTTCCGTTGCTTTGTGCCTCACACAGCAATGGTTTTACTTTCATTTTGGCATTCCTGTTAAAAAGTTAGAGCTTTCTAACTGCTAGTGAAAATCCAGAGAATAGAAAACTTGCCTTTTCTCAACATGGGTCTTGTTTGTCACTTGGCCAAAATAGACAGTTTCACAGCCTTGTACAAACAACATTTGTGTCTACTATTGTAGAGAACTACTAGTATGATTTTCAAAGTAAGAGCCTGATCTGTTTTTTTTTTCTTCCTCTTGTGACTGTCCTTGCGGTTGCTCAATGAAAATGGCTATGTATCCTGAACAGTTATTCAGTGAACAAAAGTCGCTTGTAAAGTGCTTTATCTGGATTCCTGCAAAATTCTCATGCCTTTAGGTTTTAAAAAAAAAAAGAACTCCAAAACACAAAATTTACAACAATGTCAAAGAGCAGGGACTGTGCAGCCATTTAAATCAATATGTATGTACACAGATATGAAATATTAATTGTCAATTTTGGCGCCCCCTCTGGACAAAGCAGTACACAGGGGACAATGTTTATTTAAGTTTATGGAATGAAATGAAAATTATATTGATGCCTTTTCATGATACCTTAATCAAAACAAGACCATCAAGACTGACTGACAATGTGCACAGAGTCATTTGTAATGCCTGAAACTGGTACAAGAGGGCAGGTGACAGCTGAGCAGCTGAAGAAACAAACCTTAAATATACAATTTCCACATAAAATATTCACAATAAATTATTTAATATATTTGACTGTCAAAAATCAGCAGGATTAGGGTTAGAGGAATCAAAGGACAAGATAAGCAAAGGCCGCTTTGTCCACAGAGGGCACCAAAATTCACCCAGACTGAAGGTTTCTCACAGGAGCTTTAAGTACCATGTTTAACCAAGAATCCCATCCTGCTGACTCATGACAGTTAAATGTATTATTTTTTTGTAATATTTTCTGTTGAAATGGTAGAAACAGCAATGTTTCTACTGCTGCTTTGCTGACACCTAACCCCTTGTTCAAGTTTGAGGAATCAAAAAATTACTACGTTGATGTTTTTGGTCTTGTTTCTTTTGGATCGATATGAATTTCAGTTTTTTTTATTAATGTAAAAAAACCCTCTAAATAGGAGCTTGAAGCACAGTTATCATGTAACATTTACTTTTTTACCGACCAGTATCTCACTGACAGGCAGGCAGTCACTGAGTGACTGTAAGTCTGTGGTCTGAATTTTGCTAAAACGTCCTTAAGCAAGCTGAACCCCAAATTTCCCTCCGTTGATGGGTGTCTGAATGAACCACTGGATGTAGTGTTCAATTACTCTGCGATCGATAATGACCATAATTATTAGTTGCAGCAGTCAACATGAGGCTTTCAAGAGCAAAACATAAATCTGAGCGGTGTGAGGTGGGTTGTATGGGTTTAAGAATTGTGGTGGAAGTGTTCAGGGTCTGTGAATGCTCATTGCATTTTAAAAATTGATATCTGCAGCCTCTACAAATCAATTTTGACTGATTACCTGGGCTATTAATATTAATGTCGCCTCACACAATGTTTTAAATCTTCCATGAATGATCCGTTGAACACATATCTGATTTGATGCATGTTAATATGATTGTCATGCTCTCTAAACTGGCAGCTCCATTTTCTTCCTTGATAACGCCACTTCTCTGAAGACAGGAGCATACAAAGGGATGGAGATAATCAGTCTGACTTATTATTGTTTGCCGGTGTCGTGATTAAAGTGTGATTGGCTCTCAGGGAAAAAGAAAAGACACAATGCCAGGAAGTTTACGCCGAGCCAGCATGGAACGACACTACGCTATGCTGTCTTTATGGGAAATTATACCAAACACAACACATATTGTCATGAATAATTAACAGGACCAGCTTTACGAGGAGTGGAATTTTAAATAAATGCAGTTGGAAACTAGAGTTTGCATGGGTCGCTCCTGACAATAAAACCATGTAAAACCTTGCTTCCATCTTTAGCGGCCCGCAAGTAATTACAATCTATAAAGGAAGATTGTTTTAATATGGAAATGGAATCCTTGTCGTAGTTCATTCAGTGCAGCCTGTCATATAATTTTATGGCAAATTCCCTGAGGAGAAACAGAGCCTTTCTCTCTGCTTCCAATCTGGTTTCAGCTGTACGGCACAGTGCTGAGCCGTGTCTGAAGAGTGCGTCTGTTAAATCTGATATAGCTTTTTTTTTTTTTCTTTTTTTTTTTCTCAGATAGGACTAACTACTCATGTATCTGCACCGTATTAATTAAAAACACAAACAAGACAATAGATGCATGAATGAAGTGAGTGTTTTTACAGATCATTATTACCGTCTGACTGAAGATCAGTAAATAGCTGAATGGATTTTAGGATGGATAATTGGTTGTTTTTCTGCGTTCCCTGTACGTTGCTAGGGTCAACCAGTATTTGGAGTTTAATAACCTCATCATGCACACCCGTTTTTGACCCGCAGTGACGCACATTGAATCAGAGGCACTCTGAGAGTGAGCGAGCGCTCCATGCAGTGTATTTCAGACAAAGCTATTAAGATATTTGTGCTCTTTTACTTCACTGAGCTACAAAGTGTGTGATCAAAGCGCTGATATGTTGAACACAGTCTCACATCTTTGCTCGTAGCTGTGTGAGTTCGAACCCCCCCGGTGTGTGTGCTGCTGCTGCTTTTCTCTTGTATAGTGTTATGATGCAGTGATAAGGTCATCAGGCTGCCAGTCAGTCCTCAGAGGACCGAGTCTCTCTCTTCTCACATGCTTCCTATCGGCTTGGTGCAGCCCTCCAGACGTCATTCCTGACAGGATCAGGAGCCCGGACAGCAACCTGGTGTCATCCTTCATACTGCACGCTCGTCCTTACCGTGTGTGCTGTTTATCATGTGAAACAGAGACGTGGGTCAAGTGTCTTCACGCTGCTGAGTGACAGAAACCCCCCTGTCACATGAATTAACTCCTGTATGTATGATGGAGCACTGGCCGTGGTTTAAGGGCACTTTGTGAAGCACCCCACACACCCAACCCACACAACTCGCCACTTTAACTCCCCCCACCCGACTTAGTATTCTTCTCCTTCAGGCTCATAACATGAAGCCTATTCATCTGCTCAATGTTGAGACATGGCAGGGAGAACTGATATGTGATGGCACCTCTGTCCTCCAAGCAACCACCAAGTGTGCACGGACTCGTCAGTGACAGGAGGGTGGTGCTGAGTAGTGGGTGGGGGAGGGTGGGCAGCAAGTCTAATGGTATAAAATAAAATGTGCGTAGCTGCTCTTCCTGGAGGTGATTACTTTTCATGACTCACAAGAAGGCTGGAGGTAATTTTCTTATGTAAAAGTACAATAATCTCATCAGTCTAAATGACAGGGTGCAGCCATCACATGCCTGCGGGCTCCTCTTTAGCCTGACAAAAATGTGCTGTTGGCTAGTGTTACTGACAGTAAGAAAAGATGCTTTGATAAAAATAGAGAAGAGCCAAAATGACTGTTGTCAGTCCACCTTTAATTACAGTATTTCTTTTCAGTAGCTTTGCATCATTCCCAGCTCACAAAATCCTTTTTTATCTCAAGCTTGTTTCTGACTTTGGCATCAAATCTACGCCACAACATATGCTATCGTTTTCTGTTGTTCTGTACACTCCCAGAAGCCTTTGCAGGCAACCTGATTTTAACATCCACAGAAACTTAACAATGTTCCGAAACAGCACAGCTCTGCCACCTCTGCGTCTAATCGGCCGTGTTGAGCCATATTGCAGGTTAAAGAACATATTTGTCAGCCCATTCGCTAACATTAGCATTTAGCCACTTCATAGCCTACATTTCCATCAAAAAACACTGATTTATCTCCGGCTGCAGCTATCGAATATTTTAGTAATCGAGTATATTATCAAATATTTCATCAATTAATTGAGTAATCGGATAAAACATTTATATATATAATTTTTCTTAAATTAAAGTGCAATTATTAATATACAAGAGAATATAAGACATTTAACTTAATAATGAACAATCAATTGTCTTCCTTTTTTAGAAACAGGGAATGCGGGACAAGTGTGTGCAGTAGCAGATTGCAATGCTTGTAAGAAAGCTTATTATGATATTAACTTTCATCGTGCCCCTAAAGACATTAGTGTCTGAGAGCTGAATCGCTCTTGTGTTACCTGCTTCTGCTACTACACCGACAATGTTAGGCTGCAAGCTAGCATGAAGAGGAGTGTGCAGAGCAGCGCTGTCTCTGCCCACGACTCAGAGACGAATTGCTAATGATCTACTGGAGCTCTGCAGAAGAAAAGACCCTTCTCTTCATTCATTTTTTCTGCTATGAAAAACCAAAATCGCACTTACTCCTCCTTCTTCCTTGGTGACGTAACGAGTTGTGTCACCCTGAAAATAATGTGTGTGAAACATTATTGAGCTTATAAACGAGTACTCAAGGCAAAGAAAATCTCTATCATTTTTTCGTAATCAAGGTAATCGAGGTACTCAAGGAAACGTTTCAGCCCTAGATACATCATAAGAGGATGATCGCAGTGAGAATACAGTCCACAAGCTAACTTTGCAGATACCCGAGAGGGGCAACAGCAGCAGCAACAACCTCGATGGGAACAACGTGATACTTGAAGGGGAGTCCTGAGCACAGCAGAAACTTTTCAGGACGGACTGATCAGGTGGATTGGTTCCCCCCTCGACTTTGTAGGCTACCATGCCCTGAGCAGATATCTGTGACTTGCGGATGTCAGCTCCTCTGAAGCCTTGACTTTTGAAGCCTCAGGGATGACTTTGAAATGTGTTTACTGGATTACTTAAAACACAGATTATGAACATTCATCTTTGTAATATTATATACAAGACAGAATAAGAAAGATTTGCATAATGAGACCCCTTTACATAAAGCTTTAAACATGGGTTACAGGCCCTGAAGGCTGCTTAGTAGAGGCAGTGGAGCTGAGGGGAGACTTATGGAGCATTGAAAATGAAAAAAAGGTTCACCTTGTTGAGATCACCTTCCAGGCAACAGCGCCTGAAAGTGACTTGAAGAATGCTTATTTGATTCATTAATTTTGTTCAGAAATGTCTCAAACTCTTGTTCAGTGTCAGCTCGGTAGTAAAGGAGTAATCTGGCATGTTTTATATATACGTTGAGATTTCCAGATAGCAATAAAGAAATTTAGAAAAGACATGACAAGGCTCGTGCTTGCAACCGGATTTAGCTACAACAGATGTAGACAGTACTTAGATTTTTAGTCATGTCACATAACTTGTTGAGGAAACAAAGAGTTATGGGGAATAAAAGCTAAGCTGCAGCTCTCCTCAGTTACATTTGTTTTTGGGTGACTTTAAAAAAAAACATTTTTCATTGTTTAATAAGTTTATCCTTCACTCCAGATCAGACCGAAAGTAATTCTATAATAACGGCTAACACACTGCCTGTCTGAGACAGCACTAAAATAACTCATGTCACTGGTACAAAAGCTTTTACCCAGTCACAAGTATGTCGTTTTAATTTTTAATGTTTTTTTTTTTTTCCTGCAACCATCTGGCAACCATCTGGTGACACCTCCCTGCTGTGGTCAGGACCCAAAGGTTAAGAATCACTGCTCCAAACAACAGAACCAGAGCGAGTAGATATGCATAGAGTAGTTCTGCATTAAAAACAGTTAAAAACCAGGTTTTGAGTTTTTTTTTTTTATTTAAATTAATTCATTCCTGTGGTCCTCTCTTACCTGTATTTTTTTACTCTCTCCCCTCAGTATGTCCTAATAAAACAATAAAGCCATAAAAAGTTTGATTCAGATGCTAAATTCTGAGCACAGCACTACAGTCTTGGTTTAACGGTGCTTTTTATTGTTTTAAGATGCAAAAACAACTAATAGATCTTTTCTGTAAGTTGGCTATGCTTCTTAATTTGGATTTGCTGGTAATGAAGTGGCAGAAGTTTAGAAAACTTTCTACAGTGTTTTGATCATGCAGTGACAAACACTGTTGGTGATGAGGGCATTCTGCTCTTGAAACATTTAGCACTGAAAACTAAAATATTTTGCCCTGAGCCTGCCAGCTGGATTCGCCAGACATGGCCCTGAGACATTGTGACCGAATGATGTTGCTAAAACAGAGGTCACAAAAACACTATAATCAGGAGTAAAATCTGGAGCCTTTCCAGGATGTCTTGCTCTGAAAGTCGGAAGTCTCTGCACTTATGCTGAGGTGATTTTATGAGTCATTTGTGTTGATCAACAACCCTTATAACCTTTGCCATTATTACAGCCATTTTAAGCCGTAGAGCAGTTAGCGGCTCACTTAATGAACCTTTAAGGGTGTCGAGAAGAACAAGAAACAGCCGTATAAAGGAGTGATGGTTGCTGAATGCCAGAGATTGACCTTACAGAAACTGCAGCACAGACTCTCCTCTAATCTACCTTCACTGAGCTGATTTTATTTCAGTGTCAGCCCAAACACTTTTCTCTGGCAGCTTTCCACTCAATAAAGAAAAGAAGGAAGAAAGTGTGTTACTTTTCCCACATCATTACAAAAGTGAAGCGAGTTTCCAGAAGTTTCCTTGGGCTTTATTGTTATATCTGGAGCAACTAAAGATCCTTGACAGGCATTTATATTGTTGTTATTTAGAAGTGGGCTGATTTCAAGCTTGGTTAGCTTTGGTGTACTCACACCTATTAGTGTTGTTCGGCTATGGTTCGGGAAGTTATCGATCCATCTTGTGGTTCAAGTTTGAGGCTACACCAAACCTTCTTTTGATTAAAAAAAGACAAACATGAAACTTGAAATTTGTCATCTTTTCTTTTCTTAAAATAACGTGGTTTGTTCCCCTAATGGATTTTTGAAAGCAGTTGACGTCCTTAAGCAATTTACTGTGATTAAAGCCTGTTTATCTTTAAAGCACGCAACTATTAACAGTAAATAGTTTCTCCTCAAACACACCAGGAAGCCAAGAATAAAAAGACAATTAAATATGTTCCCTTTGGTTTCTGAATAATTTACCCAAACAAAACTGCAGCCTTGACAATAAATGCTCAATCAATTTGTCAGCAACAAAGTGCCACATAGAGGTTTCATTTAATGAATCCTAACGTTGAAAACATCATTGTCACAGCTCCTCTTTTGTTTGCTCTGTCTCCATTGTGGCTCATTAAAAATTATCAACCAATCCATGTGCAAGCTATATTTGCGATTCTGGGCACAAAGCTCATTTCTCTACTTTGACACAGGTTTACTTTTATTTTAAATGCTGAGCAGCTCTTGCTTTTCAACATTCAAAGGAAATCTTAAATTAATTCATCCAAACCCATTTAAATAGGAATCTTGTTCATTTCATCACGCAATCTGCCGAGCAAAAGTTTGAAAAGTGTTTTATCAACTCTTTGAGCTCCCCTGACGTGATAAAGTCAAGATGAAGAACATTTATTTATGTATTATCTTTCGCTCCAAAGTAGTCCATTTGCAGCCGAAACACCCTGGTGAATTGTATGTTTCTCCGCTCTGTGTAATTAATTTAGAGATTACATTCTGACAAACTTGATACTTAAAAAACTTGCAAAACCACAGGCCCCTGCCCCAGGAGTCATCCATCAATTTGTAATGCCTGGAGAACTCTAAAGTAATTCTCTGTGCTTGGAAAGAGGTATAAGAATAGCACACACACACACATGTACACACACACACACCTACATGCACACACTGTGGAGATTTCAGAGCAAGGTAATCATCAGCATAAGACATTCTGTCCATTTGCCGTCTCAGTAGAGCTTAATTCTGCCTGAAAATTGGTCTGTTGAATGAGCACAGTGTCTGGCAGCCAATGTCAAGTCAACTAAGGCCCACATTATTTTAGCTAGTGGTCCATGTTTTAGTATAGTTCTATGGTTGGACTAACAATTAAAAAAATAGCACTTACATATCAGAGTTTGCTTGTCCAAGCTGCTAAGCCTGGTCTTTATCTGGGTCCAAAATACACACATTTCTCCTGAATGGGTCATAAATGTTTGTAACTAAACCCAACAGCAATCAATTTAATTGCTTTTGGGACATTTCAATAGAAACAATGAATGTAAAGCTCATTGTGGTACAAGAGGAAAATCTACATATACCCAAAGCCATGAGGACTCATCATCTGGGCATCATTAATGTTTGCAAAAACATTTATGGCAACCCACCCAGTAGTTGAGAAAGTTCAGTCCCAGCCAAAGTGGCGGACCAACCAACTGGCATCGTACTCCCTGTAGCAATACAGCAGGCAAAGCCAAAATGTTTTGGCTTGTTAGCACTGGGGTCTAAAGATGGTGGACTCAGTTTGTCCATTCAGCCATCTGTCTATATGTGTACTGCTGTCCAACATCAAGGTTTCCAGATACATCCTGGCCAGATTTCTGTGGTTGTTACTCCATATAGAGGATGTCTTACAATATCTAGCCCTTTGGAGGATTCTGTCAGCGCTACCATCAGCCACATTTTTTTAAAGTGGAGACCATAGATCTCAGAATCTGAGGAACACATTGCTATGGCATTTTTCAAGCCCACTGGACAGATGTGGCTCAGAGGGTAGAGTAGGTCATTCAGTGATTGGAAGATGGCCTGTTTGATTCACTGTTCACCTAAGTGTGTGGAAAATAGGTATGTGATTCAGTCCTGAAGGGCAGCAAATTTCAAGGCAATCTCTGCCATCAGTGTAAATGTAAGTGTGAGCCAGAGTGAAATTTGACATCAAGTGTAAAGCACTTGGAATCAAGAAAAGAAAGGCTCAGTATAAGTGCAGTCCATTTACCATTGACTTCTCAGAGAATAAAACCTTCTTTTATATGGACACCCCATTAGCTTCCCTAACGCAGAAAAGAATTTTCTACCTTTATGTGAAATTACGTCACTCAAAGCTGCCTTTGCTTTGATTCTGAAAGCGTCTGATCTCCAACAAATCAGGACAATACTGCTTGCCGAGGCTTTCCAAATTGCAAATAACTTTATAAACATGAACTTTACCGTCACTTTTGTCAGATTTTAGTTTGAATTAGGCAAACAGAAATTTTTGGCAATGATCACGGTCATCATCAAAATTTTTTCACTCCGATTTCTCTTGTTTATCCCACACAGACTTGCAAGTTTACATTTCTTTGATATTAGTCCCAAACAAAGTAATATAACCGGGCGTCCTTTAACACCCGTGAGAGGATGAGAGCATTGCATATTGTGCCTTGAGTAATGTTTTCAAGTACCACCATAAATTGCCAAAAGAAACTGTCAAATAGAGAGGACGGGCAGCTGGTATGAAGTCCTGCTCTGCCAAAATAAAAAGTCCTGATACGCCAAGGGTTTGAACTTAAAAGTGGCAGTACCAAGTCCTGGAGCATACTGCCCCACATACAGTATGCTTGCTCTCTTACTTTAAAGCACTGCCTTAAACTGAAACCCGTCTGTCAGTGCAGAGTCAGAAAGAAAATGGTTGAGGCTTTTTGGAAGAGCTGTTTGTCCAAGTTAAACTGCCCAATAACATTTAAGTAGACTTGAGTTGAATGGTGAAAAACAGTAGATATTCCAAAGAGGTTGAACATATTGGAGGAAATGCATTTGTCACTGACTGGCCACTATTGGATGACTGTCAAATTTTGATTAATCACTTAACAGATGTCTGCATATGAGAGCAGATGCCGATCCAGTCATCGACTCCAATTTTATCCTCACGTCTTGAGTCGCTTATTGAGCCAGTGGACAAAGGAGGAAATCTTTGCTTGGCTATCCAATATCATTTGACTGGACGTGCCCTAACTGCACTGGAAGCTGGAGCAGATTGGTGGTTGCTCCTACAGCCTTGTCATAAAATGATGATTGGGTCAGAGAGAAACTCAACACTGACAGTTCAAAGGAAATGTAAAATCATTAGAGGATGCTTATTGTGGAGTTAAAGCCGTGTTTTATCAATAAGAGACAATTTTGACTGAAAAGGCGTCATTCACTCGGATAAAACGCAAGTTGATGAAGATATGTGTTTACAGCCAGCGCCTTTACATGTTGTTAGAAATATCAATTTATTTTGTTGGGGAAATTTAAACTGGACTTAATGGACACATGTCAACACATTAGTGCAACTAAAATCACAAGTTTCTCACAGTTGGGCAAACAATAGTAGACAGAATAGATCAAGATGAATTTCCTCTCCCATGTGTATGTGTAAACTGAACTCAGCTTTCTGAGTACATTCACCTAATAAAAAAGCTCTGTCATTGTCTGAATGCTGTAAAAAAAAAAAAAAAAAAAAGCTCTCAGATTGTTAGTTCTCCCTTTTAGGTTCACTTTCATATCTCGGAGCTTATAGACTTGCAATCTTGTTAACCTGCAGTTATACAAATAGGAAATGTCACTTTTACAGATACCTGCAGGAATCCTCCCTTTTTCCTAAAGCTTACAATAGGACAGTTTTATCAACAAAGCAGCCAGCCATGCTGTATTTAAACTGGAAAAGCATTCAAGCCTGCTGCTTGTAAAGCGGTGAAATCAGTTTTTCATTTTTCTTTCCCAGACTTTAAATGAGTATTAAACTGTTGAGCGGTACAGGGAGCAGAAAAGAGGGCCCTGCGTCCAGGCTGCCAGTTGTTTGTACCTTCTCACACCAGTTGCTCCTCTGTAATGTGTTCATTACAGTCTCATTATGCTAATGTGATGTACTCTGTTCCTCGCTGCTGTGTTTGGCAGGCCAGTTGGCGGTGGGAACCTGTGAGATAGTGATGCTCAACAGAGACAGCAGCGTTCCCAGACGGACCATCGCTAGGCAGACAGCCCGCTGTGCCTGCCGAAGAGGCCAGATCGCCGGGACCACCAGGGCGAGGCCGGCATGTGTGGACGGTAAGTTGAATGACCGTTCTTGGCAAAAGGAGGGGGATTGTCTTACAGGGAACATATTTTAGTTGTTCACTTTCCCCTGGAGCTTTAAAAAAAAACACCTCAAATGTATCAACCTGAAGCAGACTAAAACTAGAGAAGGAGAAACCCACTGTGGATAAATAAACGTTGAATTAATGAGTACGGTTCCTCAGGTGGCCCCTAGGAACACTACAAACAGTTTAATTTTGCTGTAATTTAATTCACTGGAAGTAATTTCATTTACTGAAGGTCCAACCATTACTATTCCTATCATAAGCAGCTCTCTCCTGTAATAACCATATAATTCATCTCAAATGAACGACAACATGCTGGCAGTGGGTCAGATTGCTGTAATAGTTGTTTATATGGGGTCCACTGCATGAATCCTTGCCTAACAACACCCTATTATTCGCACAGCAGGATGCTGTTTGAACCAAAATTACACTGGGTGTTTATTTTGTTCGATACAAGATTTGCCTTTAATGTGCACCAAGTGAATACTGGCGTATAGTTGGAATATGGAGTGGGGTTTAAAGGTTCGTATAAATCCACTAACTGGGAATAATCATGATGATGATAATCTTATTTCACATGCTTACATGCACTTCAATCAGACGGTATCAGAAAAACTTGATTCATCACAAAACGAAAAATTCTTGAATAATTTGCTGTTTCTTTTGCCCTCACTGTTCATGTCAGGTTTCTGGTTTACAGCAGAGGGTAAACAGTTGTGTTAGCATACATGCTAGCTAGCGAAGGTGTTCGAGAAAGATGGCAGAGTGGACAGCTCTTTCTTTGTGGAAATATTCCTATTAATTTGGGTTATCACAATAAGGTATAAAGAGGATAAGAGCTTGTCTGCTGCTTTACTTCAAAGCATCTGTAAGCTAAACACAGCTCTGCAACGATGGTGGCGAGAAAAATGCTGATAGTGCTGCAGCTCTTAAAAATGTAACGCCTTATAGGCCAGATAATTAATACTTCACAAGTTGCATGTTTGAAGGTGACTGGAGGCTGTTAGGACCTTGTGTTACATGCTGTTTTATCTGAAACAGCTGTGCGTAGTACTGTGTCCCTCTGCCCAGGTCCTGTCAGGTTACCTCATGGTAAAGAACCATAAAGATAATGAGCTGTAGATGAGGTTATGGTTGTTAAAAGGCAGACACAATGGACTACACACCGTCTGGACAATTCAACTGACACGTGTAGAGAGTCGAAGGTTTGAGAATGCAGGAGTACCCTAATGCATTACTTCGGTTGGTTAGTAATGCTGGAATGTAACCTGTTAATAATCATTGGCTGTAATCTGGTAATGGAAGAATAAGTAACAATACCCAACACTGAATAGAGTTAGGTGCATTAAAGACAATAACTTTCATAAGAGTTAATCTGTTCATGCTGTTTTCAACTAAACAGAAAATTACATGTTAATGCTGCTGAGCTACCTGCAAAACACTGCTGCAACAGTGCTGCGTTCCTGTGGTAAATCCAGGTAAGGTGAAATAATAATGCAATAAAAAAATGAATATAACAGCAGTTAAAGGTTTTGATAATTGTGGTATCAATTAACCTTAAGGTAACAGTAAAGCGTATGTGTTCCTAGCTCTGGAGGTGAAGAATGTTAATTGTGGTTTGTGCCTTTTTCCATGTTTTCCTTTTTTTCTTCTTTTTTTTCATTTTTGCTTGCTGTCTTTGCTCTTACACAGATGTAATCCAAAGGGGGAAAAAAAAGATTTTATGGTATACATGCACAGAATTTAATGATTATTAGGCTAAAACATAGTTGTATTTATCTGACTTTTGATAATCTAATATTGGCCTTTGTTGGATAAAGAATATCATTGTGCTGGTAGCATGACTACAAATATGATCATGTACATAATAAGGCAACTCCACATTATCAGTGTGCATGTAATTGCACTCATGGACTTATTTTTGAGCAAGTGTTTCATATATAATTGGTTATGTGCTGTGAAATAATAGATTTATGTGAGATGCATGAATAGTTTCAATTTTGTTAAAAAAAAACAAAACAAAAAAACTTTCTTAACAAAAGTTTGTTAAGAAGAACCATACCATTCTCCCATCTGTGCCGTATTAATGAAACCACAGCCGACTGGCAGTCAGCTCCCCCTTGCTTGGAGTAGAAACTTGATATTGATTATACAAATAAAAGCAGACAGAAAATAACATAAGAGATTAAAGTACACAACAGCAATGACTAAAAATACATAAAATAAACACTGATAATGGCATACAATGACATGTTGAGTCATTAACTCTCCTACAGCAGCATTCACAGACCTTTTTCACTGCAGACAAGTTGACAGAACAGGAACATCATGAAAAATCATAACGGGAAAAGCACAGGTGTAACTATTACCGTTAATGATAACTCCTTTCCATTATGTGTCCCATTCCAGGAAACCAGGAGACAGAATACCATCTACATCTTGTGCACCTGGATGCAGTGCAGTCATTATTCATATTATGTCAGTGAAGCACACTTTAGTCGAAGAATTGACCATTTACAGTTAGTTACCTGTTCCCCCTTGACAAACACAAACAGGGTCATTAAATCCTGTTAGATCAACATATAATGAGGAAGAGGGTTGTGCAGACAGAGCTGCAGCAGCAAACACTGCCTGCATTTGATTTGATAATCAGAGCGACAGTTATTAGGGTTAAAGGGTGAAGGGTTAAAATGTCAGAGCTGTACTACTGCAAGAATATTATGAGATGTTTATGCTACACAGCTACAAATCAGCCAAACACTACAAGGCTAAAGAGACCGTTGTTTATCCACCAACGCAAGAGATATTTAAATGCTCTGCCGTAACCAGGACATGCTTAATTAATCCTTTATTTTCATTCATGTGACCATATCATTGAAAGGTTTATAACAATGAAGGCCTCCATTAATATAGCCAGTTACCAATCTCGCTATATAACTTTAATCAGTACATAAATCAACACAGATAACCTTCATTTTTAAAGGAATCATCATCTTATGAAGGATAATCATGATTAGATGGCTGGCTCTAGTTGGGACTGCTTCTGATGTGAAGCCTGTTTTTGATTGACATTTCACATTCTAAAGTTACATTTTTTGATATTTAATATATTGGAGGAGCGGAACTTAGAACTAACACTGCAGCAAGACACCGGGAAGAGCCCTAAAAGTGTTGGCTTCACTCCAGGTATACCTGTTCTGCTGTCCATGTTTATTTGTGTTTTAATTATAGTCACTTTAGGCTTCAACCAAAATTGTGAATCCGCACAGACTAATGTGTGAAACATCTGTGACTTTTATTGGTAGCTAGGTTATACACATGAAGACTAGACTCCTCCAATCTGGATTCTAATGTCCATTTCTACCTGTTTTTCAGTAACGCTTATTTTTTGTGTTATCTTGAATGCAGCCATAAAATCATTCAGTCTTTACCAAATCTCAGCCACATAGTGTGACCAAAAAAAAAAGGTGTGATAAAACAAATGAAAGAGCTCATTTTTTTCTCTATTTGAAGTAAGTGCTGATGTAATTTGGTTGTTTAACCAGTGAATCGATAATCACTTTGCGTATCCCCCTTTTTTGATAGCTCTTAGACTGTTTGGCTTCCAATTATGAGACTGGTTGTCGCTGTTAGACCTTCTTCAGTCAGCCGGCGTGACATCAGTAAATTGGAAATCACTTTTCAATGTCTCCTGCTTTCTTCTGTTTGTATCTTATTGAATTTTCCTTCCCCCTCTGGTGTTTTTTTTTTTCTTTTTTTATGAACCCCAGCTGAAAGAAGATAACTTGCAACTTGTTCATCCACTTTAAAGATAAGGATTTATCCTATAGAGGCCCTTTGTGATATTGGACAGTATCTCAGGGATGTTGATAAGACAGATGAGAGGACTTGGGGGAAGACAGAGTCCATCTGTGATGCTGATTGGATCTTACAATATCACAATCACACGCATCAGATTCACCATTAGTTCCATCATGCAATGACTCATGTTAGCCTTGATCTAATAGCCTTGACACACCACCGCAGTCCCACTGCCTGTGTCACGCTCCCCACCCTGGCTCCAACCACCTCTCCCTCTCTGCAGATGCCTCTCCATAACACTCAACAGATGCTAATTAACTTACAGAGAACTATGATTACAGCAGCAGGAAATTGATTATTACTGGCTTCCCGCCGCACCACACCCTGCACTCCATTAATAGCCAGTGCATTAAAGATGGAACCTGTTGCTGGCAGGCTCATTTAAAGGCTTTCTGCTGTCAGCTGAAAGAGCGTCCATCATCATGAGGCTTTAAAGTGGAATTTCTGCATGAGTATGCAATGCCACTGCTCAGATATCCTCTCTGACCTTTAGCTCAGAGTTTATATCCAGTTACATTCTCTGTTTATATAAATTCCCATAAATGCCCCTTTTGCCCCTCTAAGCACATAAACTAATAAACTGACTTATAAACAAGTTCATTTGTATCTCGCGCCAGGGCTTTGGCATTCTTCACCGGGCTGTTATTAACACAGCAAGGGCTCACCGTCCTCTGGGTCAATTTAATATAACTCTTTCAGAGCAGCAGCAGGACTGGATCACTGCCTTTTTGAGATGTGTGCTGATAGAAGAGTGACCTTTAATGAAAGTGGGACCACCATCGGCTGATTGTTGTGAGTAAAAAGGCCAAGATTCATTTCCTCACATGAACTTCAGTAATCTGATGATTCCTCGCTTTCGACACATCTCATGCTGGAGTCATATATGTAACTGCAGAACGTGCTCTGCTTACGGAAGGTACAGTTTCTCTCTTTGAGTTGCAAGTCTTACTGCATGCATAGTCATGCGATCCTACAAGTAACTTATTCTTGGGCAAGATTTTTTATCATTCTGTGGCTGCAGTGCTTTAACTTTTTTTTTATCCCAGACAAAATCAAGTTTTACTGTCCTCTCTTTTCACTGGACCGCAAAGAATAGAACAAGTGGTGATGTTCTTTTCTGCTTTATACCTCAAAAGTATAAAGCAATGTACACCCTGAAGCAGGCAAGGACACAGAAAGACAGCAGCCCTCAGCAGTGTCTGTTAACTTTTTAAAACATACATGTAGCCGTAGAGATGCACTTTTTATTTTACAACTAGAGAGAAACTCAGATTTTATTTCTTCTGTCAAGGATTTATTGTGTGAATCTTTAATGAAATTAAGTTATTAGCAGTTTTTATAACTCCATTTCTTTTCTTTCCCCTGAGAAATTAAGGCTTCTTAATAATTTTCTGTACGCTACTCCAAAAAAGGAAAAGTTTATTACATTGCCTTTACCCCTCTGTTTTAGAAATATGATAAGATGCTCCTTTATTAGTCCCACAAAGGGAAATTAGAGATATATAACTGAATAAATTAATGATCAATATACTATTTCTTATTTGTTTGCAAAAAACTAACTCTAACCTATTAAAACACAGATATTATTTATTTGAAGTGGTAACCTCCAGTCAGGGAAAAAAGAAGTGTTAAAAACTGCAGATCCCTGAGTGTCCACTAGGGGCTGACTCAGAAAGCACACGTAGCCACATACACACTCATTCAAAAAATTCCATATATAAAGCAAAACTGAACATTATTACGGTAAGATAAGATAAGATAAGAAGAACTTATTTATCTCTAATAAAAATTCAATCAAAAATTAAATTTCATTACATCCTTGTTCAAAAACACTGTTTTGGTCTGGGTAGCTCTTCTCTGTCCTGACACATACACACCATGTTTTTTTGTAATGCATTGATTTTAAAGATGTTAAGGTTACAGTTTTGGCTAATCAGAGGCATGGCTGGGTTGGCTGAGGTGGACACATTGAAGCTGTTTGTGAGGAGGAGTCGGCTGAAGACCTGACTCAAGGTAGGTTGACAAAAAGTAAGGCAGAGATCAGTATTTCCAACATGGCTAACACAAAGGTAGTCTTCAAAACTGAGTACAAAACAAATGGGTCACCAAGCCTGAGTTCATGGATTATACAGTCTATGATACTTAATGGGATGGCTGGTGCAAATGGACTAACAGGGATGAGACCTCTGTCCTAAAACAATACAAATATAAATACAAAACAATTGGTCTTATATTTGAAATAGCAACCAAACGAAGTAAGTACCAGAAAAAAAAGGCACATCTCTTTGTATTGTTTGCTTTAATATTTGAACTGCATTATTCTCACAATCACATGCCTAACATCCCAATTTGGCACTCTTTCCTATTCCCATTGCCGCTGCTACCATGCTGAAGTACTTGACTAAAAATTGTCAGCCCCAAAAAATACCCCAGCATCCACCTGCGGGCCTCACCTGGGGTTGGAGATGGTGTCTCAGCACTTTTTAATTATGTAAAAGCTTAACTGGGAAGTCTGAGCCTAGTTGCCAGACTCGGTTTTGAGTTGTCTGACTGAATTGTGATGTTGCAGACCATAGAAATGCTACTTATGTAAGAGTGGGCACAAGTAGCATCTCTACTGTCTCTACAATTGATCACAATTGCACACTCCCAAAAGTGAGTAACTCTAAGCATCATAATATAATTTCAGTGCTAAATAGGGTCCTGATCCCACGTAACTTCTCAATGTACTTGTACTGTTATAATCTGATGATGGGAAAAAAACAAAAACAAATAATGTTAAAGTAGAGATCACTTAAGAAATGATCTGTGTGGCAGGTTTTAGTCATTGGAGAATGAAACTTGTATTAGAAAGTATTTTTTTGATTCTAGTAATAAGCTCCTGTTTTCCTGTTAAATTTGTGATTCACAGGTGAAACAATGCCAGAGACGATACAAACCTCGCAATCTGTTCAACACAGTTCGTCTTTGTTTGCAGTTCTGTGAGAGGCTGACGTCAGATCTTTTTTTGGATGAAAAACTGGTGGGAGATTCTGTAACTGCAACATTGTCAAACGAGACCCAAGTGCAAAAAAGTAGGACCCAGTACACAACAACAACAACAACAGGCTTCAGCAGGAGTGGGTGTAAATAAATAACTGAACTTCCTGCAGACAGGAGCAATACAATTTAAACCTACTGATCAAACTTCCTGTGAGCAACAGGACACTCTGGCACAAAGTTCACTTTTTACAGACTTAAAAGGCGGGCAATAGGACGACTCTTATCAATCAAACAAATGGTACCCAACTAATGTGATTGCAGCCTGCCATCACGAATGTTCAAAATCAGCACCATGGACAGCAGTCACGACAGCTAAGATTGCAGATGTTAAATGGGTCCCAGTTCTTAATCAAATCCAGCCCACAGCAGTGTTTTTATGGGGTTAGAGCATGAAGTGTGTCTGCATTAAAACTCTGTGACCTGTGAGCAGACTACTGTCACTTTATTAAATTAGTACACTTTTGATGGACACATGAAATCAAATAGTGCTGAAGGTTGCTGTCTGTTTTATGTATCCCAATAGGAGAGCCTCAGTCACTAAGGAGTGAGTGTACTTTTTTGTTAAATAGGAAAGATTGGAAAGAAATACTTGATTCCTCAGAAGACTGTTATAGATGTTCACTGAATGAGTTACCGGCATCAAACCGTGACATTACTTTATATATCCCAGAAAGTAAGAAATTAATGTTGAGTTATAAGAAGAAAAGCAGTTTTTTAAAGCCACATAAATGTATCTAGATCAGTTGTACTAAAAGGTAAGTATAAGGAAATCACCAAAGTTCATGAGAGGATACAAATCTTGGCCTTTTGTGAGGTGGACCCACATTTATTAAAGGTCACCCCTGTGTCACAACACACCTCAAAAGGGCTTTGGTATACTCCTGCTGCTGCTTTCAGAGTGCTGAAAGTACTGAGAACAATTAAAATCATCCTGACTTTGAGTAAAGTTTATTTGACAACTCTGTCCCTGTACACTCAAACCTTAATAAAACAAAAAGCCAGATGTTTACATTCAAATTATTGGCCAAATGTTGTCGCCTTTTCTTGTAGGCGCCAGGGATTCTGGTTGATCAAACCAATCATTAATATGTTTTTATTGCTATGAACTTGAAATACTGCAGCAAGATGGAGCTCAGAAATGACTTCCACCATAATACTCTAGTACACAGACATAAAGAAGGCCTCCCATAGCATGGCAGTATTTGATCTATAAAGTTGCATCAAGGCTGTGACAGGCTAAATGGGAAATGCGTAACCATTTACCTGCAAGGAGAACCAAAAGCTGGTGGTGCTGGCTCTGCTAGTGTTAGCCATGTTCGGCAAACTTTTGATATTATTTACCTGCAGGCTCTGTGATTCTATTTTGGGTCATTTCTACCGTAACTAGGCAGGACAGCTGGTAAAAATGGTAAATTTGGGAAAATGGAGAAGGGCTAGACGACTGGCTTACCCCCTACAAACTAGGACCACAGCCTCTAAGCACTGGCTGCTTGGACCATGAGGCCACTGGCGCCAGGGGCTTTGTGATTCTATTTTTAGCTGTGTTGGATGAATTGTGCTCAGTTTTGACTGTTTCTGGGCATTTTCTCACCTCTAGACTAGTCGGCTGGTTGGAATTTAAATTTTGTGAAACTGTTGATTCAAAACCTTCCTAGTTTTAATGTCCCAATAAGGGAACTTAACCACCAACAAGAGAGAGAGAGAGAGAGAGAGAGTCTCTTTTCACGAAGGACAGATAAGAAAAATACTCAGTTACCCAGGGAAAAGGGGAAACACGGACACTGCATAGATTGTTAGCACAGCATTTTACTGTAGATGTAACTAAAAACTAAAGAGTTGAGGATCAAGTCAAGTAACTGGTGTTTTAAGGACAGAGAAATTCTGCAAATTCTTGATGGCTCTCAATCATTTGTGTTGAAGGGGAAGAGTAATCAAATCACCAAAGTTCATGAAAGGATACCATTCTTGGCCTTTTTACTCACAACAATCAGCGAGTGGTGGCCCCACTTTGATTAAAGGTCACGATTCTGTCACAACACATCTCTCAAAGGCAGTGATCTTCTCAGAGAGCTGCTGTGAGAGTGCTTCAAAGAACTGAGAAATACTAAAATCTCTTGATTTGGTGAGTATTGACTGAAACTCTTGTCTATCCTCAAAAAGCACAACAGTCTTCTTTGTGCACACGCATGTTTGATGAAAGAACTCTGCTGGAGATGGCTGTCTGTCTTTATTGCCTCAGTTAATAAGCTTTATTGATAAAAGAGAGAAAGTACAGTGCATTTTATCATTGCTAAAGACAGATATAGGAGGGAAATACTTGTTCCTCATAGAGAAAGAATGTACAGCCCTACAAGGAAGGATGTCAGCAGGCAGTTTATAAACTGCTTCACTTTATTATTTCTCAAAAGTGAGGAATTAATGTCAAGAAACTATCTTGGAGCGCATTTGGGTCTCTGTAAATCAATCCAAATGATAAATGTTGAGAAAGAAGGATAATGAAATCACCAAAGTTCATGTAAGGATTTGTATCCTGGCCTTTTTACTCACAACAATCAGCGAGTGGTGGCCCCACTTTCATGAAAGGTCACTATTCTGTCACAACACATCTCAAAAAGGCAGTGATGCACTCCTGCTGCTGTGAGGGTGCTAAAAAGTACTGAGGATTCCTCGAACCACTTGAATTAGCAGGGACAGTTTTAATGGTTGACTTTCACTCGCTTTGAAAAAGCAAAGCAATTTTCGTCTCCACATGTGTTTAAAAGATAAGATTTTAGACACTGCTGATGAATTCCTTTTTGTTTTAGGTTTTAAAATTGGAGACTTTTGTCCACAAAGAGTGTGAATGCAGTTTTTTTTTCTTATAAAGCACAGATTATACAAAAATGCACAATATTCCCCAAGAAATGTAAAGCCCTGTCCTTTCCAAGACTGCCAAAAAATCTGAAACTATCAGTCAATCAATTTTTATTCATAGACTGTCAAGTCACAAGTGTTATCCCAAAAAGCTGGTCTAGACCATACTTGATTTTAACCATGAGTGTTGCACTTTGAACATTTATCAAGTTACAGTGGAGAGGAAGAACTTTCAGGCAAAAACCTCGAGCGGAACTAGACTTATGTTCATCTGCTGAGACTGACCTGGGTTTAGAGATGGGAGAGAGAGTGGGGTGGAGAAAGAGAAAGATGGACAAAGGTGAGATTGATACATGTAGTTCAAGCAGCTGGAAAGCAGGCAGGTCCACAGCCCCAAAACATCTGCAGCAGTGATCCAAAGGGACCTGATGGTGGAGCTCAGGGACTCCCAGAAAAGACTGTGTCAGTGACTCTAATGGGACATGATGGTTCAAAGTTAATGACACAGACAGAAAAAGGATGGAGAAGGAGGAAAAGGTGCTTAACATGCCAGAACCCCCTGCAGTCGAAACCTATGGCAGCATAACTAAGAGCTTGCCCAGAATGGAACCAGGTTTAACTGTAAGCTTTATCAAAGAGGAACATTTTAAACTCCTAAAGGTAGAGAGGGTGTGTGTCCCCTCACTCCTCAACTGGTAGATGATTCCAGAGGAGAGAGGCTTGGTAACTGAAAGCCACTTTTCAAGACTTAAGGTACGATGAGCAGGCCTGCACATTGAGACTGCACTGTCTTGGAAGGGTAATAGAGAGCTACAAGCGTTTTAAGATATGGTGGTGCCTGGCCATGAAGAATAATAATTTTAAATTCTATGCTGGGAAGCCAGCATGGAGAAGTTAATACAAAGGAGATGTGCTCTCTTCTCCTGACTCTGGTCAGTAAGTGGGCTGCAGCAAACTAGAAAAAGTTACTGGCAATGAAGCAGCTTTCCATTTAACCAACAGCTCCAACCTCAGACATAATGTCAAGTTAAAGCCTTGATGAAGTAAAATAGTATTGGGCTGTGTCCAGCGTGTCTTGAAAGGAAGGGATAATCAAGTCACCAAAGTTCATGTGAGGATTTATATCTTTGCTTTTATGCTCATAACAATGAGTGAGCGGTGAACAGTCTCATATTCATTTAAGGTCATTTTTCTGTCACTGTGACTGAAAATCTTACTCATGACTGGAAAAGTAAAGAATTAATTTCTATTGTTTAAGGAAAAAAATGGTTCTCTGTCTTCTAAAGTCTCAATAGAGAGGCTTTGTCCTCAAAGAAGAGGACAGATAGGACAGAAATATTTGATCCTCACTGGGAAAGGAGAGAAACACCACTCCAAGTATGCCACTCTTATGGAGCTCAAATCGAAGGAATTAATGACAAGTTTCTCTAAAATTAGAAGGGCAAGACTGGTTTTGGAGCAATGTGCCAAGGCCATATGTGGAAGAGAGGGATGATCAATTTATCAAAGTTCATGTGGGGATTTGTGTCTTGGCCTTTTTACTCACAACAATCAGCGAGTGGTGGCCCCACATTCATTAAAGGTCACTATTCTGTCACAACACATCCCAAAAGGTCAGTGATCCACTCAGAGAGCTGCTATGAGGGTGTTAAAAAGTGCTCACATCACTTTATTTTTGGATATAGTGTTGATGGACATCCTGTCTCTCAGAGTCTGTGTAAAAGTACAAAGTTACGGTTTCATATAGGGGGACACTTCTGTTTACAAAGATGCACATCTTAGTGTTGACTGGGGGACTGCACAAGTAAGGGTTCCACTTACTGCTTCAAGTCTACTCAGATACAGGTCTTGATATGCAGTTGATATGCAGGTGGTTTTTGACACTTATGTTGTAAGTTTGTGATGCTATTTTAAAGCAGCTGAACAGACTTTTCATTTTCTGTTGCATTTGGCAGCCACTATGGACAAAAGCGGTTGTGTTTTGCCAGAATGATGACTGCATTCCCCATGAGCACTTGCACGTAGTGTCTTGAAGACACTTACAGGGTCTTTGATCTGGTGTGTAGTTAGTTTGGAGGCAAATAAAACAAGACGGGACTGACTGGTACTTTCAATTTCTTTTTCTTGTTTGTTTAGTTTTTTTAGTAATGTATGCGTTTGAATTTCTATGAAATATCATATGCAGCCAGTAAAACGAAGGAATTTAGTTTTAATTTTTATTTTATCTTGTATTTCTAGCTTACAGTTACATCTCGTTCGTAACAGTAAACCTAAAACAAACTGATTAATGTTATATCTTCGTATTAAAAAGCGCAGCTTACGTTACCTGTCTAGGAGGAATTGGGCAAATTCAGGATCCGATTTGAATCCCTTTAAGCCTTGCAACTCTCTCCACCTTGCAAAGGAATTACTAATGTTTATCCTCATTTTTGCCCTTGCTCGATCACATTCACCTTTTTTTTTTGTTGTTCTTCTGTTTCATTTGTTTTCTTTTGTGGACCTCGTCCCATCGTCGGCCATGTGTAGCTATGTGTTTTTGCCCTGTCTAAGTGCGGTAACTTCTGGCCTGTGTACCATAAATTGTTTCGTCAGTGGGCAGACCCGACCAACCAATTTTTAAAGTAGGAGTTACACTATTTAGACATATCTTCCCTCTGATGGGCTCATTTGCTGTTGCAGGTGACACAGATATATCAGGAGAAGCAAGATACTTTTCAAAATGTAGTTAAAAGTTCCCTTCAGAACCTTCAAGGATGCACAATAATTCAACAAACTGTGGACATTGTGATCGCAGTAGGAATGTCTCTAATCTGACCAAGTCGAGTGAGACTGTGAGACTCTGCAACTGCTGAGGCAATCATGGGAAATTGTGAGTGCAAAAATCAAGTGCTATTGTAGACCATGCAAAGTCTTAAATCTGACAGTACTCAGTCATCATCCCTAGCTGGGAAGATGACAACTGTGCACCGCCATGTTTCTCCAGTGACAAAGAATGGACAAACTAGTCATGGCCATGAGTGTTTTTGTATTCCTGTAAAGTTAAAGGCAATAAAAATATGGTTGGGGTTGGAAGAAGAGGAAGAAGAAGAGGAGAGTGCTTGCTGTGCACCAGTGACATTTCTTGAAACAACTTTTCTGTTACACAAAGTATCTTGAGTACCAAGCTCAAAAATACAACCCAGAACCAAGTCCAAACTAAGTTGGAAGACCCTCAGAATAACAGGAAACACTTCACATTTGGTTTATCTTTAAATAGATTATAACATTGATAAAATATAGAAGTTGCTAGAAAGCCTTCCAATAAAGATAAGTAAAGTTATTTAAAGGAGATACTGATGAAGCAAGCCAGAGTTTCTCTGGCAGGTTGTTTCACAGTGAAGGAGTCTGTGGATCTGAAGCTGCACATTGGTTGGTAAAGAGACAGCAAATCAGACATTTATTCTGGAGCCAGGCCATCAAGTGCTTAATAAGTAATAAGTAAAAACTTAAAATCAATCCTAAAAGGAATGGGCAGCCATTGTAAGCTCATTAAAACAGGTGTAATATGTTTTCCATGCTTGGTTTTTGTTTAGAGGCTTGCTGCTGAGTTTTGTACAGATTGCAATACGATTAACTCAAAAGTTATATTTCATTGCTCATGTATACAGAGATAACACTAAGAAATCTAAAACAGTCAATGAGAGGGGTGTGTCCATGATCTGCAAATCCAGAGAGGGAATTGTCACTAGCTGTTGCCATCTGCTGCAGTTGTATGCTCATGTGTTCATGTAGTTTAATCACTCAGCCAGCCCTTTAACAAACAAACTGCTTATCTGTCATCATTAGTAAATCTGCTGCATTATTGATCTGTCAATGCTGAGAATGATGGCACTACATCTCAAAAGTTTTCCTGGTTCATCTCTCAGCACCAGTTTAAGATTGCACTCATGCGGCGCTTTGCAAAGGTGGTAAACACAAAGACAGAGACTCTGCTTAAATCAAACTTAAACAACCTAAAATGTTTATTCCTCTTAATTGCCTGTCATTTAACGTAAAATCAAATTTAGGAAATTTTACATTCAGTCAAGATGTGTTTTAAATGCTTTTGTCAAACATGAATCATGCAGAGAAAAACTTTACCAGGAGCTTTGAGGACCATGTGTTTTTAAAATTGTCATTCAGGTGCAAAAGTTATCTTGGGAAAAAATGAGATTGAGATTGTGATCCCACCATTAAACAATTATAAACTGGATATTTGCACCATTTCATCCTCAATTAATACACAGTATTTGTTCAATTTGTTGGATGGACATTTAACTTTGTCATTTGGACTCCAATGCCTAAAGTCACAGTTTGATTTCAGCGTTCAGAATCCTCTTGTATAATTTCCTGTGAGTACACAGTAAATGTTTTAACTACATAAACAGTTCACTATGCAGTTAATTATGAGCTGTACATTATTAGTAGAGAACACAGTGTTTGTTTTGCCCCCTACTGCTTCTTGACCTTTCTGAATCTTAGATTAACTGAGTGGGCGGCACTGGATCTGCTTGCTGATGTGTCTCTTTGCTTTACTTGTGCGATATCAGCTCCCACTGCTTGTAATTTTAATGAAACCTACAGAAATGACACATCTTTAACTGCTGTTGAAGCATTTCTGCTGCCAGTTATACTGACTGACATGTTGCTGCTGGAACTTGAACAAACATCTTTTCCAAACCTGAAGGTTTGATTGATGTGAAATTTAGAGCACATATACCTCTGTACCTCCATTTCAAATACACTTCAGAAACCATCACTTTGTGACATTTTACATTTCCTTCCCTCAATTTTTAAATCCATTTCCATTAGCAAGAAACATCGACTGGTGCACCAACTTTGTTTTCTGTGCAGAGAATTATGCTAATGCTGCTTTTCACACATTTTACTCATCAACATCCACATAATATATTTGATAATGTTTGCAGTTTACCTTTCAGATGTATCCAGGCAAGTTTATTCAGTGAGCTGAGGTTGGAAAAACTCATCTGCACAGTTATAATCATCAGCAGAAGCTCATGGATTTGAGTCTTTGGCTGTTTCCTCACATGCAAAGAAACTCAAATCCAAGGCTTATGTTGGATGCAGCCTCTGGGACATTATAAAATTTATAACAGTCTGCAGCTGGTAGTTTTAAGAAAACAATGGGACAAATGTTTGCATCTTCCTCTCCATTCTGCAACATCCACGCTTCTATAATGACACACCAGCAAGTGTTCCTGAACCCTGTCGTGAAGAAAGTTTGTGATGTGTGAGCTACCTTGCCCAGATGGCTGCTGCTGTATGACATGTTTACTCTGCTTTTCTTCATTTCTTTAAACTCACCCAACAATTTCTCACTATTCGACAACTGCGGAGCATTCTTCCACAAAATAACTTCCTTTGTTAGTCTTTTTCAGGACACATTTCAAGCTTTCCTGCCCTCTTTTTGTGCTGCTGTGTGTCACTGTTGTGGAGGTTTAGTCTGCTCACTGTACACAGGAGGATTATGTGCTTTTTCCTTGCCTGTCTCCCTACTCCCGCTCTAATCTGCTCCCCGACTCCCTCCCCGCTCTGTCTCCCTCTCTGTGCTTGGCCTGTTGTTGCCATGCCACCACATCGCACTGTAATCGTATGAAGCCTGATGGCCTCTGCGATAAGAGTCTGCAGGCTGCAGGAAGACTGTGTATGTGCCGGCTGCAAGCCTCTGCTTTCACACTTTCTAAAATGATCATTGCCACTAAATGAGCAGAAAAGTGATGTTAAAGGAGATTATGCAAAGGGAGAGCATTCATCAGATTTCAAAGGATTTATTATGCTCCATACATCTCAGCTGCAGAGAGCCTGGCCTTCATTTGAATAAGATTTTATTACCCCTAAATGACCTTACAATGTGTAAATATCATCTTTTCTTTTTAAATTACCTGTTCCCATTTGTCACTGTGGCTGTTTACATATAATGAAAAGAAAAAAACACCTATTCTTCTGTGTTTTTCTATGGAGGGGTTAATGAATTTAGAGTAAGATACACTAAACAACATTAACTCGTCAACAAGGTCCATCAGTTTTTATTTTGAACAGATGTATCACCGTCTCTGCAAAATGTGCTAGAAGGAATGTCTTTCGGGAATATTAAAGCTTCTATTAAAACGTTCAGTTTGTTAATTTTTTTTTGCGCCCCCTGTGGACAAAGCAGTATTTGCTTAACATGTTTCAATACTGCCTTCTAACGAAAATGTCATCCTGCTAACCTTTGACGGGCAATTGCATCATTTATTATGAGCATATTATGTAGAATTTTTTTAAATGGCTGTTTTTTTAGGCTGACACCTTCCCCCCTGGCATTCGTTTCAGGCATCAAAAATTGATAACAAAAACAGTAAGTCTTGTTGCTGATGGTCTTTTTTGGTTTTGAAAATCATAAAAAGGCAACAATCTGAATTTTAGTGTATTTCATAAATGTAAAAAAAAAGGAATAAGAAAAACTCCTCTTAGGATTTAAAAAATGCTTCTTTCAAAAATCTTTAATTTTATTCCCAGGCCAGCATGGATTTATGTCTTTATTTTGAACATTTTCATTGAAAAAAAATAATGACAATGCTATATTTAAGACAGAGCAAACAGTGCACCTTTAAAAAGAGGCAGGATGGAGTAGGGCTGTTCAATATTTTCAAAAATCTTAAATACTGTATGCTTGTTTTGATTAATACTGATATCAAGGAAAAACAGACAATTACCCAAGGTATGATATAAATGTTATATTTAATGTCATATGTTTGGTCTAATTTGATGAAAATACCGACTACATTAACTGTCACAAGCATCCAGTATTTTACACTTTTTTGCTGACATTTTACCACAAGCTGCAGATCTAACATATAATCAGTCCACTTCCGTACACTGTTCTTGTATTTTATAATCATTTGAACAATGTCTCTTCTTGTCAGCCTTGGTGGTCATTACAGCCTCCCTCCTCATCTCTCGGCCTTTCAGACCTGAGTCCTCCTGCTCCTCTCCCGGCTCTCCTCTCTCCACCTGTGGCTGCCTGACAGTTTGTAACACTACTGCACAGCTGGAACAATCCTTGCGCTCCCACATTGTGTTTCACATTGATCTGAGCTGCTTATAATGGGATGAAAGAGAGGAGAGCTGTTTGAGGGGAAATCACTGTTATCTTTTAAAGATAGACAGATTAATAGATTAGCCAAGTGTCAGGCTAAATATTTGGCTTTTGAAATAATCAGCATCACATTGGCATTGATGCTCAGTAGGTTGATGTCACCATCATCCTTTTAAAATGTTCAGTGTGTCTCCATGCAGAAACTAGCAGCTCTCAGACAGTACCAACACAATCTTTTTGACTGACCCACTAGTCCGAGGGTCAAAAACCTGCAGCTTGGAGCCAAATGCAGCATCCTTTTTTGCCCCTCTTTAGAGGCTTCCTGTGGTTATGCTAGAAAAGGAATCAAAGTTTAGTTGTTTTATTCATGATTGTTGTTGTAAATTTAACATCCTCTCCCTGTTAAAGTGTCAAAATGATCATTAAGTTTAAATTTTCATCAGCTTCCTAAATGTGTGCCATATTCTGTTTATGCATGATGCCAAACAGTTTGAAGATGATGCCTGTCAGAGAAGTTTCTCCACCAAAAACCATCAAAAACCGGTAAACTTTAGCTTTAACGCTTTTCTCGATGAAGATGAGACATGCTTATGGAGTCCTGTTCATTTTAAATGAATGTATGTCTGCGGGGGAGTTTCTCAACCATGAACTAAATGAAATCCAAACATGCCCCTGACTCACATGAGAGCCTGCAGCCCTGTGTGAGGATCGAAGTTATGCCGTCAGACTCAGTATGGAGCATCTTTCAGAAGTCACGTAAGCAAGCAAGGAAGCTGTCAAAGTTTGCAGAGCAGCATCTTTATGCATGATCTTACCACTTCTGATGTGATCATGATCAACCCTGTTGGTTGGTTGATATCATTGGTAAAGGATGTTTTTAATAAATTAGATGGTCAAAAATTCTATTTTAACACAAAGACTGAAAGTGGGCTATGACTATGTGTTATTGTAGAGTTGTCTCTATTTGTCGTTGAACCTTGTCTGCTTTGTGTCTTCTTTAATGGCGGGTGGCAAAGCATGTTGTGCACAATACCCCCTATTGACTGAAGTGTATACTGCCATCTGTGACCACCTTTTTTTCACTCAGTCAGACATATACAGCCCATGACTACATGTGCCGAACTGTAATATCCATACCATTATGGTTCAGGGCGAATACACACTGTTACACACCCCTGATGAATACTGCAGAAGTGGTAATAACAATGCAAAAAGGTCTTTCAATTTCCTGTCAGTGGAGACGAAATTGGCCATCCATGTTGGCAGCAGCAGAACCAGAAGTAATGCATTCTGATTGGAGAGGTGTTTCTTGCCTAAAAATGCTGGAAAAGGACACACGGAGCAGCATTACCACTATCAGAGGATGTCAGGGTTGAAAACTAGCACCCAGCTAATGTGGCATCTTAAAAATGGATACCAATGCAGCCTTAACAGGGTAAATCTGAAACATTTTTAGAGTATGTATATTAGCCCAATGATGTGAAAACAGTCATGGGTGTATCCCTTAATCTCATGTACCAGAGGTCAGCAGAGACACCACCATGGAAAAACTTCTTATTTCATCACTTCAAACACTGCTACTGTAAGTCCTAAACCACATTAAACTGATGAAATCACCAAGAACTGTTTCATTAGACCTAACATTTGAGATCTATTATCCTTATTTAAAATCCCCCAGCCTGAGAAACCAAATAACCAAGGCCATTCTGGGAAAAAGTGCTCAAATACATAACCGGAAAAAATTCAGTAAATCACAGCAACAGCTTGCTAAACATTAAACACATTTTATTTTGAAGTATAGCCTTGTTTGTTTGTTGGCTGCTGGCTGCAATGAAATGTGTTGAATGTGAGGTTTTTCTGTTGCCATAATTAGGAGTGAGAGACTATCAGGGCTCTGCTAGCAGGTTGTACTGCGTGGAGGACAGAGGGATGGAAATCTGGCCGCTACAAATTGATCCATGATTGAAGCTTAATTAACACAGAAAGCCTGTAAAAACCTGTTATAGTGTTTCGAGGGCCCAGCTAAGCTAGTTAGCTCATTTTGTGGATAGACTCATCAGTATAAGCATGATTATGAAATAAACACAAGAGACACACAGTGCAGTCTTTTGGTGGTTGTAGTCTTTTTAATGTACTCCTTGTGTTTTTCCCTCTGAAACACTGTCACCAAATCTGCGTCTTTTTGTTTCTCATCTGAATACATTTTAAATGAGCCGCCTGTGGCTTTAGTAAAAATTTCATGTTATTTTTTACTTCTGCAGAGGCAGAGTTTCATCAGAAAAACAGAGCGTGTGTTTTTGGGCTCACTGTTGTGTGCCTCCTGCCCCGCTCGGAGTCGCGTCTGGCAGCGCTGTGTTGTGCTGGGCAGGGCAGGGCTTGGCACTGTGCGCAGGGGGACAGATGGTCTTACATGTGATCTAGTTGGAGGTCCAGAGTCGTACTACCCCAGCAGGGACCCTGGCAGCTGACAAGCTTGGCCCCGACATCCGCGGTCCCTCTGTGGGACTCAGGCTCTGACTTCAGCAGGACCGGCCACCCAGGTGTTAACCAGACAGGCCGGCTCTTTTGCTCTCTGTTCCAGCTGCTTCACCTTTGTTGTTGCCACCATCACACACAGGAAAACGCTCCCACACGACACTAAACAGATACCCATCATAATAAAACCACATCGCCAGGAATAATCCGCCTCCATTTGCAGCAGCTGAGTGATCCAACAAGGCAGCTTTATTACAATAGCAGCATGTAAAAGATACTTTCACATGAAATATAACAGCCGACATTTTTAGACACATTGAGCCCAAAGCTTCGAGTCAACTCAGGATACTGTTTATGTGTGAGTGTGGGTGGTTGTACCGAATAAGCTGTTTTAATGTGCCTCCTGTAATGTGTGCCAGCATATCGGACAGTTAAACGTGATGGATGGAGACAGGCTGCAGCCAAACCGCAGCGATACTGCTTTTGTTGCCGCTTGTGTTATTCATGATGTCGCTGTTGATGAAGTTATCACAGCAACACCCCGATCCTCACCCGAATGCCGTGCGACCTCTCCACGGCTTATGGCATCAGGGAAAAATTCATCAAGTCATCATAGATCAAGTCACACTGTCATGGATGGCATTGAAAAAGTAACAAGGGCGAGCCTGGATACCGGGGCAGCGAGCGGCTGAAAAATGCATTTATTTTAGCCAACCTCCGCGACTCTGGGCTGGCCGCGCTGATGCACTCCACGGTTAGTCAGCACTCCACCCGCTTTGCCAGCTCAGCTTTTATTCCCTGCCCTGGAAATTGAGTTTTGCTGGCCCTGTAATGTACTCAAAACTACATCTGCAACTGACTGATAAATCTACGCTTTGTTGCGCCTGACGGATGGCTGTGAAAATGAAAATTCACCACGGCATGTTGCTGTGTCAGGAGGAAGGTCAGTTTAAATTTTCTCCTGCTCACTGAGGAATCTCTGCTCAGGGTTAAGCCAAAATGACCATTTTGTCTCTAATTCCAGTCGTGCAGCTTTAATATTTTCTGAGGCTCATTCAGCTCAATGTGGAGGTTCCTGGATTGTTTTGTTTTACTGCTGTGACTCTGAGCTGCCTGTCTGAAAAAGCACTGCTCCCCTCACAATGTGTCAACAATATCTATTATTTGCGGAGGGAGAAATGCTCTGTATCGACAGAGCAGTAATTTTGTATGTGCGTGTCCTTACATACAGAGAGGGGCAGCACAGCTCGCTTGATAAATACCAAAAGATGACAGATCTTTATTGTGGAGCAGCAGCCAACGTTCTGACACTCCAACGACCAATTTCAGTCTGTTAACAAGGCCTGCAGCAGGAATACCTCACAGCGAAATGTCACAAGACCTCGCTTTCCACACCTCCTTACTCTCCCTCCTTCTGCTCCCTCCCCCGACTCTCCGGTGGACATTCAACGAATTGTAGTTCCTCTCTTTCAATTTGCCGGCCATGTTACCTCGTTCCACAATGTGCTGTCCCCGGGGGGATCGCAGGGAGGCAGGAGCAGCGGCCCCGGCCAGGTCCGCAGAGAGCTGATAACCTTTCAGTGTTGCTTTAGCAGGCTGTGTAAAGAACAATCAGTGCTTATCAGCATCGGCTACAGGCGAATGCTAATTCAATGTCATGCAGTCAGACTGCGGAGGGAGACCAAGCGCATCACTGGTTTTCCCTCTGACAGCTTCATGTTTCCAGCAGACTTCTTCACGTCATGTCGCCTTCCTGATCTGTAATCCACTCACTCTGATCTATGAAGAGGAATCTCAGTAATTACCACTTTGCTTTGAATAAATGTGCAAATTAATTCCTGTTAAAAGAAAAGTATTTCCTCAGATTTCACAGGTTTTTGACTTGTATCAGACCACAGCGGGGAATTTGTGCAATCACAGTTTTCAGCTAAAACTGGAAAACATCATTGAAAAAACGTCAAATGTAGCAGTAAAAATGTACAAAAACTAAATCCTCCTCAATACTGTCAAATCACTTGTCCTTGAAACTCTTCAGGAGGCTGGAGCCAACTGCAGCTAAATGTATGAAACAAATGGTAATTCACTCTACTACCCCTGTTATACAGAAAACTTCAAATCAGGACTAATCAGGAATGAGCTGTGGTGTCCCCATTTTTTACCCCATATTGAGCCTTTTTTCTGCACTTTGCTCAGAAAGTCAACTTTTCACCCTGATTTTTTTAATTGAATAAGGAGCAAAAGAGGCGCCTGGAAGCTCAATCTGTTACAGTATGCACCACATAGAAGCAGAGCAGCAGCCAAAATAAAGCCAGCACGAAAGTGCAAAAAACTGAAGGTTCTTGAGTGTCCATTTGATACTGTCTTCAAAAGCCAAGGAATCAACCGCTAACATCCATGAGAAAATCTCATTTATATATCAAAATTAAACACATTTACTGGCTGATTTAAAAAAACTTTTCAAACACTAATTTCTGTATTTATATTAGTGACGAACCAAAGCAACTAATTCCCTTATTGTTTTAACTATACACAACTTAATCTCCAGTTTCTAGATAAAAGACTTTTAAAAAAGCTCAGTGTTATGAGGTGCCATCAGTCTTCTCTGCTTGTTTACATCTGGCTAGTAGAGTATTATAGCATCATGGTAATAACCATGAACCTGAGCTATAGCCTGGGCAAGTAGTCAGTGGCTGCATCACATCTGAGAGACGAAATATGAAAAGTGTTAGTTCCAGGTGTGTTTGGGCTGCCAGATCAGCTCAGGTCCAGCCCCTGTTGAAGACGTCACACTACGGCAAGTCCACTCGAACAAACTACATAGAGCTCCATTTAATAAGTCTAATGTGCTTGGTTAAAAGCCCCTTGTGGTTTTCTTTATTTTTAGATGGCTTACATCGTCTATGTTTTCTAAAGGAAAAAGAAAAAGAAAAAAGAATATACACAGGGTCTCCGTTTATCAATCGATAATTTTGCTTTTATTCCACATTTCCTTTGTCAACCTTAAAGAGGCGGTTGTCCGGCTGTTGTAAGTCCCCTTTGATAAGTAGAGGTAGATTGCTTCATAAAATTCATCCATGTTTTCCCTGAAGAACTGCAATCCCATTTAACCTAATCTGGCGAAAACCACTTCTGTAATGTCCGGATCAACCACAATCTTCTACATCATCAGAACCAACTTCCAGCCAGTCATATAGCATGACATCATCAATAGGTGCCGGGCCCCGAGCCAATCTGGCAGCCGGAACACATCTGGTACCTACACTGGCAATTTGGGCCTACTACGATAAAAGTGCAAATAAGTCCTTTGCTGGATTAGTATTTTAGAAGATAATGACATTTGCACATTCACACTGCAAAGTATATACACGTTATATGCATATAACCCACTAAAATAACCAAGTTATTCAGGGTGCATGCAGATATAGATATGCCGAAGCATGATCATCTTAAGTCTCATTTCAAATCCTACCATTTCATACCACAGTTATGATTCTACATGCCCAGAGCATTTCCAACAATAACACAATGTTTGCAAACACTGAATGCAGTTCATTTTCATGTGTGTCATTAGAAACATTCATCAAATTCGGAGAGTATTTAGCCAAGGCTGGAAATATGTGCTTTCCATTCGCCAATGCCTTTCACTTGAAGGGCTCCAAAAGATGATCCGAGAGTCCTCTTATATACAGTGCAGCAATTCTGACCTTCATGACAAATAAAGAGGATAAACTGAAAACACTTGAAGATGTTTGAGGGAATAGTTTTCTGGGTTTTGTCATAGAGCACAAGTGTTTCCAAAAACATCTGGGTAAAAAGCAGAAATACAACACTATTATGTTGTGTAATGGGACAAATTATTGCTCAAAACCTTTTACCTAAATTTTACAAAAGTACCCTTTCAGTGCAAATATTGGAAGAAACAAAATGTCAGGACAGAATCTTTTTATGCAGCTGCAGTGAAAGCTAGCATTAGCAGGAGAGTAATTTATGGACTGCCAGCTGGTCTGTAAAGGTTACTACCACAGGCAATCCAGATATGGAAGTCCAACAAGAAGCTCATTAAAAAACTACAGGCTTGTAGACACATCAGCACACAAAGATGTTTCCTTTCTGTCTGGTGAGCATTATCGAGATGGTTTAGTTGTTTATACCAGGAAAAGTTGACATGTTGAAGCCTCTCTTTCCTTGGCTGTGTGAATCCATGTGTCTAATATGCCTCTCTGACTTCCTGTCTCTTTGCCTCCCCCCGCAGCGAGAATCGTGAGGAGCCGTCAGTGGTGTGAGATGGCTCCCTGCCTGGAGGGGGAGGTCTGCAGCCTCCTGTTCAACCGATCTGGATGGACCTGCACCAGGGGCAGCGGTCGCATCAAGACCGTCACGGTAAGTTACGAGATAGGATTTAAAAACACTCCATATGCACTTAATAGAATCATGCACACTTTTTCAGCATCTGTGACCCTGGCAGCTTATGTGAAGCTACAGCTCGGGGCACGAGACGCCATACTCGAATTAAACCGCAGGTCAGCTCACGGTTACAAGTGCTGCATCAAGGCTGAATCACAAAGAGTCGAGCACTGTTGCTGACCTGCTCTATGTGCTCGCTCAAATTATTGTTGCTTTAATCCAACTCAAATATTGCTCTGATGTTTTCTGCAGACAAAGCAGATAGATTAGCTCTGTGCTGCAAATCCTATACTTAGTATTGCAGACAAACCTACTCTGCTTTTTATCAGGAAAGATATTATTCAAGGGAATCCTTAATTCTCCTTGTACCAGCAGAAAAACACAAGCAAGGAACCTGAGCATTTTACTTAGAGCAGCTAGAAAACTTAATATCTTCTCTTTTATTATAAATGATTATGAAAATAAGTTCACATCTTTTTGAAAGCAAAGTTTGTGACCCTGATTATTTCTGAAATATTGTGTCAAAAAAACATTCTGCTGGCTGTGCCGACCATTTCGCTGTACACCACAACTGATGTACTGTTTTGTATCATATTTCCTAAATCTAATGTGAAAATACAAGAAAAACTGTACACCTTAAACCCTCTGATAAAGGCTGGTGTTTAATCTGCAGACAGACTTCTCATAATGAGCTGGATCACAGTCTTAAAGAGTGAATAAAGGTCAGCTTTCAATTATGGGCCTGAGCACTTTTGTATTTCTAACAATTTAAGCAACCTGCGGATGTAGTCCATATTGATGACATATCACCATTCATTCATTCTGTACAGATATAGTGACATCAGATTAATAGTGTCACTGTCTCCACAAACCAAGCGTGAATAATGATAAATAAATGAATGATTTGTTCAACTGAATTACATGTTAAGTCAATGCAAAGACGCGATTACACGCTCCCACTACTCTGGCGGCACGTATGATGCAAATTGGGCGGAAGCTGAAAATGTCTCAACTTGATCAGCTATTCGCATTGTGACACCTAATCAGCACAGAGGTTGCCGGGTAGCATATGGAAACATATAGTTTTGCACCGGTATCTAAAATGGAGGACAAACCGATCATATCAGTGCCCTGAAATAGAATATACCTTTTCTTTTAATTACCGAAACTGGAATAAGAAGAAGCACGCCTGGAGGCAAGTGAGTGAGAAGATTGGTTTACCTGGTAAATTGTAAAATAACTTTGTCTGTCACTTGGTCCCGCCGGTTGAATTGGCAGGGAATACAGTTGAAATTACCGTTGACGCATGAATGAAGCAAGTAAGTACTATTCATTCACGCGTCTAGAATCGCGCGAATTGGGCGAGTAGCGATGCTTTACACTGTCTGCTGCTCAGAGCTGCTCTCCGTGTGCAAACATCACTGGTGGACAGACACACCAACTACATGGCAGTGAAGTTTTTGAAATCGAAATAAAAGCCCACTTCTCATACAAGCCTGAAGTAAAAGCAAATGTCCTATAATTGTGGACTTGCAGTATACTCCTCTATTTTCTAGTCACAGAAATTAAGGCATTGAATTATAGATTTTGATCATAGTTTTCTTCTCATTTTACTGTATTTATCAATAACTCCCTATAAAAAAGCAGTTTATGAGGCTTTAAAAGGCAATATTGTAATCCTTGACCATCCCTTTGGCTGTGCTATCATGTGTGGGCCAGGAGATGTGATGAAAATACATGATGTTTTGGGGGCAGAAAATACAATATCTGGTTCTGATAGCACAAAGGATTTTTGCAATGATTTTTTTCTTTGAATTTGAGGGGTCCCAAACTGCGCACAGTGCAGCACGGAACTTATACCCTCAGATTTGACCCACATCATGGACTTAAACCTGAGATTAATAATTTAATACTTCCCTGCAGAGAACCTTTTTATATTTCTTCAGATCTGAGCCGCTTACCAACTTACACCACATACACGGCTGATACAAAAAGCCTGAAATCCTAAGTGGTATAATATGTAAGGCAACTGCTACACTTCACATCAAGGTCCTGTATTCCCTCTCAGGCATCCACTTCTGACCCCTTTACTATACATTATTCTGCTTTTACACTGCTACTCACTGGGAAGTCAATAATTTGACACAAAATATTGGCTTTAGGTGAATTTCAAATGATTTTGTTTGTTCTACCAAGAAAACAGTTCAAAGGACTCCAAGCTGAAACTGTGTCCATGGCAACAGCAATCTCTAAAGGCCTCTTAAAATTAGCCTCCTTAGCTGCTCTCCAGTGAGGGTGAAGTGACACAAGGTGAATGACCACAGCTCCCGGTGATGGTTTTCTGTCCCATTACTGTCACAGTCGGTTTTCTCATCGATAAAGCAGTCTGTAAAGACAGAAAAAAAAAATCCATGGTCTTTTTAGTGTTTGTAGGAATCAGTGCTCCTCAATTTTACCAATGTCTCCATTGCTCTAAAAGGTTCCTGCTGTGTCTGTATTGTTTTCATCTTTCTTTCTTTTATTGTTGCCACAGTGACAACATGCCAATATGTTTGACAGGCATGATGTTTGATTTTCAGGACATCTTTTTTGGGTTAGTTTATGAGATGTAGTCCTACAGCATTTAAGAACAGAACTGCATCTGTAGGCGATTAGAGATGCTTTCACACAAAAGTTTACTATTCAGAAATAACATGTTATGGAGTGCTGTAACTGACTGATCAACACCAAACATTACACAAAGCCATCTGTTATACAAATATCATCTGAATATCTTAAAGATTATCTGAAGTCTTGGGGTTTTGTTTTCTGAGTCTTTTATAGATTGTTTTTTAATGTATTTTGAATTTAATGTGTATTTTTCATAGTGGGTAGGTTGGCAGCTATATCAACTACAAGTGGAGGTTTTCACACAGTGGTGTGCCTGTGCCTGAGAGCAGAACAATTATTCATCTTATTATAAAAGAAACATTGCTTTACCTGTGTAGACTACTTAATTGGCAAATGAATATCTAAAACACACAAGCTTAGGATAAAAGAGTATACCATATTGTATCATATCCTATCACACCAAAACATACACCGCCCTCATCATAACCCATCATAACTCATCCAAATAATTGGAATAAATCAGACTCTATCACATAGTATCATGTCCTACTGTATAGACCTGGGCTGTGTCATATTGCCTCACATCTTAGACACATCTTTGTATTATATTATACCACATTGTATAGTATTGTATTGCATCATATTGTAGGTTGACATATCTTGTCCTAACATATCATATCATATCTTACTCTAAATTTTACTGTACTATATTGCATTATGCTGTACGGTATGGTATGGTATAGAATAGAATATTCCTTTAATGAGCCCCCATGGGGGAAATTTTTTTGTCACAGCAGCATCACAGATAAAGTGCAAAAATGCAGTTATAAAAATAAAGGTCCTAATATTAAGAACTTAAATAAATGTAATAATTAAGAAAAAATTTAGAAAAAGGAAAAGGGAGAAGAAAAATAAAACTATCTACAATATACACAATTTAAATGCCAGCAAAAAAAGTGGTGGTGTGAGTCCAGTTATTATTACAGTTCGTTGTAAAGTCTTATTGCAGAAGGGAGGAATGACCTGCGGTAGCACTAGCCTCACATTGTATCTTTACCCTACACTGTATTTTAATGAATTGCAATAGATCAAATTATATATTGTCATATAATTTCATGTCATATCATATCTTATCCTGTCACCTTGCACTGTATCTGTTTGTATTGCATCATATTTTAATGATCATACAATGTCATATCATAGTACACATAAACACATATGCATTGATTTGCTTCACATCACATTGTATCACATCGTATTCTCTTCATATTATTTTGCATCCAATCCAAGTATTTTAACATTTTAAATAGTATCCTATTTTGATTTTTAGTGTTGTATTACATCAACATATCATTCATATATATATGTATATCATGTCACCCTATTTCAAATAATACAGTATTGCATCATATCATATCACATTGTAACAGCATCATATCGTATTGTCTAGTATCATACCCTTTTGTTTCTTATGTTAACTTATGTTATATCACATCACATTGTGATGTATGGTATGGTATTGTATGTTGTATCTAATTGTGTCAAAGGCTCCACCTCAGTTGTGTACGGCTGAACTGCTGACTGACTCTGTGAAACAAGAACTCACATATCAATCTGTGCAGTTGATTGAATAATTCCCTCTTATAAGAGATCAGAGGTTTGAGATATCATTGTAGTGCTGGGATCTATAAATAACAACTGCTGATAGTCTATGACCTCTCCCTGACTTTGTGAGAGATGTAAATGAACAGAAAACATGTTAAATATTTAAAACCTTCAATATGGTGTCATCTGCTCCTCTGTAGGCTGCTCTCACTGTGCAACATGCTTTTAGAGCCGCAGAGCTGCAGAGCTGCTGAGCTGCTGACTGAGGCTTCATTTGTGATTAAAGCTCATTTGATTTAGCCGCAAAATGATACCGAGTGAACACAAAGCCATCACACAGTATCAGCCTACATGAGAGTTAGCTTTTAGTGCTCTGTGTGATTATAAAAGAAGGATCATTATAAATGTCTAAAAGCGAGAAGAGGAAAATAGCTCTATAGATGCCTACAGTCTGGCCAACAAAACCTCTCCCCTGGTCAGCAGATGAGTCGCCATGGATACAGGTCTCAGCACTGCTGTGTGGTTCACACTTGACAATTTAACAGTATGCAACTTTATACTCCCAGGAAATGAAGATCTCTGTTCCTTTCAAAGAGCGGAGAAACTCACCAGGTGATGTCTGCACTAATTATCTTTTGTGAGGTGAGGACAATTATACTCCCTGCACCAGCCTTGTCTCTTTAAAACATGGCTCATATACTTTGGTGTCAGTGTTGCACTTGTTCAGCCTTACATCTCGGCTTGATTGCTCTGTTTCATGCTTTGCTCTGTAGTCTCCAGTTGCTTAAACTATCAATTAAACGACTGAGAAGAAGGTTGGGAACTGGTTCTGGAACTGTCTGAAACAACATGACGGAAAATTGATAATAGCCACTAGGGCTGCACGATTTTGGAAAATAATCTAATTGCAATTTTTTCCCTTAATATTGCGATTTAATATACGATATTTTTTTCAAGCTCCTCTTCTGATGTATTCTTCAACAAACACAAACAATAAATCAATCTGTATTGTAGTAAACAATATTGTATTAATTCTACATAAATTGTTCTTTCTGGCAATTATCATTTCACACACACACATGCACACACCGTCATATCCGTCATGATACTAATCTACACACTGATGGCGAGATGTAATCGGTGCCCAAAACACTGGAGTTGGGTCTATTCATTCAGCTGTGCTGCCATCACCGTGTTGGATGTGTTTTTTGTCGTTATGCAGACGTGGTTTAAAGTTGAAGCGCTGGTTGCCAGTGTTATAGCCTTCAACTATCGTACATGGCTTTATTGCATTTTTTTAAGTGTTGATAAAGGTTTGTAGTGTTACCTCCTGATGTAGCAATAGTAGCACAACAGGGTCTGCAAACATTGTGCAGCAGCATCTTTTTTTGTAAAATAAATCCACACAACTGCTGTGTTCCCCCTCTGGTAGGCCATAGTGCAACAGAGTGCAGTGTTGACCTCTCTCTCTACCCATTGTGCTTCGCTCACAGGTCACATGACCAGATCATGTGACCAGTCAAAATCACAGCCTTTGCAGTAAGAAAATTGTGTTTTATCATATCATGATGTAATCGCAAATGCAATTAATTGTTTAGCCCTAATAGCTAGTATTGTGTCCAGATGCTCAGGGGTAGCCAAATTGGGGCACTGACATGGCATGAAGTATGTATGTATGGGGCACTTTTTGAGCGGAGCGTCATCGCTCTGAGTCTCCCGCCCAGCCAAAAACGTCTGCGTACAACGCTACAGCGCAGCTCTGGTTTCAAGGAAGTGGACAAAAACCCGGAATTACCGAGAGCTTTTTGGCTTCAAATCCGTATACAGGCGGAAGGCGGAACCAGGCTGTCCATCTTATATACAGTCTATGGTACACACACATAAAAACAACCAGCATATCTTAACACTTTCTGTCTCTAATTAGAATATCTTCATAAACTTTCAATATTAAAGGATAAAGCAGAAGTTACATCCCTGTGTAAGTGTATTTGTATCTTAAAGCTCCTGTGAGGAGTTTTTTTTCTTTTTTTACATGCATGAAATAAGCTGAAATATACATGGGTGAAAGCAAACAAGACCAGTAGCAACAAGATTGGTGATTGATTGACACCTCAGTTATCAAATATGGATTCCTATATTTATCTGTACCAGGCTTGTAGGGTAGAGGAGAAGAGCGAGTGAAAAGGTAATGAACACCAATACAAGAGTTTTGTACTGTAATTACATCAACTAAACAATAAAGATTATGTTTCCCTATCTCTAAGTACCCCCCTTAAATTAATTTGGTAGATTTCTCTATTACCTCCCTCTCTGTCTATCTGAGTTGGATGCACAGTGTGAAAAAATGCCTGCAGTCTTTACAGACACTCTCTGTGACTCTGGAGCACAGCTGCAAAATCTGTTGTTCTGGCACCAGCGCCCACATTGGACTCAGTTGGTGGATGGAAAAAGTACAGCTGGGATTATTTTAGACTCTGCTTTTATTAACATAGCAAAGTTGAAGCAAAACTAGACTATAATAGGTCAAAACAAATAAATGTTTCCCCCAAATAGGAGTTCAGAAAAACATGACAAGAATACATTTCACATATTTTGGAGATTCAGTCAGCATGTGCATTTGTCAAATGTGCAGCATAACGAGGCTGTGACTGCTGTATTGAATTGCATTCTCAAACAAATAAGCACTCCTGACATGACTCCCAGGAGAACTTTTTCTGTCTACACATCTCAGCCTAAGCTGTTTTTGACTACATTAACCTCCATCACTGGGACAACATCCACAGAAAATATGGCAAAATTACCATTGAAGCCTAAACTACTGTGACCTAGTTTTGAAGTGAAATGGGAACAAGTTGTTTTATAATGCAAACATGAATTTGACTTGTTAATACAGACAGATAGACTGTGTCATATTTTGTCAAACTACACCAACAGAAGTGGAAAATTTCCACCATGATTCACAGCTAAGTGCTGACACATGAACACTATGGCTATTTTTAGCTACAATACAACATATCAGCATGTCAGCGGATTTTTGATAGCACCCCATGTTTGTTGAAGGAGAAAGGTACATGGAGAAACTCGGTATTGTCTTGCTGACTGTCCATTCCTTTTTTTCCATGTTTTATTTCAAAGACTTTGTCCTACTGAGTGATCAGTATCAGTAATCAGTACCCAGCTGTGTCAGATTGGGTGACAACAGAGATGTAAATTTGTGGTTTAACTGACCAGCAGACCTGATAGACTGCACAGAGGTAGCTGACCAATCTCCACAACTGATGCAATGAAAGTGGAAAGTGGAGGGACAGGACGACACAACACCTTGCGAGAAGACTGTAAACAAACATGTGTCTTTAGCACCATGAAGGGTATACTGAGCTGTCAGTGGTCAATATCACCTAAACAACTGAGCAACTCCAAGAAGGCAGAAAGAAAATGTAACATGCTAGACTTTCTGTCTAGAGATTACGAGGTGTCTCAGATGTGGCTCAGATTGTTGTTCACCATGACCCACTGCTTAGGGTAAAGCTGTTGTCTTTCGGGGTGAACAGCAAAGTCAACATCTGCTGGATCAGACTAGAACCATGCTTGTGATGTGTAGTCTAACTTCAATTAACAGTGAAGCTTCATTCTTGCTTATTTGAATTTTTATTTACTGCTGGTTGACTTTTGAAATAGTTTGTTTAAATTTTTTTAAATGATGTTTCTTAGCAGCACCTGGGTGCAGACTTTTGTTTATATAGAAAACCATCAATGGGAGGTAGGATGTCATTGCAGCAGCTTTTGCTCTCCATTCAAACTGTGTTTTTATGGAAACACAAAGGCTTACTGATACTCTGTTTTAATTAACCAATCTTTATTAATATAGCACCAACTTTCAACAAACATTATCTCAAGATGCTTTACAAATAAGCTGATGTAGACCATAGTTATATTAACAAAGATCCAGCATCAAGATGGGATGAGATAATCTGGTAGGATGAGGTACGGGATAACTAAAAAATGACCTCTCAGACCACTTTTAGAGCCCCTTAAGTGTGACACCCTTCAAAGGCCTTCATGCTGGGATCACAATGTTCTGGAGCAGGAATAGAGCACTACAAGCTCTTTAAAATATGCTGGTGCCTGACCATAAGAGCTTTCTTGGTTAACAGTGCTCGGACTACAAATGGTAACTAGGATGTTTCCCATCTAGAACCCTGAGTACAGATTGTATATTGAGATACAATGGGATGAAAGTAAAGGAGAAGCACCTTAATGCAACAGAATGTAAACAGAGAGCCTCATATTGCAGTGTGGGCAGGGCTTGATTGCCGCCTGTTTCTTCAGGCATGGCCGCGCTGCCTCTGAACTACCTCAAACATTAAGTATAACAGACTTATTCAAATTCTTATATGCCATGCATTAACATCTGCTGATGCAACCCTGGCAAATGAATAGACAAAAGGAGTATTTCAAGTAATCTTCTACCTCTGTTTATGTAAAGTGGATAAATCTGTTCAAACAGCATTAAATGCATGGATATCTGCCTCAGGCGAGGGATGTCAAGATAAAGAAAGAGAGGGAGAAAGAGGGAGGAAGGAGGGAAAAGCAAGAAGCAGAGCGTTGTAACATACAGAGACAGAGCAAGTGAAACACCACAATACAGCATGTTGATGTCAGCAAGAGATGACAGGATGGACAGAGCAGGAGAGACTGCTGATCATTGTCAGGTACATCAGGCCAAAGGTCAACCTGTGACTAGCTCTGTTTCTCTTCACTCTCTCTCTCTGCCTCACTCTCTGTCTCTTTATCTCTCTCTCTTTCCCCCTCCGCTACACTGTCCAGCCGCTCTGGGCAGCTGCGTCAGATTTCACGCACGCATTCCCACCGTGCCATAATCGTCCCTGACAGCACACTTAGGTTAGTGTTTGGCTTTTGTACATACATTTAGAGAAAATGCAGATTACGCTCCACTTTATATTCCCAATTAGCCGCCGCTGAGGAGAGTTTTACTGCAGAAGTTAATCACAAGTGATGCCGGTGTTTCTTTGAGGGGGCAGGGATAGGGAGGATTTGGCAGCAGAAGAGAGGAGGTATCCAGGGGTATTTGTTGTAAGACCTGAAATGGGAGGAAAGCACATTCTGGAAGATAAATGGAAATGAGAAATCTATAAAGAGGATTGATCAGGCAGGAGTGTGGAGAGAAGGATGGGGGGAGCAGAACAGAGCCAGGCTGCTGCTCGGCCACTGGCCAAACTCCGTCCATCCACATCTGTGTGCAAGCCTCCATGAGAAAGAAAGTGTGTGTGTGTCTGTAGGGATAACTTTTACTGTGTGTTTATCTCTGTTTTCCTGAGTTCATACCCACATCATAGTGGATGATCCGGTGTGAAAATTTGAGTTTCTAAAAGCCGATAATGGTGGTGCTTGTTATTAACGATACGCTGCGTAGGTTTGATGTGGGTGACAAATGTACCTGATGGCAGATCATGAAACGAACAAAAAACACGCTGGACTGCTTTTATAATTTTACCACACAGGGTGAGGGTTGGGTTGCATTCTGTTAATCCAGTGCTGAATTTAAGGCTTCATCCACATGCATACAGAATATTTCTCTGACCTTGACCGTATGGAAAAGGTTGAAAAACACCCACACAAGCATGCCAGACCAGTAGGTTGCGATAATGAGTAATCAGTAGGTGTGCAAACTTAAAGTTTTTTCATAATTGAGAAAAGCAATACTAAATACATATTCCTCTAAACCATGTACTCTCTGCAGTTACATACAAGATGAAGCTGATGGTATCGTACAGTGGCAAATGGAGGTGTACAAATTGTCCAATGTGCTGAACATCAACATGCAGAGTGGGCTTATTAATAACCTTTACAGACAAAGTAGCTCAGGAGGTAGAGCGGTCGTCCAATGACCGGAAGGTTGGCGGTTCGATTCCCCCCTAATCCAAGTCTGTCCGTTGTGTCCTTGGGCAAGACACTTAACCCACCTTGCTCCCAGTGTGTGTCCTCCACTGGTGCATGATTGTGAGTGTTGTGTGGTGGTGGTCGGAGAGGCCGTAGGCGCAGAATGGCAGCCACGTTTCCACCACCACCAAAGTGTGACTGTGTGAGCGAATGAATGATGTATCCAATGTAAAGCGCTTTGAGGGTCTCTGATAAAGCGCTATATGAAATCTGATGCATTATTATTATTATTATTATTATTATTTCAGTGTCCATTTTTCTGCACTCTTGTTCTTATTGATATTGATTGGGAGAACAACCAGGTCATAATAAGTCTGGGGACAGAAAATGCAGATACATGCCAGCTTTGCCAGTCTTTCTGCATTAACTTTCACCATCCAGTCGACTTTGTATGGGGCAATGTCGTCGTGTAAAAAATACCCAATTAAATTTGCCCACGAATGTTGTGTATTGCTCCCCAAAACAAGCTGGTAGAGATCCCGCCTGTGGTTGCAGCCCCTACTTTAGTCAGTTAGTTGGCATTGAAACAAGCTTCAATCTTCAAACACCACACTGATAGCTGAATATAATGTTCCAGTGGCTGGAGTTGGCTGGAATGTCATACAACTAAAAATGTTGTCTTTTGCACCAAATTGGGGTAAATTCTTAGCTGTTGTTTTCCAAATCAAAAGTGATGGTTCTCTAGCTAAATTTCAACCCCTAAATTAGACCTACCATTACCAAGCAGACATAACACAAAACCATAGCCTCCCATTTCTGATATTAGGTGGCAAACAACTATTTACTTTAACTGCCACGCAGAAGTTGCGGAAATGGTGTTAGCACATCCTGAAATCTCAGTTCCAGCTGTCCCTACAAATACACACAAAATCTTCAGTCTTCCAAACTTCCATTTTAAGTGACCTCAAACTCCATTTATGTGGAGACACGGGACCAAACTGCAGGGATGAAAACTTTTTCAGAAATATCCACATATGTTCAGAAGAGGCCAAAGATACAGATGGGAATAGATGAAACTTTTCAATCCAAAAAGGAAATTCTAGTCCTAGATTGCTCCTGTATTCCAGCACGGAAAAATCACAGAGGGCAAAAATTGCAGGTAACAGCTTTTTTACCTGTAGTTTTTGAACTATTTGAGCAGGAAATGTGGATACTGAGCAAAGGAACGTAGCCATGGGCCCAAATACAACTTTGGACATCCAGCTTGAGGCATAACCCTGATTTATGTGGCTCCAGGCTTGGACTTCGAAGCCAGTGGTGTTCCATGGCCATGAAAATCACACAGTGAGAAATGTAATAAGTAGGTTTAATGAGGGTTTAATGCAAACAAACAGCTTAAAACAGAAGAAGTATGGAAGTATCGTGGCATTTCCCCAAAACGATTCTCCGGCGATAGCTTAAATCCTGACGTAGTTTCAACACATTTTCACACCAAATCATAACTAAACAGCATTAAGGGCTGTGTGTGAGATGTGAACCAAAAAGTCACGAGTTTTCTAAAGGAGAGAAGTTTGAAACAATTACCACCAAAGAAAACGTGCATGCCAAGTACTTGTGGCTCTGACTTTTAAAATAAGAAAAACCATAGCATTCGCTGCCTGCGAAATCTGGTCCATGTACAAAAGTGTAATTAACCTCTTTGAAAAACCTTCTGAGCCAGTGTCTTTTCAATAGTGGCCATGGGCATTTTTTTTTTTTTTTTTATTGTTGTCTATTCATCAGAAAAATGCTCACTCACAAAACAGTGATAAATCATTGACAGTAGTGTTGGCTGTCATTCTCATATGTGGTGTAAAAACTTCAGTTGCACCTGAAAGTGGATATTATCTGAGTAATGAAAGTAATAATGCACATGATAGGTAAAGCAAAAGTAAGATTCAACATGCTGTGAACAAGTAGGATGCATCATGAATTGATCAGTAAGAGATCAATAATACAGCACATTTGTGTCAAATACAGTTGTTAATATACTGTATGAATCTTGCAGGACAATTGAAGTTTATCAAGACTGAAAGATTTACTGAGGATTTTGTGTATTTTTAGCTGCAGAGGCAGAAACAGAGCAGCTTTGACTGGCAGCTTAATTAATGCTCATAATGTGAACCTTAGCAGCGACCTGACATGAGCTTAGCAGCTCAAGATATGAAATTTTTCATTAAATTATTTTGACACTTTGAAAAAAAAAATCTAATGTCTCCCACGCTGTTGACAGGGTGGAGGCTGTCGGTGGTTTTCAAGGAGATGGACACAAGTTTGTAATGCAGTCAAATTTAACAAACTCAGATATACAGCAACGTGATTTGTCCTTCTAATTACATTCAGCAGAGAAATCCGACCACATTACTGTGGTCTTTCAACGTACCTTCAAAATATTGGTGCAATGAGGTTAAATCATTCATTTTTTCAGAGTTTATCATTTCAAATGATGAAGGAACCAGCCGGACAATAAGCTGTGAAAACTTATTCATTCAATTGTTTGCTTTTTTGAAGTCTGTCATCATAAGTGGTGAAAGCGAGGATAGGCTCAACTGGTACATTTCACAGCTGCTGTGTTATGTGACTTAAAAAAGTAGCTTCCTCTGGGGAACAATCTCAGTTGTCAACTCTTATTTTTCAGATGTTGCACGCGTTTGTTTAGTTCATCTTTTTTGCATCAGTGTTTACATTTTGTATTTTAACACTGAGTGCTGCTGGCTTCAGTGAAAGAAGAGCCACAGATAAATGTTCTCTGAAAGCAGGGAGTGAGATAACGAAACCTGTTTCTGCTTGTTTTTTTTTTTTCCTTTCTGTAAATAGATTAAAAAGGCCAGTTGAGTGTACTGGAGACTGTGGCTGAGTTTCCATGGCATTTCCTGTTAATATTCATGGGCCTTTTAGTGTTGACCCCTCAACCTTTTCTCCGGTGCTGCTATCAGGCCAAACTGAAGATGGAAAAACATTAAAATCTCAAATGCAGACTGTTGGAATCTCATTTAACACTTTAATTGGGTGGGTATCTTCTCTGTTTGCTTCTCTTCTTAAAGCAATCAAAAATTAGTAATAAATCAGATATTCCAAAAGTACCAATTTGGAGGTAGGAAATTTGGAAAATCTTTCTGCACCATCATCAGTTTTCTCTTTTGTGCTCTATAATCTTTATCATATCGAATTTTCCAGACATCTTTCAGCAGATCAATACAGCTACTGCTAGTCGCCCAGGATTGATGTTTGGAGCTGTATCCATAGCAACACTTTGCTGTTGAGCAATAACAGACTGTTCTTTTGGAGCATTGACCAATCAAAATAAAGCACCATACAGTCACATGATAGATACAGGATATTGTAAAGTGAGTGGGTTGTCATAGCGGATTAGAGCCACAACTGGGTGACCCTGGGACCCAGGACCCTGACCCAGAGCAGTCAGGTTTTTACTGTCTTGTTAAAGGGATATTCCGGTGTAAAATTAAGTTAGGCTCAAACACACTGTAACACCAAGTTGGACACCCCTTTAAAAGATAGATGTTACCGACATCTTGCTTCTCTAGTTATACCAACTTTAGCAACAACAGCACGATAGTAGAGGAGTCTTGCAGCTAAAGGAAGAACATTTCTGATTATTACTTTATTTAAATGTAATCAGACCGAGACGCTGAGGCAGAGGAACTACTGTGTCTGCAGTGCAAAATGATTATGATGATTATTACTTCAAGGAAATGATCTGCTGCACTCGGTGATCAACTCGTCAGGGCTCCAACTACAAACAAGCAGCTGCTGGAGGAGAGTGAGTGAGTTGTGTTTGGTCTCTTTGCTAAAGAAATCAGGCAAAGCTAAAAAGATGTTTGATGGCTAGTACTATGGCTGGGACCCTATATGTACTGTTGATAAAGTTAGGTGCTGCTCTGAGCATTATTTGTGGCTATTGAGTGGCTTTTTGGTTGAAGTTCGCATGTGGAGACGTAGACTGCTGTGTATTGCTATTGTGTGGTCGTTGCTGAAGTTGGTATTACAAGAGAAGCAAGCAGTCAGCAACATTCATCTCTCGGGGGGGTGTCTAACTCGGTGTTACGGTGTGTTTGACCCTAATTTGACCCTTAATTTTAAGCCGGAATATCCCTTTAATGTCACCCAGTGATGTTGAAGCCCCAACTTTTACAAACTAATTCAGAAATAAGATGTTCATACCTTAGGTTGAACCTTCATCCTACACAGAAAAATCTCGCCTTATTCATGGTCATTTCCCATATCCTTGTTAAAAATGAACTAGTTTATGGCCCCTTCGTCAAAGAAAACTCATTATGTGCCTAATAGATCTACATTTTGTGGTATGCACTGAGAGCACCCCACCTGTCCACAGGAGTGAGTGGAATGCCAAAGCCTTCATTCTTTCTCCTCTGTAGTTTGTATCTTTATTCATGACCGAGCTGCAGCTGCAGATATCGGCCAGCTAAAAAAACAAGGTGATAGCAGCCTGCAGGTGTCCTTGAAATTGTTAGACACATGTTTCTGTGGGTGAGAGCAAAGAAATGGTCAAAGCACAAAAACCACACACAAAAACAGTTCAATGAACAAAAAGAAACCTGAACACAAACAAAGGGCCCTGCAGACGGATTGCCCTCTGCTGGACTCATCAACTGAAATGTGATCTAACAACCTGGATCTTGAATAGATCTACTTGTTTTTATCTACGTGATTAACATTTTCTCTGCTGAGTCTCAGTTCTTGGGTTGCCTTGATCATGCCAACATCAATCTTACTGGACTTCCCTTCATGTATTGATATGATTACAGTTAGTCCTCCAGAGTCTGTGATTAGATCTACATCCCCAGAAAAGGATTGCTCATCAAAACATCTGCCATCTTGAAACAACAGACCATTGCTGTGAACTGTTGCTGTGTAATGACCAATCAGAATCAAGTACTCAATGCGGCTATAGTAACACTTCACAGAGACACCAGGACGATAAAAACTTTTATGACTATGAAAAAGTAATTATGCACCAATGGATTTGAATCTTCCCCTTATTGTTGTGGAAAAGGCTCTATTAATAAAAATAAACCCAGTATAATGCACGGTAGAGTGTACAATAGAAACCTCCCCACCTTCAAAGCACTCTGACAGTCAAACAATCCTTGAAAACTTCACAAGCCTGAAAGGCTGTGAAGATAAAAGAAAAAGTCCATTGTTTTAAAATTGGTGCATTGTGGTAAATGGTTAATCAGATCATTTTTATGCAAAAAATAATGACTTTTTTTGTCTATGTCTTCTGGGAAAAACCTCTTGAAAGAGCATAAAACAAAAAAAATCAAAGCTGCATATTTAATTTTAACTTTGTGGAAATCGTTTGATCATTTAGTTCAGGGTAGGGTCTTTGAATATGTTAGGCCAACCAAAAGCAGATATTTGATAAAGTGATATATCAGACTAACTGCGCTGCACACTTCTGTTGGTAACATTCACCTGCTCCTGATACTCTTCTTAAACGCTGCTACCTCATCCCCTCTCTGCAGTCCGCCCTGCTGTGAGTGAAGCTTTCGGTGGCACTGCCAGGTCACACACTCCAGCCTAACCTGCTAATGGAGTTTGCATATGCAGCCCGCTCTCCTCTGCCAGCTAGCCATTAATATGAATCACTCTCTGGAGGCTCCCCCAAACAAGCTGGCAATTTGTCTTCACTAGTGAGCCGCTGAAAGGTCTACATATGATATTCTCCAAGGTGGAGAATGCAATTCTGAAAGGGGTGGGGTGAGGTGGTATGAGGTCGGTTTCATACACTTGACGGGGATGGGTGGGTGTGGGTTTGAATTGCTGGTTTGCACAGGTGCACAGATGTGTGTTGGGCGAGCTTGAATGTAAGGAAGGTGGTAGCTGCCGTCAGGTGGAAAATTGACACAAGAGACAGACTGGATTCAGGACGGTGAAATGATTTCTCTCCTTTCAGGCGAGCAAGACAGGCTGTGAGATTGCATCACTTGCACCCGCTCGGTGAGAGTTCTGTTGAGAGCACTACTGAGCTCTATTATCAGCATGTGCTAATCAAATGATGGGCTCAGACTGAAACTATGCTCCTTTATTGCGTGATGAGACCTCTCTGTTTTTCCCACATGTTTCTCTCTGCGCTGCAGGGAGCCTAAATTATGAAATGTAAGCACTTGAAACCCTAATTTGACCACATTCAGACTGTGGTTTTTTACGTGTTCTGCTTCCCTCAGACAATACTCGACAGTAGCTGGGAAAGAAATCTTCCTACACCCACACAACAAATGCCACCGCTCTGCTAGTGTGTGGCCTGGAGAGAAACAGCACAGTTGCTGTCGGGCGTTTTTTGCTAAACGAAGGAGAGATGCAAAATGAGCAGCATATATACACACGCACACACAGAAAACACACACAAATACATACACAGACAGCACGACCCAGTAGGTCATAGAGGTTTGCATCATATTTTTTAGCATTTTCTGCTTCTTCACTGCTCTGGTGGCCCTCCTCCAGCTATGCGCGCTTTGTTCCAGCCTGAGCCCGGGTGGAGAGCTGGTGGAGTGTGTGTACTCCTGCCAGTGCTGCTGTAAACATGAAGACATCATAAACACTTAGCTTGGTGGGCGCTCTGAAAGGACGCCATATGACACTCAATCTTGATGCATACAGATATAACAGAAGATCAAAGATGTAGCTTGATGAAAGGTGCAGAAAAACAGAGGGAGGGTGTTTGAGCAGAAAATGTCACAAATGCAAATTTGACATACAGAAACTCCACATTCAAACAAATGTTCCTCTCAGTCCTGATGGAGCGATTTAATTCTCACCTCTTATGAAAGAGCTGAGAAAATGACACAGACACAGGATGGAGTTTCACTGCGACATTATGTAACGCTTGCTAGCACCTCGCTTATAAAGGCTTCAATGTCTACAACAAACCACCAACGAACAGCCAAGTCGTGTGTGTCGCCATGGTCACTGCTGTGCTGGCAGCCCATCTGACCTGTGACTGACTCCTAATGAGCCCGTTGCTCTAAGCCGACGCCACACACTCCCCGGTTCTGTCAGATACAAAACTATGGTGGTTCAGATTCTGATCACAGACCTCTGGTTGGGTCTGTCTTTGATGTAAAAGGATTGAAAAATACATTAAGTGTGAGAAAAAGTAAACAGAAAACAAGAGGGGGCAACATTTAGTCTCTCATGCTCTGCCAAAAATGCTCTTTGCTTCACCAACAAGAAGCAGCTCTTATTATCTGTCTCCTTTTCAAAATGTTTTCAGTCCATTTTCTGTATTTTTCTTCAAATTATGAAACACCATTGGAACACTTACAACAATACGTCTTTTCTGCTAATCTGTTTTGATAAATCTTGACCTCCACTGTTGTCCAAAAAGCATTCATCGGCTGCACTGATAAACTGGGTGTCATTCTTCCATATCACTAAAAGGAGAGGATTATTTTTTGTTGACATATCCTGCAGCTCCAAATACTTTTGAGGGTTTTAGAGCTGTATTTATCCAAAAGCGGTTTCAAAACTAACATGTAGCACAACTTGTTCTAACAAAAAGGTTCTTCTAAGTATGTAACCAGAGCTTAAAGGCTAAAACACTTTCACCCTTGTGGGTGTTTTTCAGTGTTCTTGAAAAAAGTATAATGTAGCATCCACGGACAAGTATCAGCAGTTAAAATCTAAACTGATTTGATTTCCTTTGTAATAAAGCAGGGATGAAAAGGCATTAAACAGGTGTACATATCCCAACATCTATGAAAGAAAGAGCCAGGCCACAGAGCACGATGCGTCATTTACACATAGATGGTTCAGATTTTAATGCCATTTTTCGAGTTTATGTTGTGATCTGTGCGATCAACCCACCTTTGTCACATGAGGTTTAAATATGTGCAACTTTATGTGAGTGTCTTTATTTGTGGAAAGGGTGTTTGTCTTACCAGTGGGTCCAACATTACACGCACCAAATCCATCTGTGCTCATATGAAAGAGAGTGGAGGACGCCCTCTGCAGCGCTTACAGCAACACTTGTTGGGGAGCTGCCTTCTGTCGCCATCGTGTGGCATTACTGTCTTCAAACATCTCTTGATCTCTTTGACTACTTCACGAAAATAGTAATACGCCTCGCCGGTGACAGATTTAAAGGTGAGGAGAGAAGCTGATGTTATTGGTCAATACAGGTCTTGGCTGTGTTAAACCCACTCCACGCCCTCTCTCCTCCCTCACTACGACTTACGCCGCTGGGAGGAGGTGAGTTAGGGAGGGGGGATACTTACGCTGGGCTGCGCCACTCACCAAAATACTAAATTGTGCTTGGGAACGCCTTGTCAGCGTGGCGGACCTGACTTACGCTGCACATACACCACGTCTCTGGCGAGGCATGAAAATAGAGCCCTAGCTGTACCCAAGCAAAGAACCCTCTCCAAAACAATTCACAGAATAAAGTACCATGACAGAACAAACTCGTACCTTTTACTCATGTCTAGCTGGATGCTATCTTGAAACCCGGTGCAGTAGCAGCAGATGGCTGTCTTACAGACATCTGGTTCTGCTCAAGGTTTCTGCCTGTGAAAGGAATTTTCTCCTCTCAACTGTCACTTGGGTCTGATCAGAATAAACTCATACCTTATTCTCATGTCTAGCTGGATGCTATCTCGAAACCCAGTGCAGTAGCAGCAGATGGCTGTCTTACAGACGTCTGGTTCTGCTCAAGGTTTCTGCCTGTGAAAGGAAGTTTTTCCCTTCCACTGTAACTTGGGTCTAATCTTACGAGATATGGCTCATTTTTATCCTATCTTTACATTGGGTCTATGTGGATAAAGTATGATCTTGACCAGTTTTTTTATTAAACACCTTAGATGGTGAATTGGCACTGTATATATAAAGACTGATTGATTGATTAATTAATAACCCTGAGCAGTAGTGATCATGACCCGCACTTCTTCAGTCTTTACTTGCTAGCATTTCTCATTTATGTCCTATTTTATGTCAGGTGAGTGACAAACCTGTCCTCAAAATAAACATAAAGACCCACATGTGAATAGCTTTGCTTTGTGAGAGGATTTGTTGACTACAGTGGAAGTATATAGGGAACGTTCAGTTAGAGTAGTCACAACTCTTGAAGGTTTTCAGCATAATGCATGTCTGGTGCTTCAACAAAGCGGTCAACAAATAAAAGCCCTGAAATTCACAGTGTTCTTTGGCTGAAGAAAGCAGGGCACCATTTTTCATGGCCATGAATGAGTCACAAACAAATAGTCACCAAGGACAAGCAAAATAAATACTGATGACTAAACCCAATTAAACTTCAAAAGCAAGTGCAAATCCGGAAAAACAGAAACGGATTTCAACTCTGAGTCACAACTGTTAGCAAAGAATCTGTTCGGTTCTTTCACACAGAGCTGGGTCTGAGTAATAGTAATGACGATATTAATTTGTATCAATACACAAACATGTGCACGTATCATGTGAGTGCATTGGTTTAGTTGTGTCTGCCTGGGCCGCAGCAGCCTGCCACGGGTTTGGTTCTATTACCACTGTTTGCTCCATTAGTAATGAGCAAAGTTTCTCGAGTTTTGTCCATGCCCTGCTGGCTAACTAGTCCTCTTCTTTGTCAGTTTAATATTTGGTGTTGGCTGCTTTTTGCCTTTAATATCCCTGTGTCCAAACTTTGCTTTATCCTTGTCTGAATATGTCCAACCCGGTCTCATAAGAAATCATGAAACTGTCATGAAAATTAATCTATTGTTTCGTGCATGCCAACACGATTTCCTCATTTTTTCGTGTAACCCAAAACAAATTCCAAAATACTGTATTTTAATTGGAAGTTCGGGAAAAAGAAGAGGAAATTGTGTTGGCACGAAATAATAGATTAATTTTTGTAACAGTTTCACGATTTCCTATGAAACTGGGTTAATATGTAACGGGGCAAATTTGGTATTTTTACATTCCACCGTAATACAAGATTAGAGAGCCAGGTGTTTTCCCTGCAAACGTCATTGAAGCGATAACTGATCACATGTATGGCACATACAAAATCATGTCATCAACAATTGCAATTCACAAGATGAGGTAATAATGTCAGTGTCTGGCGAAACTTTTACATAAACACACAGAAACCTGATTTATGAAAAATCTCCACCTTCACCTCTCTGTGCACCAAACCACATGGGGGGAAAAAACAGTTTTTCAGAATACCAACCTTCATGTAGACAAGGCCTGAGATCCTCCTGAAAGTTGAAAGACACCAAAGTTATGCAAATTCAACAAACCTTTTTTGTTAAGCAAATTCAACTTGATTCCACTTTAGTCCTGCACACGTTTCAACATGGTCTTTTAACTTTGCAAAGCTAAATGAATAACTGGGGGTTTGGTTCACTGTGTCTTTAATATCTCATAAGCACTGTGTGCATGAGTCTGACTTTTCTTGAAGCGTGATACAAGTCCCCCTGTTAGTGGTTTCATAAAGTGCAGTACCTGAAATAATGTGTGAAACAGCATAAATCAAGCGTATCCTGTGTGTATCATCCTTTGAATTCATGGTTAGGCTTAAAATAAGAAAAACTCGTAAAGCACGGCAATTAGTTTTATTTTCATTCAGTCTGAAATTTGCACCCAAATCGACTGGAAGTGATGCAAGAGACAAACAGCTGGCTCAGCCAATATGGCTCTATTGCAGCATTAGTCCCAGTTGCTCATGGTGGATGCATATAGCGTTACACATGAAAAAACATCAAAACACCACAATTTTTTAAACAGCTGCTGTGAATCAGGCATTTTGAGCTGCAGAAATCTCAGGAAAAGCCTACAAAATCCTGGAGAGGTTGGAAGCTGGGATCTTCAAAGGTCGCCAGTTTTGCTTTGAAGAAAGATGGTCATTTAGGGCATCATATAAATACTATATTTATGTTATGTCTGTCACACACAAACCACGCTGTAACCGCAAAACAAAGCTGGCTTATTCTGGAGCAACATAAATTCCTCCTTTTTCAACATGCCTCAAAAAGAAGAAGATGCAGACCCTCATACACACTGCTCTCATGCTGCTGATGCAACATCAGGGGCTCTATTGGAACAGTGGAGGCGTACAGCCAGTTTGGTATTTTCGTAGACCGAGGCGCACCGAGGTCTGCTAAGCTGGGCGTGGTGGCATGGCAGAGGGAGGTGTTGACAGAATCAGCTGGCGCAGTGACATTTTCGTGCCGGTGGCGTGAAAAGTGCGCTGAAAGCTCGCCGATTCAAACCTGGTCAGCTTTCAGCGCAGGCGGAGAGCAGCTGGTCTAGAGGTATTTTGGTAGACCGGCGGCGTATCGGCATACGTCATCGATGCCTCACCGGCAGGTTTCCACAGTGTCAGGCACATTTCAGTGCAATAAATAATCATCAACAACTAATAATCTAAGTCAGCACATACATTTAGATCTATGGATATATTCTGATCTATATCTTATCTAATGAGCGTGTTTGGCACGCGTTTGTTTGGAATTAACACAGCTGACACCGCATTAAATTAAATATCCAGTAAACAGTCACACATGATGAAGTTAACAAGGTATGTAATTTGTCCTCCCGCTTATCCTCCTTTTTCCTCACGCAGCTCAATAAGTGTTATGCTGCACCCCTTCCATAGAATGCATCCCATCCACACCTTAGCGTCTTAAAGTGGAAAAAAAATATTTAAACATATTTAAAAAAAACAGTATTGGATCATGACAACATGTTAAATGGAGCAGCAAACTTTTGTTCTGTCTTTAGGTATTTAAAAAGTGCACATACAGAGGTGTACTTGGGTATATAAACTGTAAAGTAAGCTGTTAAGGTAGAGAACATTAGATTTTCGGGGCAGCAAATATTCTGAATCAGAGGGCTATTGTTTTCGGCATATCTGAATAGCTTGAATGAAATAATTAAAGGCACACGCTTTAGGATCAGTCCAACGGTAAGGAAAACTTGGATTATTTCACCTTGTTATGTACTTTCAACCGTCAGGGGGTGCATTCTATGGCACAACACCTGATGTGTCTCCATGTCCTTTCTCTGTCCTGCTGCTGCAGCGGTGGCACGGCTGACCAGATGATTTACTTTAATGATCAGATTAGTTATTTACTTCGAAAATTTGAACGAAAAAAGAAAAGAACCTTTCACTCAAAATTACCTGTTTATCTGATTTCCTCACATCATTAAGATTCTGTAAATATTCAATCCGGAGTCAGGCCCACATACAAATGTTATAATATTCAGTTTTGTGAGCCAAATTTATTTTATATGCCAACATCTATGAAAGAGCCAGGCCATGGAGCGCGATGTGTCCTTTATGCACAGATGGTTCCGATTTTAATGCCATTATTGGAATTTATGTTGTGATCTGTGTGCTCAACCCACCTTTGTCATGTGGGGTTTAAATAAAAAATTTAAATGCAACTTTATGCGAGTGTCTTTATTTGTGGAAAAGGGTGTTTGTCTTACCAGTGGGTCCAACATTACACACACCAAATCCATCTGTGCTTATATGAGACAGTGTGGAGGACGCCCTCTGCAGCGCTTACAGTGTTGAGGAGCTGCCTTCTGTCGCCATCGTGTGGCATTGCTGTCTTCAGACATCTCTTGATCTCTTTTACTACTGCACAAAAATAGTAATATGCCTCGCCGGTGGCAGATTTAAAGGCGAGGAGAGGAGCTTATGTTATTGGTCAATACAGGTCTTGGCTGTGTTAAACCCACTCCACGCCCTCTCTCCTCCCTCCCTACGACTTACGTCGCTGGGAGGAGCTGAGTTAGGGAGGGGGGATACTTACGCTGGGCTGCGCCGCTCACCAAAATACTAAATTGTGCTTGGGAATGCCTTGTCGGTGCGGTGGCACGAAAATAGAGCCCTAGGAGTTAAGACCAAAATACAACATTATTCAACCAGAAAAAAAGCAGAGGTGCCTCTGCAAGACATATTTAACATCTGAGGAGCTGCTCTGTCTCTGCAACAATGTATGTACTGTATGTTATATTCAAACCATTCATCTGCATAGAGGCATTCATGCGTGCTTCAAGTTTGGGCTAACTGCTCTATTGTAACAGCTGTAAACAACCTATGACTTCTTTTAGTTCTCTGCTCAATTAAAAATAGTAATCATGTGCTAAAGAAAGTGTTTTAAAAGACAAAATCAGGTAAAAGCTGGAAATTCTGCTAGTGATCACAGCCCTCAGTCTTTTTTATCTGTGAATGTGATTTTATTTTTATAGACACATTCTCCATTTTGATAGCAGATCTTTATCTAAACAGCTCATCCCACTGAGAATAAAATCTGTTTTTCAAGAGGTCCTTCAGTGCTCTTTTGGCTTTCAGTCCAATTTGCAGCGTGTACAGTACATTGCTCTTATCTGTCAAATGATTTGAGTGTATCTTTTTAGCTCATGTAATTTGTTGCTGGCCTTTCGCAACTCTTCTGTTGTCGCTGAGCCGCCTGCTGATTCTCTTGGGATGATTTTTGTGCTAAATTCTCAGTGGGATATCATCTTCGAGAAAAGATGGGCCACAGAAGTGTAACACAACTGTGATGGTCCCAGGTGCAAAGATGTTTTTCAGCCCTCCTTCTTGACACAAACAGAAGTGTATGAAACAAACAAATTTAAAGTAGAAAGTGTGTGTCACCCTGAAGGGACTCAAAGTGCAACTCTTATTCAAAGCAGTTAATGTCAGAACCAGACAGCAAATAGTGGTCCATTCATCCAGACTAATGGAACAGCCTGCAGTGTGATTTCTGTGAACTGTTCAACATCCAGAATAGCTTCAGATGACAGGTAGCTAGCACACCTATGTTGATAAGTAGAAACACACAACTAGAGGAAAACCCTTAAAGCCTAAAGACAATGATATAATTTTAAAAAAATGGTTAGCACTTTTTAAATCAGGGTTACTAAGTCCTTTAAAAATAATAAAAAAAGGAAATAAAATTTATGAAAAAATAAAAGACTTAGGGCCTGATTTTTGTGTGTGCAAACAAAGATTGCATGTGCTATTAGTGGGCAGGTTGCAGGTGATCTACTTGATGGGTGTAAAAGTGGTGTGGACCGCCCTATTTAAATGAGGATTTGCATCCGCTACTTGCTGTCATGTTTGTAGCCATGAAGTTGCACCTGGGAAGTCAGCATTTGAACAAGAGCCATGTTTTGGGTCATTGGTGTATCAAAGGAGTTATGGCATGGTTCCTTTTTGTGACTGGCACCAAATCAACCCTTAGGTCAAAAATGGCATGGCCAGATAGAAACTATGTCTCTACTATTTTTATTTCTGACAGTCCAAATATGTTCACAGGCGCAGGTTAGATTCTCTCTCTCCATTGTCTGTCATTGCACCTATGCCTCCCTTTCGCCATAATGGCCACAGCCATCTGTACCAGTTTGCACCTGCCTTTTCAACCTGCTTAATAAAGAAAAAAAAACATAGAGTGCAGTCACTTTCAGGTTGGATAAATCACATTGTGGGTGCTAAATGATTCTTCTTGCATCTCCTCCTCTGAGTATTTTGCGCGGTCTGATAATCTGCATAAATTTTACATATTGATGAAGGCAAACATGCTAAATAGATTGTGCATGGTAGTTTGCTCATTTGACAGGCGCAATCCTCCATGCACCCAGTTAGTAGATCAGCTTTGTACTACCAAGTTTGAATGGGTTTTGTACACACAAAATTTTAGTAGATCAGTAAAGTAGTAAAATGTTAGCAAGAGAATAGAACTGAATAAGAACAGGACAGAATAGAAGAAACAGTGTAGAATAGAACAGAATAGAACAGAAAAAGAGGAAAACAGAACAGATAGAATAGAAGAAACAGTAGAATTAAACGGAATGGAAGAAACAGTGTAGAACAGAACAGAACAGAATAGAAGGAGAAGTAGAATAGAACAGAATAGAATAGAAGAAACAGTAGAATAGAACAGAATAGAATAGAAGAAACAGTATAGAATAGAACAGAATTGAAGAAACAGTATGGAATAGAACAGAATAGAATAAAAGAACGCATAAACAAAACAAATTGAAAAGATTAGAAGGTAGAAAAAACTGAAATGAATAGAACAGAATCAAATAGAAAAGGACGAAACAGAATAAAATAGAACTGAATAGAATAAAGGAGAATAAAGGAGAAAATAAACGGAATATAATAGAAAAAAAAAGAACAGAATTGAACTGGAATAACATAGAATGTAACAGAATATAGTGTATATAACAGAAATAGAATGTAATAGAATAGAACAAAACCAGAATAGAACACTTTATTGTTATCTTACATTTTTCATGTCCCGTGTGCTTCTCCAAAACTTTAAGAAAGAACGTTAAAACATGAACATTCAAAAATAAGTAACAGGGAAAAAAAGTAGTATCCTTCACCTTTGATACTCATTTATTTACACACACAAATTTTCAGACTATTACATGCCCCTAGGGAGACATACAGATAGATGATCAGTTCACTGCACTCAAAGCTGAATCCTCCTTTTTAGTGATTCATAGTTTACCCTGTGTAGTCTAACCAATAGTAGCTCCATCTTTGTTGTCACCATGCATCGAGAAAAGTTTGTAAATGAAAATTAAAAAGACGCAAAGGCAAGCAGGATAAGCACCACCGTTACTAACTCAGCATTGCTCATATTTTAAGTGAGGAGTTAGACTCGCAGTGAGGAAGTATGATGAATTTTAAATATCTGACCTCCAGAACAATTTCATCTCATCAGTGTCTCATCAACGAAAACAAAGGGTGTGTTTGTCAGAGTTTCTGTTATCAGTGATCTATATCAGCTCATCAGCGTCCCGTCTTCATCATGGAAAAAAAAGTCGCTAATGAGCATTTATTGTCATAATTTTTGTTGATGAAACCAACTCTGCTGATGATACTGGTCCTAATGGCTGACTTCAGGTTGAGGCCAAGTCCCACAAAGTTCTCGAAATGAAATGCGCTGCACAGAGAAGCTGGAAAACATGTCTGGGGCCAACATTCATGTCTCTCATGTAAAGAAAGGTTAGTTAGACACAGTATCATTAGGTACTGAAAAATACGGATCAGCATAACAGGTCTCCTTTAAACTCTTTGAACAAGGTAGTTATTCTTGTGACAACTAATGGTAATCCTTTAGTCTCACATCCCTGTTAACGTCTGGTTCAGACCCATCAGTGTCCTGGTTGGAAGGGTAGTCAAAGTAAATCTCACATGCTCATCTGTAGTTTTTAGCAGACATAGACTACAAGTTCTTGCATCTTTGTCAGCAGACTGTCTCTTATGCTACATTACCATGAGAATGACAGATATGGGCTTAATGTTATGGGCCCTCTTAAGTGCACAGTCCCCAGTGCATTGAGATGCACAGCCATCTCTTTCATTATTTGTGTTGTAGAGCCATGGCTAGCAGCATTGTTTAGCTTAAATAAAAGCATAATAAGAGACATAAAGCAGGTCGTTTCTTGTTCTGAATGCTCCAAGGAATAGATACAGTAAAAATAGGCCTCACAAAGAAAAAAAGGATGTGTTGAAAGAAGCGGTCTTGTTTTCAAAACAGCCGAAAAATATCAGGGAGGGGAGCTCGACTGGGGGTTATTAGGGGGATGTTTGTGTCTTCAAAATGCTTTAAAAAAAAACCAGGCCAAAACATTTTCAAATATTAGGAATTCATGCTGAGCTGCATGTCCTTCAATGCTCCGCTGACTTTCAGTCTCATTTGCAGCAGAAATGATTAAATTCTGTGCACCAGCAAGTAAATTCCAACCATTGTGCAGCACTTATACAGCCTATTTCAGCAGAGTTTGGCTGATGGAGAAAGAGTTTTGATTTAACAAGAGGGTTTTTTTATTGTAGTGGTATCTGGCAGAAGAGATGCAAATCTGTAATTAACTGAGACTATTATTTTGAATTCATTGTTAATCAAAGGCCTTCAAAGCACCAGCATTGTTTCTTTGATACAGAGCAGACAAAAGCGCTTCGGCCCGACTTTTATGATTTCCTGGCTCACCTCCAGCCTTTCATATACATTCCTGTCTGTGGAGTGACAGTGCTCTTGTCATATCGTATCTGACAGCCCCCTCAGTGATAACAAGCGGCTTCATCTTTGGATGTACATTTTATAAAACGAGTGACGTTCACAAAACATACAAGCCCCCCTGCAGAACACACACAGACCCCACAGAGGTTAGATAAGCAAATATACTCCTTTATTCCAGTTCCATTTTCACATCTTCTATTTATCAAGCAGAGAAGAAAAATGCACTCCTTTGGTTTCAACTCATCTGTTTGTCGGATGCTGTGGCATGAGCATCCGTCTTGAGCCGATAGCGTGTGGACTGATGCAGAAAATATATTGAAATAGACTGGATTGATAGAGATGCTCAGAATAGAGAGAAACAGCTAATTTAAGCCAACCTTTCCATTTCTCCTGTTTTCATTTGTGTTATCACAGGTGTTGTGTTATGGAACATATTGCAGGAAGCATGATTGCATTTTCAGCATCTTATGTTTCCTTCGCTGTGCAATCACAGGGCGAAGAAGAAAAGCAACACATTGTTTTTGTTTCCTCTGGTTCTGCCATCATCTATTAAAAGAGATCTATTTTCTAGTCGGCTTTCAATGTGTGTGTGTGTGTGTGTGTGTGTGTGTGTGTGTGTGTGTGTGTGTGTGTGTGTGTGTGTGTGTGTGTGTGTGTGTGTGTGCGTGTGTGTGCGTGTGTTTGTCCCCTCGCTGTCTGAGACCCGCAGTGAATGTGGTCCCTTCTGCTGTCACTTCCAACACACTTTACCCCACTCCTCTGTTTGAAGTTCTGTCATTGCCGGGCTTTGAACTGCCATTTGTGTTTTACCCTGAACAATGCTTGTCTCCAGAGCTTCATCTGGTGTGAAATTGTCAGAGCCACAGGCCACGTCAGCGCGGGGGTGCTTGTGTAGTAAGTTATGGACTGGACACATTCAAGCATGCGCAACAATATCCAGCATCAAAGCCTTGATGCTTCCCTGTGACCTTTGGATCACATGTGTTTGTGCTCTTATTAATGTGGACAGGGCTGCTAACTTTAATGCAGCCAAATGCACATTTAGTTTTATTGTTTCACTTCAAGATGTCACCCCTGAAGCACGAGTCACTCTTAGTTAAATAAAACAAACCAATAAATAATAAAGCAGACAAAAAACTGGGACAAATATTTTATACATAATATATGCTAGTTAGTGTATAATCAGCTGAACACAAAAGTTGTTCTGGCATTATTTGAGGGTAAAGTTTGTTAAACAGTTTGGGGTCTACAGCAGGGAAGCTACATCCCCCTTAGATTTCATACTTGACTCAGGGACCATACAAAGAGGCTGATTGGCAGACCTCAAAGACCTCAAGGGAGAGTATTGTACATAAAGTAAAAGTCAAGTAGCTCTGAGATAAACCTTAACAGCAGTCATAATGACCTGGCTACAAGCTGAAGACACAAACAAAGTCAAGCCAAAATATAAATAAAGATGGAGCCGCTCCAGCACCTAAGCCTTCAATGCTTCCATGGCAACGCATAAATAAACATTAAACTTAACACATCAGATCACTGCCAGGTCAAAAGCTTATTTGTCATAAATCACATCAAACTGAGCAATCCCAGGGAGGGTTACATCAGACAAGGTGAGCAGGACTTCTGCAGGAACATTCATGTTGACATTTCTGTCCTCATCGAGCTCTTCTCCTCAGATCTTTGCAGCGACTGACTTTTAAACAGAAATGAAATGTCACCGATTTTAACATTACTGCTATTATTTATGACCATCACTTATGTTGTTTTTTTGTTGTTGCTTTCTAGCCATGATAAATTTGATCTTAAATTCAGGTGTAAAATCCACACTGAACTAAGTGCTGGTATTACTTCAGTTGCATCTTTGGTTGCACCATACAGATTACAAGATACAAGATTTAAGTTGTACTTTCATGTTTCATGCTCGCTCATGTTGAAACTATCCCAGTTGGTGTAAAACGGTAAAGGTTAGAAACCCATAAACTACACCCCCCCCCCCCCTGCCCAGCTACCATAATAACCTTTTTTTTTTTTTTTTTTTTTAAATGAAAAAATCTTGGACATTTCCTGGGGATAACTTTAGCCGAGGACAGGTCATCCAAAAGGGGGCTGTCCCCCGAAATCAGGGAGGTCTGGTCACCCTACAGATCCTCCTTGCTAGCAAGGAGCTGATGGTAGGTTGAGATAAGAGCACTTGGACCTCAGTCGGATGTATGTTGTTCAAGTGGTCCATCATTGGGGTCATTGTCGCGTTGTACTCATAAATGGCATTGTAGTGTTTGCAGCCTCATCATTTTCCACTCAAAATGGTCCCACACCACACCACACTTCATCTTGCTTTCTTCTTTTTTTTTTTTTTTTAACTTCTATGGAAGCCCTCTGACACTTTATCACTTCCCTTGTAAAATGTCAAAATCCTAGTGCTAGTACTAGTCAGGATTGCTTTAACACACACACACACTCAAACACATTGACTGGACAAAGAGGGCATCCCTCCCGATCAGCAGAGGTTGATCTTTGCTGGAAAGCTGCTCGATGATGGAAGCACACTGTCAGCTCTTTTTTAATAACATTAGATAGATCAAAATTTTGCATGATCCACATAATTCTTAACGATCAATTAATCGATCGTCATTTTTCTCACAGTGTCAACAGGCAGAGGTGAAATGGTGTGAGTGTATTCCTGCAGGTTGAGTTTTAATATATTGCGTGTGATCAGGTTGTCTCTGGGGTCACTTATGGGAGTTTTAACCAACCAGAATCAAGTGTTTAACACAACTGACTCATAAAAGAAGTAAAATCAGATTTATTTTTATCATTTTGTCACAGGTTTCTTCTCTTCCATTCACTTTCTTTGGTGTGAATTCATCTGCATACTTTTGAAATTTGTTCGAGGAGTTATTCATCAAAATATGCCTCAAGTCTGCATAAATATTTCAAAGCTTTTTGTTATTTTCCATGTTAATTTGTCAGAATTAACAAAAGTAATTTCATATTCATAAGAATGCCTGCAAATTTTTGTGTAATGATTAAACATAATGAGCCACTTTGAAAGGCCTGCTTATTGGTTTTCATTATTGACATTCTCACCAAAGATAGACAGAATACAGAGTTTAGAGTCAAAGAAGCAAATACTTAATGTGCAAAGGTTTCTTTAAACTGATCAATTCCATCCTCAGTTATTTCCCAGGTTAGAGTTTTATGCAGAACATCTCTGGTCACAAACACATGGACACAGTCAGGAAACATTTGCACCTTGCAGCAGGGTGAAAGTGGTCTAGCTTTAACAGCCAAATAGACAAATATTTCCCTGAGGATCTGATGGCGGTGAAAGCAGAGCCAGGACAGTGAATATTGGACTCATTTTTGCCAGGTGTCCAGCTCCAGATTAACGCCAATGTTGTCCTGTGTCTGCTGGATGTGTTACAATTGTGTGCCGACACATTAGCCATTATAACTGTATTATCCTGGAATATGTCAGCGCCAACAGCTTACTCCTTTGCCCAAAGTGTAAAAAAATCAATGTGTGTAGCTTTAAAAACCTTAAGTTTACAAAAACACAGCAATTTTTATGAAGGTTTTTCTTGTAAAAGATGATTCCTATGTTATAATTTTGCACCTTTGATGTAGATGCTGTTTTTTCTGCAGCTGCCACCTTAGATGTAAAGCTGCAAATTCAACTTGATGCTGAAACTAATTTTTTCTCCCTTTGAGCGATCTCAGGGTCTTTCTGCTCTTATGCTTTTGTACACTAGGGTCATTCTCCGGGCATGGAGCATCCTCTTCCTGTCTTCAGCAGGCTGTATCTGTGCTTGTTAGCCTAATAACAGCAGCAGCTCTAGTGGACTGCAATGACTGGGACCTCTATTAGTCTGCAGTATATTAAACCAAACCTAGCTTTGTGCAGGAGTCCACTTGTTAGAGGAGACCCCCAGGGATAGATTTTGGTTACTGCAGTGATGGCACAGCGCCTGTCTCAATAATGGCTGGGTGGGTGGGCTCACTAGTGAGAATTGTGCAGCTTGAAGTGCGACCAAATATGCAGTGTCTGCTTTGTCTCCCCCTGAGCGGCAGGCAAACAGGCTGTCTGCTGTACCTGCAGTGGCTCTGCCTCTTGGCTGCACTGATTTCCAGGAGTTGTTACACTACCTTGGCTGAGGGTTTATTTTGTATAATGCGAGGAATACTGTATCTTGAAGTGACTTTGATCCTGAAATATGTTGTGCTGATGATAAGGAAGAGAGTTAATTGAATCCCTTAATATTTTTTTGCCAATCTCCACTGGCACTCTCTCAAAGATCCAGGCGGCGCACCTCATTTGAACTGTGGAACTTTATCATTCATGCACAGTGCTCAGTGTTTACAAGTGAGGATGAAACGAGGGCACCCGGAGCTCAGAGACAAGGTCCAAATGTTTCAATTTTACCGCAACACAAGCAATTAGCCAAACGCTTATTAGTGAAGGTGCTCCATGATTCCTCTTTCTCTTTTTTCTCTCTCTATATTGCTTTTTATCTGTGAATCTCACTCATCCCTTGTGCCAGCAGGAGATGAATATGTCTTCGTTGTCCTTGGAATACGTTCTTGTAAACACCACAGGCGGTGAGCAGTGTTTACCGGTGTGCACGGCAAGCACACAGGCCGCTCTGTCTGTCTCCTGCACAGTCCCTCCCGTGGGGCCGGGCTCACCTTGTTACCCTTTTAATTAGTAAGAGCAGTTAATAGTGCCGGCCGCTTCTGCAGCCTCAGCACTCAGCCCTGACTCCAAGAATCCCTGCAATCGATTGCAAAGAGTCCGACTGAGACAGAGGGAGACGGGGGAAGGAGGAGGGAACCTCTGGTTGGGGGAAAGCTTAGGCACATTCATGGTATTTTTTGGAGGGAAATCAAACAACATACTATTTTCTTTAGAGGAACCTACAGAGCGGGTGTATCAATAACTACTCTCCCTCTTTTTTTGGTGTACAATTGCAGGGATGACAAGGTCTCAGGGTTCCTTATGCACATTCCTCCCAGCCTGACTCTCCTCTCCCACATTTCCTCTCTCTCCAAAATGAATGTAATCAAAAAGCTAAGGCACTTTCTATTGTGCCCTTATAAGCTTTTATCCCTCCCAAGCGCTCGGCCCTGTGCTCATTTCTTTTCTTGTTTTGATTTAAAGATGCAGTGGAAGTACTTAGCATTTAGATGACATGCTGCTAGAGCGGTGCGATAGATCAGCCTCTCTTCAGAGGACTGAATTTCTTCGACAGCATCGGGGGCCAGTCCGACGTCAAGACAGACAGATCGCCGGACAACAGGCCGGGCGGGCAGAGGAATACCAAGTCCACCTCTCTGCCGCAGATAGCCTGGCAAAGCCGAGAGAGGAGCAGCCGCTGCTGCGAATGCCAATGTCTTGCCCAGACAGCCGTCTCGCCTTGGCTGCTCTGATTGGCTAAACAGACCATTAGCTTCCTGATTATGATTAGCCGAGTCATTATCTACACAAAAGTGGCTCATTCACCAATATTAAGAAGGCAAAGGAGCTGTTTTCTTCCCGCGGTCAAGGGGAAAACAGCGTGTTTTCATGTGTTCTCCTAAAGATGAATGTGAGCAGTAAGAAGTTGTTACTCACAAAGAAACAAAGTGTAACGGTGTTTATCACCCTGCCCTACAGCTAATGTGATAAAATGTTCTGTCTGTGTGATGCCAGAGATGGAAGAAAGGAAAGGTCTCTCAGTCGTTAACATGGATGATGAGGTGCCCATTACTGACTCGTATTTTCTGGTCGAGGAAAGAAGCGGTCCTCAGAGGTCATAAAAACTGGGAGAGAACAAAATAACCTTCAGCTTCCTTCGTCCCACCTTAGATATAATTGGAAGACATGCCATCTGTGCTTTTAAATGGACATATGCTGCTCTGCGTCCGAGGCCAATGTGCTGAGGGAAAGTTGAATAAACTGTAGTGAAGGCTGGCCCTCTGTTCCTGCCATACTGACCTTCTACTTTTCTTTTCCAGCCTTTACCCAAGGAGCCGTCGTAGGATGCAGAAAAACGCAGCAAGTATGCAAGTTTTCTTTTATACTTTTCCATTATAACTTTTCTGTTATGTCTCTTTGTAATCTGCATTCAGAGCGTAGAGCCGTGCTCCTGTTATTTGCCAAGCCATGCTTCAATTCAAGCCTGTACCACAGAGAGCCACCAGTACTTTTAGACTTGGATTTATTTAAGGGTCTAATTGACTTATGGGGGTAAGATGTTTTGGGTTTGCTCCAGGCGATTGTGTTTCACTGCAGCTCTGTAACAGGCTGTAATGGATGCAATGTATTCATAACAGCAGAAATGCAACTAACAAGATCAGGGTTTTACTCTAATTTTTCAAAAACATTACAGAGGTGACCCCTACAGAGAAAGACCAAACTCTTGGACGTAAACAGCAGTCTTAACTTTCATGACACAAGAGTCGCTACTGCTGCACTGATCAGTGAGATTTCATAAATAAGTGTGTGACTTGTTGTTTAAATAGTCCTGACCCACCTTAATAGCTGTATCAATACTAACAAGAGAAAAAAGGAATAAATGAGGCATCAGTAGACCAGCAACTCAGGTGTTTTGTGCAGTAAAATTGAGCTTTTGTCAATAGAGTTTGGTAGCTTGAGGGGTGTGAGGTGTGACCAGGGGCGTGCACAGAAGGACAGCTAGTGGTGGCATTGGCCCCCCTTTAAAATAACCACCCACTCCAAAATCCTAAACTATAATTCGCTATTTGGCTTGTCAGAAGTTGTACTTGTTCTAAGATCAGCTGTAAAAACTCTGTTGGAATTTTAACATTTGAATGTCATGCATTTTCTTTTATTGGTACAACACTTCACACATCTATCTCACATGGCATATGAGTAGGGGAAGGATCAGACCATCAAAAATTACATCACATTGGTACTGTTAATGGTTTTTAAAGTTGGAAGTTCATCTACAGGAGTTGCAAATTTCTCCAGCAATATAAATTTTGGTTCATAGAACATACGTTTTTCGGCATCTAAAAAGTGGGCTGCATCAAATACACCAGTGTAATCAATTTACTCAAAACAGGAAGAGGTACTTAGTTATGTCATGCTATTTCTCTGTGAGGTGGGACTCTTAGAAGAAAGCAACCACTTAACTGTGACAAATGTGTTCGACACATAGTGGAGTGGGCCAGTCTACTATTGCCCCTCTTAAACACTTTCCTACTTCATTAGATAGTAATTATGTAATTAAGGGAAATGGTAGTACACTTTTAAGTAAATAAACCTTGAAGGAGGAGTGCTGGTTTCACTGTTAAGAGTGACAACTGGTGATCAGCAGAAGGAGAACCAAAAAGCTACACATAAGCATAAAAACTGCACATTGCTGAACATGGTGGATGTCTTAGGCAGGAACCCAGGTTAAACCTTACTCTCTTTGAGGGTCTCCCCAAAAACAGACTGTGTCTTAGGCATGGGTGCATCTTATCTTTCATTATTATTTTAAACTAACATTTTCAGCCCTTTGAACATCTGTGTGATACTTTAATCATAGTTTTTTGTTTGTTGTCTGTTTGTTTGTTTGTTTGTTTGTTTGTTTCAAATAGATATGATTAATGAAGACAGGAAGGGCAAATTTATTCTTATCCAGGTTTGGGTCAGTGTGCAGACATACTTAATGCCGTCCCTGCATAATTTAGCACCCTATCTGGTCCACCCTAGTAAAAATAAGTCTGGACACACCACTGGGCATGACAGCTACTTCTACTCTTCCCAACCTTACCAAACTTAAAGGTGCACTTTGCATTGAACAGGGTTGGTATAAATAGAAGAAAATATTCAGAGATATGTTTAAATTAGTGTTCAGTTTAATTGCCAGGAAACCAACAAAAACTTGTTTTTGTTTACTTAAAGTGAGCCTTTTATGTCTGCATATAGGAGCAGGTCCCCTTAAACGAAGGCCCCCATGGACAAACTATATGTGTTTTTGAACTTAGTAAGGAGCAGTGCCACAATGCACTATATGGAGGACAAAAAAGAGAGGTTGTTTATTAATAGATCATTTTAATGGTGAAAACTTGCCAACTGGAGGATCATACTTATCATGCATCACAGGAGCTTCTTGTCCTCAAAGGCCGCCATCCCTCCACCAAAAGGAGGGCTGAGCAAGGGGGTGTTTGAATTAAGAATCTGGCAGCAAAATATCATTAAATATACCCATTTCTACACCCCGTACCTTTAACTCTGCAGGTTACACTCTTTTTTTCTGTTTTTATTTGAAGTTGTTTGTAATGTGCAGTTTCTTTTTCATGAGACGTTAACAGAGTTTGGAGACGGCACCCTGTTTGAATATGTTATGGAGACACATGTAAATAATCAAAGTATTGAATCATCAAAGTTTATTTTGTTGCTCATGCTGAAAATGAGTTAAGGACCGGTCTTTGTAGGGATAGCAACCTGAGCCCGTCGATGGCAAAAATCAAATACTCTCGGTGGTCTCTTATCGACCAGGCCAAATTGCCCCCAGCATTAAACTGCAGTCATTTGAGCCTGTTTTTGTGGCTGCCAGCTTGGAGGAGAAATTCCAAAACTTTTTAAGCCTTAAAGTCACTTGGATCCTGAAACATTTGACAAATGGACCCAGGTTTAAAGCCCATCTCCCCTTTTCAGGTTTGGCGTCGCTCAGCGCTAGAATGAATCAGTCATTAGTGTCTATTCATCATGTTCTTTCCAGCACTGCTCTCCGCTCTCACCGCCAAGCTTAAATAAAGATACTCCAGGACTTGGAGAAGACACAATGGAATTCCCCCTATTCTCAGATTGCAGTCACTTTGATGTATCTCAGGAAAAAGCAGAGAGAGAATCAAAGGGGTTATTGGAAGTTTGAAATGCAAAAGGAGGGGAACTAAGAGGCCTGCTGTTGTTACATCAAAGACATGTGGCTTCAAGTGTCCAGGATTTCTTATGGGACAGGGGTAGAAATGGAAACCAAGCGGAGAATGTTTGAGCAAAAAACAACCAAGCTTCTTTAAAAAGCTCTTGGGCAATACTGTAGTAAGCGATTCTCCAAACACCTTCCTCACGCTTCTCCTTATCAACATCTACTAACTATAAGCCAAACCTGACTCTGCAGCACGTCCCTGCTCCTTAAATACTTCTGCTCTCCGAAAGCATGAAACTTTTTGTAAAGATTAAATCAGATTTCTCTCCACACAACCCTCCCTGAGTATCTACCGAGCTCTCATATCCTGCACAACCATGGGCAGTTGGAATCTGCATGCTCTATGTCTTCTAGCCAATATTCTAAGATTGATTTTCCCTCTTCCACCGAGAAAACAAAATGAATCACGCGCAATTACCAAGGACAGAGAGAAAAGGGGAATTGGGGGCGTCATAAATATTTATTTGCAAGCCCTGGGAATTTGTGCAATTCTTGGTGGAATTGCCAAGTCATATTTAAGTGTCTAAATGATTTATATGGGTGGTCCTGGGTGTCACATTTGTCCACTGTCACCCTGGATCATTTATGTATTAACATTTATAGATTTATCCATATAACATATTCATGGCAGGGTTCTATTATCATTCAAATGGGTTTTGTGATCAAATGATTGGCTAAATTAAGCCATTAACCGCTGAATTTCTCTGGAGGTGAAATGTATTCCATGTGGAAAAGAATAAATTAAAAGCCTACATGTGTGGGCCTGTTTCTTTACAGAGTCCTTCACAGAAATGTTCTTGAACGGCTGTGAAAAAGCACTTAAAAAACAATTATCTCTTCATAAAAAGCTCCTCATTACCTAGGTCTTCTTTAAAAATCTACAGTGCAACAAAAAGTGTTCTCCTTCTGTTTATTTCCCATTACCAACAGATCTTTAAGCCTGTTTGCTTTTTGAAGCCTTAACCAATGACCATTGAGCTTGATGGGACACTCACCGCTGTTTCACTCTGAAGCCCCCTAATGATGTTTCTCATTAGTTCCATCATTTATTGGATAGAGTTAATTACACAAGTGGCAAAATGTGTCCCCCCCAAAAAAAAGAAAACGTCTGTTGCATTTTTTTTTAAATCCAATATTGCAGCAGCGTAGAGTGACAAGACTTTAATTTGGGGCACTCATTTAATTCCTAATTAGCTCACATGCTGTATGTAAAATGTTCTGCAGGAGCTGACACGGATGAAAATTGAAAATACAGGGAGGGGGTGCTGGACTTAATGTTACTGTGGTTGTGCTTTTTCCCATTTCCTTGCCCGGCACTGCGAGGGGGAAAAAATTAAACCCACAACTGATTAAAATAGGCTTATGTCGTGTTTTTGGCTTTGTGAAAGTGTCTTTTACAATTAAAAATGACAAAATGGGAAGTGTGTTTTGGATTCAGCTGTTAAGTGACAACACAGGTGCTCCCACGGCTTAGACGCAATTAACTTTTACAAAATCCAATCTTCTTTGCTTTTGTAATGGTGGCCAAATTATATCCTTTAGAAGAAAATTTCCTGCTGCATTTGAAATCATAATGAAGTGGTTCCATGTAGCACATATGCCTTTTTCAAGTGGCTTTCTTCACCCTGCTGCGATAGCCTTGATCATACATCACTTATGACTCTTCAACAAGAAGGATACTGAAAGCTCAGGGCACTGCTTTTGTAGAAAGCTGTTATACAAGCAATGAAGAAAACATCCAACACAATCAAATACAGACAGCAGGCAACATAAATAAGCAGGTATATAGTCACATACAGACAACACAACAAATACAGGAAACACTAAACACAATCGAAGTGCAGAAAACACACTAAATTATTGAGGTATCACCATGATATACAATAATGCACCTAAATAGAGACAGGCGATGATTTCGATATGAGCTAAACTCCTGAGCCCACAACCAAGTGCTGAATACAAACAAATACTGTCAATGCGCTCCAATGCAGACAACACAACCAAATTAAAACATACCTAAATAAAGAGAATAATTAACACAACCGAATATAGAAAATACAAAAATATGCTGTCCAAATCAACAGAACCAAATAAAGACAAGACATTCTACTGCTGCCAGCTAAACCCAATCCAGACAACAGGACAAAGGCTTTTTTATATATATTTGCTGGTGTTGCATAAAAGGTTGTATTTTCAGTATTTGATTGTACATTTGTCCCTCCGGCATTTAGTTGTATGTCTGTGTATAGTTAGCATTTTTTTTTGATTATTTTTTTAATGTTGGGTCATATTTCATTAGTTTGGTTAAATTGTCAGATTAATTTGTCTGGATCAGGTTGTTTTGACTATATTTGGTCAGCTTTTCTGTACTTGGTTGATTCTCAATACTTGGTTTAAATGCCAGAGAGAGGAGTTTATTCGTCTGTATTTAGTTAAGTTGACAGATATTTGTTAATTTGTCTTGATAGAGTTGATTTGTCTGAATTTAGTGAAAATTCGAGAAATTGTTGGTCTTTCTTTGCTTGATAGGTCTGTATTTAGTTGTGTTGTCTGTATTTGTCATTGATTTAAGATGTTGTCAGCATTTGGTTTTGTCTGTATCTGGTGTTGTTTCTTTATTCAGTTAAGTTTTATGTTTTGAGTAATGTAGTCTCTATTTGGTTTATTTCTAGATATTTGTGGAGTTACCTGCATTTAGTTTAATTGTTCTCTATTTTGTCTGTATTGGTTACTTTATATTTTGTCAGAGAACTAGTCTTTGACGGTTATTACAGGAAATTGGGCACAATTTTTTTTATTTTGTTTTTAGTATATAGTTGTTATGTCTGCATATGTATATGGTTTTTGGGTGAGCTGTTTGCAACAACCAAACCAAATAATCAGAGATTTTCCAGCTAAAACTAACATTGTCTTATGAACTGTTTTTTCTGGGCTGCTATAGTTCACATACATCAAAACACACGCCAAGCTGAGTATCTCATTAGTAGCTCAAAGCCCCTTTATTTGAGGTCAGATTAGAAGTTGCGTGATAAGTACAATTGTACTTAAAGGTCTCTACTTTTGAATTAAATGAACTCATGTATTTATCAAACCAGTACACGTGTGAAATAACAGTTGTTACTATATATGTGAAGGTGCATGTCTCAAAGGGTCATGAAACAATAGTGTTTATTGATTTTGACCTTCTGCTTGTTCTTTTTTTCATTCCTCTGCAGGTTCATTGACATCAGTGCTACAAAAGGAACTGAGGCCAATCACTACAACAGAACATTGTGTCCATACAACAACAACAACAACAACCACCATGACTACGAGGCTCCCTAAATTTACAGCAGGCCTGACCTTCAGTAAAATAAAAAATAAAAAACAACCCCAGAGCTTCTCCAATCACTACAGTAAAAGACTCTCCGCAGACACTTCTAAGAACTCTGAGAAGTCTCAAGTGAGCAGCATGGTTCACCATCGGCATCGAATCTTCTTCACCACAGCCAAATTCACAGACACATCATAGAAAGAAAATCTCTCTGAGGAACAGTCATAACCAGGGCAGTGGAATAATCATCCAAGCACCTTTTCTTTTTTGTCCATGTATCAAACAACAGGCCAGCAAGGGTCGTCTCCTTGAAGATTTTTACCTTCGTGGCTTGATTTGGACTTGTCAGAAGGTCTTTCAAAAGTCAGCCCCTTCATCTTCTTTACTACCCCCCTCCCCTTCCCCCCTGCTATGAAACCTTCCAGGGTTTTATTCCAGCCAAGTTTCTTTAATGACAGCCCTCTGCTAAAGAGTCGTGACTTGACTGAGGTTGAGCCAGGCCGCACTGTCCAGCCTTTTTAACACCTTTCTCTCATTCAGCTGAGTGAAACTTTACAAGGCCTCCAAAATCTCTGCAAACACATAAAAGAAGGACATTGTGAAAAAGCATGAAAGTCTGTTGGAAAGCCAGAGAAAAAAAGGTGACTGTCTCTACTCAGTGAAGAAATGCCATGATGGTTAAATGTGGACATTTTGGATGACTTAGCTTATAACTTATGTTTTTGTATGTGGTGCCAACATAGACTAGAAGAGTAGTTTTTGTCAATGAACCTCACACATCTTGTACACACCACCGGGAGCTTTTAGCAGATGTGGACCCTTGGCTCATGTAAATGGTCTATACTTCGTGTGGGTGTTTGTTTATGCTTGTGTGCCTGTGCGTAAGTGTGCGAGCGCATGTTTGCATCTGTTCACGTGTGGATATGTGCGAGTATGCTTGTGTGCCTGTGAGTGAGAGCGTGTGCACATCCTGAGATACACTGTGAAATAAGTCATGTCCAATGCATTATTCATACTCTTGTATAGTTTTGGGACACGCCGAGACCAGAGCTCACCATCTGGCAAAAGAAGCATTTGTGATTTTACAGATGTTGGATCTCATTTAAAACCTTCACGGATGAATCCTGGGTTTGCCTTCTCTTTTCTTTCTGGTCTTTTCTTTAGTACATAGAGATATTTATATTGGGGGGTGAAATATTATTGAAACCGGGGACAGATCTGCAGTATGTCACATAAGTTAAATTCTGTAATTATAACTGATTCATGTGTGATTAAATGTATTCAGAATACTTGTCTAAATTGACTCTATTTTGATATGAAATGTTTTGGCCAGCTGGAAGTGCTATTTACTGATATCAGAAGCTTGATATATTTGAAATTGTGTACATACGTATATACATATATATATTCAATTAATGTATTTTATGTTGTGGGTCTTATTCCAGAGAAGATAAAGAAAAGGAGGAGCACAAGAGGCATTCTTCTGAGAGGTGGACACAATAACACAAACACCAGTCAGAAATGTGAAAAACAAGGAAAACAGGCGACAACAAGAAGAATTGACGTCCCTTTGATGCAGCATCTTTAGAGTATTTTTCACTAAGGTCTTGGTTGTTGCTTGCCAAAGGCAATGGTTTACATTATATTGTGCAGGTGTTCCTGTTAATGTGTCTACAAGCTGATTTTTCATTTCTTTGTACTAAAAAATCCTGTACATCTTCATCTTAATGTATGCATTTGAGGATATAAAGAGAGCGTCCGCTCCCGGGAGCTGTGGAGTGTGTATTTGGCGTGTGTGTGAGTGTTTTCCAGGTCAACAGCTGCCTGTGTAGTGAGAAAATACCAATTTCCAGCTGATCCTATGCCTTTGATTTCATGCTATTTTTATTTAGCACTCCTTTGCTTTGCACTCAGCGTAAATAAACTGTCCGTTTGATTTGAGTCACTGTCAAAGCAAGAACTGCTGCGAAAACAGATCTGCACCTTGGGTCAAATCTCAACAAGAACAGAAAAGGTAAATATCTACAGTTTCCCCTCTTCTGGTAAATTGCTGTACAGACTGTCAAAATGTGATTGAAGGTACTAGCACATATCATCAAAATAAGCTCTGTGAGTCGGAGCGCTGAGCTGCTGACTCTTTGCCTCATTGTGGAGAAGGGAGCAACTAAGGCCCCAGGCTCTGTCCTTAAATTGTCAGGACTGTAAATGCCTTTTGTGGTCCTCAAATGTCTTTTTATAAATAATTTAAACTTTTATTTCAAACCGTCCTTGTTGTGAGAGAGGCTTTGGTTGAAAACCCCAAAACTACAGGCCAATTATTTCCCAAACATGACACAGCAACTGTATGAGTCAAACTGGGACAACAAGGAGGAGGTTTTCTCCTGAGGACTAGAGTGAACTCAGTAACTCTTTCATTAAAGCCCAGACATCTGATGTATTATAATGTTGATTTATGTATGATCCATCACATGAGCAGTAGATTACATAAATTTGTTAAAGCTGGACCTCATTTAGATGAGTTTCATGAAAAATAACAGGTGAGCAATACAGATATCAAAACAGAAAACACTGTTTGGGGCGCATTATATAACACAACTGCATTTGCATCATGGATATCAGTTCATACACACATTATTTACCTATGTGCTGATGCCTGTATAAACAGGTCTGATATCTGCTGATAACGATGTACAACCAATACCCCAGTTGATCAGTTCACAAAATTTCCCCTCCATAGGAACAAGACAGTCAGCAACAATAGAATGGTAACCACCCATAGGGGGCGCCAGAAACAACACAGACAGAAATTGTTTCATTTATACATCAAAGGACAGTTCCCTCAATTCTTCAGCTGATATTGTTTCCATGGCAACAGATTCTCATAAATGGCCTTGCAGAACAAACTCTGGCCTGCTCATTTATTATAATTCATGTTCAAATCAACATTTCTACTGAAAGTAAAAGTCAGTCAAGGTGAGTGGGACTTCCTCAGAAATAACTTTGTAAATTTTTGTCCTTATTCAGCTTTCTTTTAGCTTAGAGCTTCTAAACCTAAATGAAAAAAAAAAATCATAACCTGCTACACCACAACAACCTGCTAAAACTTGGTCTTTACAGTTTGAGTTTCTGATGGCAACTCAGAGATGCCCTCACCAGCTCTGTTACTGTTTCATGGACTGCAGGGAAGGATTTTACTTAACTTAAGACTGATCAGGGCTCAATAGCTCCAATAACAGTCATTGTTTGAGCTGGGAATTTTTGCCACAGTGATAACAGGCAGAGGCGAAAAACTACTAGAACTCCTGTCTGCAGATTATTTTGACATAATGTGCATTTAGGGGGTCCTGTTGTTGAAAATCAAACAGAGATTTTATAGGGTTTTGAACTATCAAGATCAAGTATTTTGCATAGCTTGGTATTAATACCGATTAACTGCCCCATGTTGTCCTCAAAGGGTAACAGGAAAGTTGCATGACTTTTGTCGACTAGATGAAGATTACATTTCTATTTCTATTTCCACTGCTAATAAAAATCTATATTAGCACCTTAAGTCTTACTCCTAACAAGCTAGGTCTACATTGATAAGCAGGGCGTCTCGTATTTCCTCTTAAATAAAAACATCAGGGAATAAAACACCCATGAATTAAAATAACACTGCTTCTTTTAACGCATGGAATGACGGATGAATTTCATGTGCTCTCTTTTCAACATAATTGAAAGAGAAGATATTTGTAGCTGAGAGGTGAAAATGTAATACCCCAGAATACAGTATCATCAAGAATATTATGTATGTGCTCCAGCTGGCGGTAGAAACTGGCCTCCGTGTTTGCTGCTGTGCCAGTATTCCCACTCACCTCCCACTCAGCTCGAGATGTTCTTTCAATGAGGCCCTGCTGCTGCCTGCTTCCATTTCCAATGTCTGTCTCGCTGTCTAAGGGTGCCGAACGTGGGCTGCTGTCAGGATCAACAAATGGTATGAGGGTGGTATCATGCTCCCTGCCATCTATGATGCAGCGCAGCATCTGAGATGAAAAGCCATAACCACACTCTGTTTTCTCTAATGTTCCTCAGATCTAATTATCAAATGATGCAAATAAGGCAATTTCAGAGAGCAATTTTGATGCTTTGCTTTATTATCATGATTTTTCTTTTGTTAGCATGTGACCTTACTCATTTTAAATTGTTTTTTTTTTTTTTTTTAATTTTGCAAATGGATATGCACATGTATAATGTGCAAGACATTTTAATCAAGAGTTCCAGTTTAATTGTTTGCAGAAAATAACCCTTAGCACAGGTAACTGGGGTAGAAAATATAGTTCTGATCAGGAATAGGCATTGCAATCAAGAATATGTCAAGCAATTCATAAATACAAGGGTATTTGTATTTGTATTAGAGTAGTTGATTATCAGCACTGGGCTTTACCAGCCATTCATAAATCCATCCCTAGTGCAGTTTAAAGAGAAAGGTTACAAAAGCTATACAGCAGTCAGGTGCTCTTCAAAGATAGGGACATAAGTCACAGAAAAACTTAAATTTGAGGTACTCTGATGCAGTTTAAAAATCCTTTAATCACAAAGGAAATTTTTCACCGTGAATTGTCTTTGAAAATAATCATGACAGTAATCCTTTATTTGTCTTTAAGCCAACTGTAGTCCACTTTGATAATTTTCTAATTAAGGACATAGTTCACACTCAGCAAACACTTTAGAGATTGCACCAAATGAGGTGGTTTCAAGATGGTGTAATGTAGAGAATGAGGAGATGCAGAGGTTTTACCAGGAGTATGTTTTGGAACAATGTTCTTTTGATTATCATTATCAGAACAATTAAAAAAAATATGACGACAAAGACCTCTACCCTGGTGTCATTACAAACACAAATAATGACACCAGTGCCGCTTTAAAGCAATTCAAATTAATGTGTGTTGCAGTTAACTCATACACATGAATTCATATTATTTTGCATTATAGATTAATTTGAATTGTTTCATCATATCAAGTTGCATTTTCAACACCTGCATTATCTGCATTAAGGGAATAAGGTATAAGTATAAGGGTCAGCACTCCTGTGAGGAACTTTTCCTAATCATCAAAGTGCTCTTTGCTTATTTTGTTCTGTAGATGTGAAACTGGTGTTTCATTACAAACAAATAGAAAACAAAATGTTATTCAGCCCCATATGCCTCAATGGGGCAGCC